CACGATTGTGGACTTCGTGGTCCTGTCTCGGATTGTTTAAGAATTTTAATCAAGGACGGATGGAAAACATGGGTCGTCAATTAGTCTAAACTACCGAAAATTCAACAAAGAGATCGATTAAGAACGCCAGCAACGCGTATGGTTAATTGTCGTGTTAGTCCGCAGTTTGTTTGCTAATCGGGACATGTGTGCGCGAGAATGGTGATACTCGGGGAATTTCGACTTTGTTAATACTTAGGATTGAAATAAGAGGGTCATGTTCGATGTCGAAGATAATGGTTCATCATAGCATGTGGTGTACCTACTTTGTGAACCAGGGACTCAGGAAGCTCATTATCAAGGGTTAGAAAGCTCTGAAAGCCAGCATATTACAGGAGAATTAGTAGTTATAAGAAGCGATTGCGTATCTTCACATGGAAAAAGGGTAAAGAACAAAGAGAATATTAATGAAAATTACACCGAGCACCTATCGATTAGTGGGGGTGGCCGCCGCCGCTAGCCCTCGGGCTCATTTTGATTTCTTATTATTTCGATGATTCAATTGTATCTTTCATTAAAAGGTGCTCAAGGATCGACGAGGGCCTGGGTGAGAGCTCCTAACGCCCTCATCGGCCAAAGCCAAGGCTCGCTGGCCCTTGCTAGATCCAGCGAGGCGAGGGTGCCGCGGCCCTCACCTAGGGGCGGTAGCCCCACCAATCCTGTGAAGAAAAAAATATAAAAAGAAAAAGAAAAGAAAAGAATAAAAAATCAATTAAAAAATAGTTCACGTCAGCGCCGGCTGCAACATGTAAGACGGCTGGCGCTGACTGGACCGCCATGTTAGCGATTTTCAGTCAAAATTATCCAGAAGAACTACATTAACAATTCATTAAAATGTTTAGGATTGACAAATCTTCAAAAGGTTTAGGATGACTAAATAGACACAATTAAAAGGTTTAGAACTGAAATTGACTGTCATACAATAGATTTTCCAATGTTTGGACTATTTTACCAAAAAAAATATCACACAAGTAATCCAATTACTTTGCTACTTCCGCTAATCGCTGCGCACTTATTATGTCAGCCTTAGGTAAACAATTCAAAGCACAAGCACAAAGCCAAGTTTCTAGATATGGTGGATTCATACAGTACAATGGCGAAAAGAACAATTCAATGTTTTTAATCATTCTTATGCGGACCGTCCGACGACATCTTACCCCCATATTCAATAACACGATTCATTATTCAGTCTTTGTAATTATCAAAATGCCAAAAGAAACGAGAAAGAAAAAACACGTGCACACACATGCACGTTGACATGCAAAAGCTACAAATTATTCATCATCGTTGATAAGAAGCGATTTGAATAAATTTTACGTATATGTCGAATTAATAGAAAAATAATTAGCTTTTTTATAATAAAAAAAATTGAATGTGAACACATAGATGCATGGCGATCAAGGCTGCTTCTCGAGTTTTCTTTTTCGTTTTTTAATCGGACAACATCCATAGAAACAATAATCCAATTTAATCAGAATTTAGTTACACTCAATAAACCACATGGAGACAAAAGGCGCAGCACCCTCTTTCTCGTGTGCAAAATCAGGACGACAACCTCGACCATGCTTCGGAAACATTCTATAATCTAAGCATTGTTTAATGATGGCATGATGGAAAGATGCTAAAATTCAATTAATCAAGTCTTGATATGTCTAAACACATGATTAATTGAACTTAGCGAGGGAAGAGAGAGCGACCCTTTACTCTCAACATAAAGACAAGGACGCGACAGCCTCCTCTTCTGTTCGCGAGACATCCAGGCGACAACCTCGACCATGCTTGGGAACATTCTATTAGTTTTTTAAGCACCGCATGTCGTCTAATTAACGGTGCGAGAAGGAGATGCTTTAAGTTCAATTGATCATGAGTTCGTGTCTGAACTCAGCAAGCCTCAAGAAACCCATTAGCAAAAAAGCACTTTAGAAGTGATACCCTTTTGTCGTTCTTGTTCTCTCATTCCTCTTTGCTTTCAAAGACACATGGTTTGGCTAAAGCCCAACACTATTGCGCGTAAAGTGGAGACAAGTTCGAACGTGGACCCTCCTTTTCGACACTATTATATGCGACCCGTGCTTGGATTAGGACTTAATATTATGTGAAAAAGGGAGGGTTAAGCGAACAAACTAATCCATAGGGACAATCTAAATGTGAATGCTGCAAGCCATCACGAACCTTGAAAAGAGAAGCGGATGGAGGGTTTAAACAAATGGTTCTTTTGCGTCATGATGGACCGATTTTAATGTGGGCATGCACAACGCGGAGTAGTGAAGAGATGGGATGTCGCTCGAGCAACTAAAGCGATCTTGCCACTCTCTTTTTTCTAAGTAGTGATCGAAAAAAGTTTCAAAACCTATGGCATGTCTATAAAGTGAAGATGACCCTTCGTGCGCTCGGTTTTCGGTTGTCAACAAAGGAAGCTCTCTAATGATTTCTATGTTCTTGTTGCGACCATGTTTTTCTTACTCCGTCGAAACCTTTTCCAACCGCGTTAGGTTATTATATGACTTAAGGATCCGTTTGTTTGAAGGAAAGCGGTTTGCGGGAAATTGTTTCCCGACTTTCCGGTGTTTGTATGATGGAAAACTAATCGATTTACGGAAAACATTATCCATGGACTAAAAACATCAAACTTAGATTCGAGGAAAAAACTTTCCCTTTTGGCAAGAAGGAAATCACTTTCCTTGACCGAAAACTAACCATATTCCTTGAAAATAATTTCCTTAGAAAGTATTTTCCTTTATCATGAAATTTCAACGAAACAAACGCACCTTAAGTGTCTCGATATCGAGAACAAGAGTTCCTGGGGAATGAAAATCCAAAATAATGTGTTGGGTAATTAAGTGACTCGACCGTTTTGTGTGATGGGGCAACTTTTCGATGCATGGTCGAGAGACTGTTGTTAGAAAAGATAGCCATTGATGATCGAGGGTTGAGATTCAATATTGGCGATTCAACAGCGCCTTTATATTGTAAGGGCACGATGCCCTCGGAAGTCAAAATGTAAACTAACACGCACCGGGGAGGAACAACCAAGGAGATTGACAACAAGAAGTCACTCGCACTTTATGGCAACATTGACGGCGACGATGCTCAATTAGCCGGGGGCAACAACGGGTGGTGGTTAATTCACTAGTATTAATGAAATTTGCAGCCCTTAGAACGTACTCGCCACGGGCATGGCTTCGGCGTAGTGTACAAAACCGATTTCACCTTCCAAAGAAACAATATAAGTCAATGCACATGTAAATCTCAAACGACTAACCATATTAATCAAGAAAACGTTTTCAATTTGGTTCATCACTTCCTTCTTCTTCTGTGCGTCCAATGCAGAAAATTTTGACTATGAGTGGCGGGGCAAAAGCAACATCTTTCCAAACCGTTACCTCTATGGTCAAAGAAGATCCAAACCCTAGGTGAGAAACCATGGGATTGTTGTTGGTCATTAGCCATTTCCTATAACTCAAAGCATATCCAAAAGCTAGTTTCGAAGGACGAGGTCGAGAAAGGTCAACTTAGTAATGATGTGAACAAGCACAATGCCCAAAGAAGTTACCCATTATATTAATTAACCAATAAAATTAGATTGTTTAAGCAAAAGGAGAGTCATTAGGTTTCGTTTAATCGCACGGATACATGTCGGTCGGTCGGTCTATATGAGCTAAGTTAGTGTCGTTGACCGACCAAAGTGGCCAAATCAACGACAACCGACGCAAAATCTTACAATCCCTCTACTGCAAGAGAAGAAAATAAGAAGGGAAGAGAGAAAAATTAAGCCTTATCCCTTTGACCCTTCTGATGATTCGAAAGTCGAAGTCAAAGTCCAAGAGCAAGTTGCGAAATCTTCGTGAAATTTGAAGACTGTTCGGGAATCGGGTCGAGAAGCATATTGCCAATTGGGGGTTGAATCGAATTGGAATTTTATAGAACTCGGTGTAGCTAACCGGATTGGAAATTGGACAATAGAAAAAATTGGTTGCTTTTGCCGTAAGACCTAATTGTTGTTGACATTTGGAGTTGCGAGTACGTACAAATACGTTAACTTGTCCTTTCGTAGCGTGGGATGCAAGAAACTTATCATTTATCTATTGATTATATGAGGCTTCTATGAAGCTATGTAGGAGAAAAATCATCGTCTTTAGTTTGAACTTTTTGAAAACTTGACACATTGGCAAAATGAAATTATTAAGTCCAATTGTAATGGTTTCCGCGAGTCCTTCGCACGGGAGAACTACAATACTATTAGACAATTTTTGCGAGGTCAACGAAATGTTGGACAAAAGTAGAATAATTGCAAATGTCAAACATAGAAATAAGATACAAGGAGAAATGAGGTATTGACGGTGTGGAGAGGGGCTGTTGACCTTTCGAAACTTGGCTACTCAAGTACGATACTTAAGACTAAAGTCGAGGCAAAGGGAGCTCCACGGGTAGTACAATTGGAGGTTGAGTTTATGGCGGTTAGCATCTAGCACTAGATAGTAGCACTTAGGCAATATGGGCTAAAGGGAGGCGAGTAAACTAAGGGACGCCTTCATTGTAGGTGATCGACGGATAGGTGACTCGCCTAGTCCTCCCCAAGTCCAAAAGGCAAATCAGTTGGCTTGGGCAATACCCTCACACGAGAAAGTCTAGCCAACCCAACTTTGGCTCGATTGGGCACAACCCAAACATTCATACGTCATTAGGCTTGCCCTGTGGCCAATGATCAACTCTACTCGACAGATCGCAACACTCAGAAGTCGAATAAAAGGAAGAAAAAAAAAAGAATTTGCAGGAACTCACTATTAAGAACTTTTTGTTAATATGGGCTCGAGAAGAGCCGATTCTCATTGGGCCCCAATTGTTGGGCCTCTCGCCTGCGCCGCAGTTGGGCTATTCGGCCCGTTCTGCTTTCTGAGTGGGCCTGAGGCCCGGAAAGAAAGAACGAAAGCGTAGGAGCGTCTCTTCGACTGGTCCGCAACTTCTTCATCGCCGTTCGGTCGTCGTCTCGAGATCGACTGGAGAGCTGCGGCGACGGCGAGCGCGGAGGCTCTCTCGGTGCGTTCACTCTCTCTCGTTGGGACCGGAGCTCGATCCTCGCCGCCGTTCGGAGCTACCTGGTGAAGTGCGCGATTTGAAGGACGGGTAGGAGGTAGAGAGAGGGAGAGGGAGAGATGGTGAAGGTGCGGATGAACACGGCCGATGTGGCCGCGGAGGTGAAGTGCTTGCGCCGCCTGATCGGCATGCGCTGCTCCAACGTCTACGATCTCTCTCCCAAGGTTCTTCCCGGCTCCGTTTGCGCATTTGCCTTCGCTCGCTCTGTTTTTGATTCGTTTCGTTTCGTTTCCGCTTTGCTGATTGTCAGTTCTAAGGGGGAAAAAAAAATTCATATTGCCGCGCTGGGGAGAATGCAATTGAGGTTGGGTTTGGGCTGAAGTCGTTTGATTTTACGTAGAGCCTGGCTGCTCTAGGCTCTGGTTGTCGTCGGTATTGTGTGTTTTGTTAGGAGGAATTCGATTGCTGGATGGACATTGGTCTACTGAATATGATAAGTTTTCTTGTGTGCGTGTGTGTGAATCTCTCTTGTGTACACTTACTCGAGCTTATAAATAGCTGTGGAGTGGACCTCTCTCGCGTATCCTGCTTAGTGTCGTGGCTACGGATGGAGAATTTCAGGAAGATTTTTGCTTTCGAGTGATATAGTTTCTACTTTCCTTGATGTTGTGTTTTTGGTTTGATGAAATGCAAAAGGTTGAATGAATTTTCTTCTTTGGTGTGGTTTGTGGGAATTGGTTGGCAGACGTATGTGTTCAAGCTTATGAATAGCAGTGGAGTGACGGAATCGGGAGAAAGTGAAAAGGTTCTGTTGTTGATGGAGAGTGGCGTCCGTTTGCACACCACCGATTATGTAAGGTAATCTTGCACATTATGGGTCATCTTTTTGAAACATGATTGCATGAGACTCTCGCAATATATGATTATACTGTGGAAGTTGATCTTATCTTTGAATTACAACAATGATACATTGAGTATATATTACTTTAGGGGAAAATACCAAAAACATGCCTCGCATTTCACCCAATGGCCACTTACATACATATTTACCTTTGGAGACTACTTTGCACCTAAGAATCAATTATTCTTGTGTTTTTATTTACAAAAATGCCATTTTCTTTCTAAAAGTGCCAATTCCCATATCTTAAATACTATGGGTGATCGGTTCTCGGTCTGCTCCGGTCCGGTCCGACACCACCCAGGAACCGGGAGCCGGGGACTGGACCGGACCGGTTGGGCGGTCCGATGGAACTAGTCATTTTAAGCACTTCATTTTGCAGTGAAATTTCACGCCTGAAGTAAGCAAGCCTGTCCAGAACATAACCACCATATTCTCATCTCACTGTGAACACTTTGCATCACCTGTATTTGAACTACATTCTAATCAATAAACTTTCTCTAATTGAATGCATAATTTGGTCAAATGTGCCTCAATGTGAGTTCAGCTAAAGAGGAGGCGGGAGTGTCATGGGTGAATTCGGAAAGACCGAAAGAGGAGAGCAAGAGGAGGCGTGCATGAGGGATTTTAGATTATTAGGTTTACATAATAATAATAATAATAATAATAATAATAATAATAATAATAATAATGATGATGATGATGATGATGATGATGATGATGATCAATCCGGGTGGTCTGGTTCGGTCCGGTTCCCCCCTTGGAACTAATAACCGGACCGCTCGGACACCAGTTCTACTTTTAGGAACTGGGAACCGTACCAGCACCCCCGAGAACCAGACCAAACCGACCAGTTTGGTCCTGTCTTAGGCAGTTCCCGGTTCGATCGGTCCGTTTTGCTCACCTCTACTAAATATTCACTCCCACCCAACACACTCAAAATCAACTAAAAATTAAACCACCCGAACCTTGAGCAATATGCTAAAATGAGTTTGTGAAGAGGGGCAATTTGGTATTATCAATGTTGGATTTTGCTTTCAGATACGTGAAAGGTAATTGGTAAAAATTAAGGCATTTAGTGGGCATTGGGTCAAAAGTGAAGTATGTTTTTGTTGTTTTCCCTTATTTTAGTTCAGTTTTACTAGGTTTCCATGTCAACACGACAGTTTAACTAATGACTTATGAGTGGGAGTTTTCTTAGAGGAAGTTAGAGCTAGTGCACAACCGTTGTATGGAGTATGGTGTGCATTTCAGCTTATGCCTTTATACTCCCCTTCGAAGAAAACTGATATGATGAGGAAAGCATGAAGCATGCAAATCCAATGGGTGGCTTGCAAGTTTGAGGATTGTTAAAACCCAAAGGCATACAAAGAAGGGAAACCCATTAATTGGTGAAAGGTAGTGTAAGGAACTGAACTCAGTACCTCTAGCTCCAATACAAAATTGAGGTTGAGCCCTTAACTTTACTTTTAAAAGTTTGCTCTGATAGAGATTGATGCACGTTTCACTTTATAGCTCGTCAGAGGATATGGGCGTCCGGGACTACCTCCATGTAGTGAGCTAAGAAAAATAAACACGAAAACCTTGTCAGTTAATCAGCTAAAGAAAAACTAATCATGGTATTGATAGTAACTGCAACTAATTGATGTTGAATTATTGCACTGAGAATGTTATGAATTTGCTTTAGGGATAAGAGTAACACTCCTTCTGGGTTTACCCTCAAGTTGAGGAAACACGTACGTACAAGAAGGCTAGAGGATGTGAGGCAGCTTGGTTATGACCGGGTATACTCTTGTTAACTGAACTTTCAGTCTTCTATGTCAATCGTATGATTTTCATCGCTGACTTTCAGGTGGAATTATATTGGTTAGTTGCTTATTTTAATCGTTCATACCTTGTATCAGATAGTCCTCTTTCAATTTGGCCTGGGTTTGAATGCATACTATGTTATACTGGAGCTTTATGCCCAAGGAAATATTATCCTGGCAGATTCAGAGTTCACGGTTATGACACTTCTCCGATCGCACAGGTATATGTTTTGCTATTGAATGCTAAGTCCGTACCTTTAGGACGAAACAAACTTAATGTTCTCACTTCTCGCACTTGTTTGTGTTTTTCCTAAAGAGTAGATGTGCATCTTCTGTCTTTGTGAGAAGGAGGTTTTTGATAATCTGAGGCTAATTACTGAGCTGACTAATGGGTTCGGCATAGTCTCATATTGCTTTCTTTAACTAATTGTGAAGAAAGGGCACTGTATTACCAATCACCCTCCCCTGTTGGTGTGGGCAGCTTGCTCAATCAGGGGATATGTGTTGGCTTCACGTGAATGGCAAAACCTGTTGATGAAGGGAGGAAATCCTGTACCTGAAGTGTTTTCCTTTCTTTTTCATTTCATCAAAGCGCATTATCTAACAATTGATTCTGATGCATCTTCCTCTTGTCTCCATTTTGGATAATTTGGCAGCTACAGACAAACCTAATGAATACAGACAATTTAGCTGTCTTGTTTTCTATATTTTTCTTGGAAAAATCGTGTCCACAGCTGTTGACATGTTGTCTGAATTCTATCAATACCTTAGACCCTTTGTTAAAGAAAAATACATGGGAGCTTCTTGGTAAGATGTATCATATTATGGCTAATGAGCCACCTAAATGTGTCGTTGACTATATTCTTTTAGGTTCTGCATGGTCTTGATCTTGACAGTTATAAGCATTCCATGTTCCCCAAACTGAGGGCAGTGCACTGGCCACTTCCATGCTAGCAAATCTAGTTGAATTTACCAATGAATTTTTTTCGTGATTTAGTACTTGGACTGCTTGAGAAATAACAAGCTTTCTAATAAAACAGAGATGATGATAAAGGGGTTGCAATAATGTCACGCCATCGATATCCTACAGAAATTTGTCGGGTATTTGAGAGAACTACCCCTCAAAAGTTCCAGGCTGCCCTTAAACTGTCCGAAGAACAGAATGATGATAAGTCTCTGATTAATGGAGGCCGAAAAGATGCATCTGAAACATCGACTGAAAAGAAAGGAGGTCGAAAGGGAGTGAAGTCATCTGAGTCAGGCAAAAATACCAATGATGGTACTCGTGGCAGACAAGCCACTATGAAAGTAGTTCTTGGGGAGGCCCTAGGGTATGGACCTGCACTTTCTGAGCATATCATATTAGACTCTGATCTGGCTCCCAATATGAAGTTTCCTAAAGAAGACAAGTTAGATGATGAGACTGTTCAAAGATTGATCAAAGCTGTTGGGAAATTTGAGGATTGGCTGCAGGATGTGATCTCTGGAGATACAATTCCTGAAGGATACATTTTGTTGCAGAATAAGAATCAGAAGAAGGAGCTTCATGCTCCTTCTGAAACTGGAAGCCAGGTGCTGTTTTTGTTTCTTAAAATTGCAGTGTCAGTCCCTCTTGCTTCAAAATCACCATATATTCTTTCAAATTTTCAACTGCGCAATGTTATTACTGATCGATATTTCTACAGATCTACGATGAGTTCTGTCCCATTTTGTTGAACCAATTCAAATCTAGGGAGAATATCAAATTTCAGACTTTTGACGCAGCTTTGGATGAGTTCTATAGTAAAATTGAGAGTCAACGGGCAGAACAACACCAAAAGGCAAAAGAGGACTCTGCGGTTCAAAAACTTAATAAAATACGCTTGGATCAGGTATTGATCCCCTTTTTTAATCTAGTTAACTTCTAGGTTCTCTGAGCGTTCTAATAGCTGAGTCCCTTCTAATTCATATATTTCTTTGTAATTTTCTTTGTGGAAGTGGAGGTTTTGATTATGGTGGTATAGCTGCTTCCTAAATGTGTCTTACTTGCATATGTATTTGAGCTGATGTATCATACAGACATGTGTTGTCCTCCCTTATTCTGCGCCATGTTGATTATTAATGATTGCTAGTTCTTGCTACTCAGAAATTTTTTTCTTTTGCTGTTGTTTACATTTTTAAACCTCTTCCTGTTGCGCATCCATGCCGGAGTTGATTTCTCATGTTCACTATGTGAAGAGGATGGGTCAGTTGCAGGAGTAGTTTCTAATATCGACTTGAAACTTGCTTAGCATACAGGTTTACCTTTATGCTTTATGTGGTAACTTTTTGTTTTTTCCTTTTCTTTTTGACTTAGGAAAATCGTGCGCACACACTAAGAAGAGAAGTTGACCGCTCTGTTAAAATGGCTGAATTGATAGAGTACAACTTAGAAGACGTCGATGCAGCCATATTAGCTGTTCGAGTGGCTCTTGCAAAGGGTATGAGTTGGGAGGATCTTGCTCGCATGGTGAAAGAAGAGAAGAAGTCGGGTAACCCTGTGGCTGGTCTTATTGACAAACTCCATCTGGAAAGAAACTGCATGACATTGCTGTTAAGCAACAACCTTGATGAGATGGATGATGACGAAAAGACAGACCCTGCGGATAAGGTATCTGTTGAAATTGGGCTTTAATTGCATCGAAGGGAAATATATTATCTTTGTTTGGACCATTAGCACAGGCATCCATCACTTGATCTAGCTTAGGTTATTCATTCTCTTGATGATAATCTTTGGATAGAGATAAAGAGATATTAAATTATATGATGATGTTTGGCAGAAATATCTCTTGCTTGTGAGTCTTGTTATACTTGATACAATGGGTGATTTCCTGGTGAAAGTTTTAGTCATTCAACTTTGAGGTTACTTCCATTCAGGTCCTTTAAATTTTATATTTTCAATCAAGTCATTGGATTTTTAGAACTTTCAGTTAGGTCACTGCACTTTTGAAGTACTCAGATAGCTTGTCAACTTTCTGTTGATAATGTAACAGAAAGGTGACATGGCTCTGTGTACGTGTCATGTGGCATGCCACATTAATATTCCTGTTGCTTTTAATGGATGGTTGACTGAGCCACCTCATTCGAAGTGCTTCCACAATTTATTCGACTTGTTGAAAGTTTTGAAAGTTCAATTTACTGTATCTCGTACTTGCTGAAGACGGTCTTTCTTCCTTCTTTCCTTTTCTGTGACAGGTTAAAGTTTTTTTCTTTGAATTTTCCTTCTGTCTTACATATGTTATGTTTCGGAAAGAACATCATGTACAGCTGTTTGGCACAATTTTTGGTTTAATTACCTTCTGCTTTTTATAGGTTGAAGTTGATTTAGCATTATCTGCGCATGCCAATGCCCGTCGGTGGTATGAACAAAAGAAAAAGCAGGAAACCAAGCAAGAAAAGACCATTACGGCTCATGAAAAAGCTTTCAAAGCAGCTGAGAGAAAGACGCGTCTCCAGCTTTCTCAGGTACACACTTCCTTGTTTTATCAATGCTTCACTTGATTTGGGGCAACAGCTACCAAATATGACAGGTTTGGTGGGGTGTTAACAATCAGGTGATCTAAGTTCATAACTGTCATCAATGAACTTTTTGAAAAGAGAACATTATGCCAAAATACGCATAACCTTTTCAGTTACTTGAGGTGGTACAAACCAACTTATTGGTGCTGTTTGTACTAGATATAGATTTGATTTTATGGATCAACATGATGCCTATGAAGGTATACCCCTGGACCAAATCATTGAGAAAAACCGGAAAGTTGGACAATATATGCTGAATTAGCAGTTGGTACCCCTTGATCAACTTACTTTTTCCAAGTGGAAAGGGATAAAAAAACTATTTTAAATGACACAGGCACTGAGGTCAGATTCGCTTGTTCCTAATTCGCAGTTAAGAGTATGAGAGACCTGTCTGGCCACTATGATTTTGCATGAGTAAACTTCATCAAGCTTTGATATTTACCAGTGTATTTTCATGTTGTTCTTGAAATGAAGGATAATGGAACAACTGTGGATATTAATCTTCCAGCGTCATATACTTTAACATAAAAAATTGTCCTTATGGACTTCAGTTTCTGATGCCTTTCCCTGATTAATCCAGGAAAAGACAGTTGCAACAATTACTCATATGCGCAAAGTCCATTGGTTTGAGAAATTTAATTGGTTCATCAGCAGTGAGAATTATTTGATTATCAGCGGCCGTGATGCTCAACAGAACGAGATGATAGTCAAGCGTTATATGTCAAAAGGAGATCTGTAAGTTATTATTGCGGGAAATTAATTTTTGAAGGATATTACTTCTTTTTCCTCTATTCTTTTGGTGTTTCGGGGTGGGGGTGGAGTGGGGGTAAGGAGGGCATGCAAGAGGAATAGAATCTTGTCATTTGCATGGTGACATTATAATGCAGAATGGGGTGAACTTTTGTAAACATACAGAGATGTAAGAAGAATTCTCAAAAGTCTATCATTTCTGATACTCAGTACTGTCCGTTTCTCATTTTAATTGCCATCGATGGAATTTCAAATAATGGAAGTCCTAATTTCTGTCTTCATCTGGCTACCTTCCTTGCACTGATTAGGTGCAATTTGAGTGAGTTTATGCGATCTTATCCTGGATCATCTAACGAGATTTTTGTTCTTGTCCAACTTTTAAAGAATCGAATTCTTATTGAAGCTTGTCAGTTGCTGCTTATCATGTCAATTCAACTGTTGAACAGGTATGTACATGCTGATCTTCATGGAGCATCTAGCACAGTGATAAAGAACCACAGGCCAGAGCAATCTATACCTCCTCTTACTTTAAATCAAGCTGGATGTTTTACGGTTATCTTCTTCCTCACAGTCAGATTATATTTATGCTCTTTATTATTGTTTAGTAATCGTCTTCCTCACGGTCCAATTATGTATATGCTTTTTATTAATGTGAAGCTGTGAAAAGGTAAATGGTTTCACTGGGGATGATCAATTGGTATTTTGGTGCTCGTTTTAGGTTTGTCACAGCCAGGCATGGGATTCAAAGATCATCACCAGTGCTTGGTGGGTCTATCCCCACCAAGTTAGTAAAACTGCTCCCACTGGTGAATATCTTACTGTGGGAAGTTTCATGATCCGTGGAAAGAAAAACTTTCTACCCCCTCACCCTCTTGTGATGGGTTTTGGGTTGTTGTTTCGGTTGGATGAGAGCTCTTTGGGTTCACATTTGAATGAAAGGAGAGTGAGAGGTGAGGAGGAGGGCATTGATGATACAGAAGAAAATGCGTCTCTCCGAGAAGAACCTGATACTGACTCTGAGAAGGAAGTGACAGAGGAGAAAATCTCTGCCAAGTTGGAAAGAGTTCCTGATTCCACAACAGAAAATTTTGAACATGCATCAGAATCCACAGCTAAAGATAATTTCACACACAATGCCTCTGCAATCTCCTCTTCTAGAGGTAGTGACCACGATAACTTCCGTATTGCGCAGAATGGTACCCTGAATGGTGGCGATGGAAACAATATAGCTGATGGTTTAGTAAATGGTGCTGCTTCAATGAACCCACAACTGGATGATCTCATTGATAAAGCACTTGGACTTGGATCTGCTTCCCAGCCTAGTATGAATTATAGGCTTCAAGCTTCTCAATCAGATTCGTTGGGAGAACGCAATCAGGAAGAGAAAAAAGTTCCAACTAATAATAAACCTCATACTTCAAAAGCTGAAAGAAGAAAACTCAAGAAAGGTATGCAGAGTAATGTTTCTGCGGAAACACTCGTGGACGAGGGAGTCAATAAATCAAAGGAAAGTGGAGTTTCTGCTGATCATTCTGAAAAACAAGTTCAAAGTGTGAAACCTGGCGGGGGGAAAATCAGCCGTGGGCAGAGGAGTAAACTCAAAAAGATGAAAGAGAAGTATGCTGATCAGGATGAGGAAGAAAGAAGTATTCGCATGGCATTATTGGCTGTAAGTTAAATATTCTGCGACACGATTTTCACTGGCCAAGTTGCAAAATATTTCCTCATCAATATCTCCCATTCATTTTTCCCTTCATTGATTTGGTCTTTCGACATCTCTTTGCTGAAGTAGCTTCTTCACCAAGCTAATGGATGTATAATTTTTTCTTATTATTCTTCATGTAATTTACAAATTTAATGAATTGATGGGAAGCATTTAATAACCTTTGTGAAAATAAGAAGTAAAGTACATAAATATTTTCCAGAAAAGAAAGTTGAATCGATAGCACTGTCAATCTATAGTGTCGTACTAAAACACCCTCATTATCAGAACTCGTGGCAAAGACCGACTGACCTAGTAAAACCAAACCCAAAGGCGGCACCCTTTCACCTGTACTCACATGCACACACTCTGACAAAATAGGCAAACTTGGAGAGGCTTTGATATACATCTCCAACTGAGACACTGATTGGTGGAAGATACACCATGTGAAATGCATTTGACAGTATGGTATGGAAATTGTCACACGTAGTTTCATTTTGAAGGGCCCTGTGATATCATGATAAATATGAACATTTTCATTGATTATTTGTGTCAAAATTGCATTCGACTTGAATGCATTTCATTTTTTGCATATGGGCTTAGTTGTGCTCTAATTGTTTATTAGATGAATGTGGACCACGTCATCTTCTCTATAGTTTTTAATGATGTTTCTTTTAAAATTTTATAGTCTGCTGGAAAGGCGCAAAAGAATGATGTTGAGTCACTGAAGGGAAATGCAGCTCCACACAAGGAGAAACAACCTGTTAGTGGTATGTGTACAGGTTTTAATTGAAATCTTAATGAACATCGTTCTTACTAAAACGAATCTTTGCTTTGTCGGCTGTTTCAAATTGCCAGGGAGGTAAGTAGTAATTGGATAGATATCATCATCAGAGAAGGTTGTAGCATGTAGGCTACCCGGATGTTAAACATCTTGAGAAGAGCTTGATTAGCTAGAAATTAAAATGATGAAAATAGGGGACTGTACCATGTCTGTCCTCGGTTCATTTATCATTGAGGAGACAGCAATCTCTCCTTCCTAAACTTCTATTTTTGGACTTTTAATCCCCTTTTTTATGCCCTTATCCTCTTTCAAATTTGTCATTTTTTTTTTTCACTCTTAGGAGAGCCCAAGTTCAAATAAAATCTTGTTTATATTTGGCCACGATATGCAGGTCCAGAAGATGTGCAAAAAATATGTTACAAATGCAAAAAGGTAGGTCACCTTTCCCGTGACTGTCCAGAGCATCCAGACGATGCTTCACGAAGTCATGCGAATGGTGAAGTTGAGGTTCCGGGTCACTTGCCTTCAGGAGATACTGTCTCTGATATGGACAGAGTAACCATGGAGGAGGAGGATATTCACGAAATTGGTGACGAAGAGAAAGAAAAATTAAACGATGTGGACTACTTGACCGGGAATCCACTACCTAGCGATATTCTCTTGTATGCAGTCCCCGTCTGTGGGCCATACAATGCAGTACAATCGTACAAATACCGTGTGAAGATTGTCCCTGGAACTGCAAAGAAGGGAAAAGGTACTTATGCTTGAGTATCTTATTATTGGAAGGAATTACTGTCTCCCTCTCTCCTCTCCATGCCTGCTTTTATGCTTTTTGAACACGGCTAGTTCATCAAGAATTTTGGCTATTGCAGCTGCAAAAACGGCAATGAACTTGTTTAGCCATATGCCTGAGGCGACAACTAGGGAGAAGGAGTTGATGAAGGCTTGTACAGACCCTGAGCTGGTCGCCGCGATCGTCGGCAATGTGAAGATCACTGCCGCGGGTCTTAATCAGCTAAAGCAGAAGCAAAAAAAGGCCAAGAAGAGTGGAAAACAAGAGAGGTAGCGAGAAAACAGTAGTCTGTGATCTAACAATAGTTGCTCTATAAGGTTTGAAGATGGAGATACCGTTTTTCTTTTGATAGAAAGTTAATTTTTCTTGTTTTTTAAAACTTTTACAATTCTGGAATTTAGAGAGGTGTAAAGGAGTACTTTGTACAGAAGCTACAGGTCCATGCTGCGCAAATATATTGGACTAGTGAAAACATGAAATGTTGGCAATTTTCACAGAGAGAATAACGTAAACGGATGCGGACTTAAATGTAAGGCATGTCATGACATGCGCTCCAGCGTTTGGTTGGTCGGAATGATTTTCTGCTGGCACTTAGGAAGGCCACTTGAAGAAAAAGGATGCTGCTTTCCTACAATGCTGCGGTGTATAGGACAGATAAGTCCTGTCTGGACACAACCATCTACAGCTGATAATTGCTACCTTTTCTCGATATTATATTGCATAACCGTCTCTAACAAAATATATGTGATGCGTTGTGCATTTGCCGAACATACATTTTGCTTAGATTATAGCGTTTTTCTTCTCTCGATTAAGGAAACATGGAAGAGCTCGATTCTGGCAACGTAGAGGATGGTCGAATCAATAATTTCTTTTCCTAGCTTACGGCACATGTGCCGATATAGTTGCAACCTGCAACAGTTTCTCTACAAGAAATGATTTAATTGGAAACATTACACCATGGCAATCTCAATCACAGTTCATTGGCGGCTGCGGGAACATCGCTCAAGTCTAGGCCTTCTGCTGGCAAATCGGAAGAAAGCGGACCCAAGATCCCATCAGAACTCAGAGTCAATCCGCTCTGCAGTATCAAGAAAAGAACGGTTATTTCATCACCTGAATCTGTAAAAGCTATGACTAAATGTGCACTGCTCACAGTTGCAGACCCGACATAGCAAAAGAATGACAAAGCATGGTATACATCATTCTCAATGTCCAGGACAAAGTAGGCAATCAGAAGTATGAAAATGTTAAATTCAAATGTGCGTCAAAAGTAGAATAGTCCATGCTATGGAGCTCCGAGTGGATCCTGGCGATGGGAACACCTAAAATTGGTCATGCCTTTACGACAACCAAAGACGCAAACAGGAGAAAAGTAACTCACGGGAGCAACATGAAAAATTTCCTCACTAGTTTAAGCTTCATTAAGTTATGCAATTACAATATAAATCATTTTCCAGTTCCTTAGGGTGCGTTTGGTAACCATTCTGTTCCCCGAAACAATTTTTGCCTGGAAATGGCTTTTTTTTATTCTGTTCCCGGGAACAATATATAAGCATTTGACGGCGTTTGGTAACAGCCCAAAATTTCCATTTCTAGAATAGAAAAAGAACAGAAATGCATTTGATAACGGCACAAAATTTCTTTTTATTAATAATATTTTTAAATATTTTAATATTTCTTTTTTTTTTTCTTTTCTTTTTTTCTTCTTCTCCTTGTTGGCCATGGCCGGCGACCGGCCACAGGCCAAGGCCGGCGAGGGTGTCTCGGCCTAGGCGAGGGTCGCCCTCACCGGAGGCCACCAGCGGCGAGGGCGGCCCTAGCCTGCGGCCAGTCGCAGGCCAGGAAAGAACAGAAAAGAAAAAAAAAAAATTTCTCCTCTATTTTTTATTCTTGTTCCTAGAATCAAGAAGCAACTTTTTTTTATTCTTGATTCCGCTCCAAAACTGATTCTAAGAACAAATTTGTGTAAATTTGTGCCCAGGAACAAAAGATTTACCAAACGGATTTCTGTCCTTTTTTTGTTCCACGGAACAAAAAATAGAATCAGTCACTATTTGGCAAGTTACCAAATACATCCTTATTGGTATCGAGGGCAAACCCTCAAGTTCAAAGCATCTTATGTAGCACTTCCACTTTGTTGCAATAGCCAGTTATCAATCTTTATATAAAGCCCGGAAATGGCTGGAAGAGAAATAAATCAGGGAACAGCCCGATTAAGCACAGGTAATTACCTCAGGCTGGAACCTAAGCATATCCGCACGAGCCATCGCTTCTGCTTGAGCAATCCTCTGCCTGAATGTCTGTGCCATCTCCTCCGCCTATTACATTGAGGCCCATTACAAAATCAGTATGTCATAAGGCAGCAATATAAGATTCACGATTGTAACAAAAAAAAAAAAGCAAAAGCAAAAGAATGTGATCCAAAATCACTAATAAGACTAGTCAGAGATCTTGGCAGTCTTAAGCAATAGGTTTCATGTCTTTTATTTCTCAACATTCCTCACCAAAGGCTTAATCATTCCCAAGCGCTATTAATGTTCTTTCACTAATCAAGTAAGATCCACATTCCACCATCAAGAACTGAAACCTTACCAGAAAGAACTAAGTTGTAATGTCATTAAAGCAACGAGAAATCGTGCATTTGAGACCACTACCTTCTCAAAAACAAGCTTTGGGTTGCGAATCATGTCACCAGGAGTAGGTTCCAACTTCTTGGTTGAAAGACTCACTCTGCCTCTCTCGCGGTCGTGGCTCAAAATCATAACCTACACCAGGCGAGCTAGTTAGAGGTTTATCTACTCGTCAAAAGTGAAATTTCCAGCAAACTAACTATACAAACTAATTAGGCATATAACCTTGAGAGTATCTCCAGGTTGAAGAACGGTTGCTATGTCGGAGACACGGTCATGGCTGATCTGACTGACATGGAGGAGTCCGTTAATTCCGCCAATATCAATGAAGGCACCATAAGGCTTCAGACTCTGAACTGTTCCGATAACCACTGATCCAATGCCTAACTGGGCCTGGCTATCTGCCATCGCCTTGCGGTTACTGAGGACAAGCCTAGACTGCTCCTCATCAACTTCCACAAACTTCAGCGGGAGTTCCGTCTCAAGAAGCTCTTCTGCAGCTGTTTTCTGATGCATATCCAAAAAATTGTTGAAGTTAATTACAATACCAGTTCAGAGCAGAAAAAATCCATAGACAAAATTCAACCAATGGTTCAGAACGAAGAAATAGATAGCATCATGAATTGATAAAATAGACATCAGACAGTAACTTTAAGGCCCGATAACAGTATGACACACAAGCAAACAATTCAACATAAAAAATGGGGAAGCCGTGTCAAAAGATGAGAGAACTTACGGTTGATATTTGAGAGAAAGGAACAAATCCTCGCAAGCCCTCCACCACGGCAACCACTCCACCTTTGTTTGCACTAACAACCTGATATACAAAAAGACCCTTAAATTAACCAATTGTTTAATTGGAAAAAAGTAAAAGGAAATCGCTGAACACACGAAAGAGGAAGAGAAGACTATCACAAGATCTCCTGGGTCATAGCAAGGACAGGAAATAGTTTAGGGGTCAGAACAATTACAGAAGGAATTTGGATATCAGCAAGACAAAGGAGTGAGTAGGAGGTGCAATTTTGCACCCTCGCATTTAGTGAGACGCCAAGAGAACTCAATGAACAAAGCAGATAGTGCATTTGAGAGCTGGGAATACCAACAGGATGGTAATGCTAAAAGCAACAATGCAAACCTTGCCCTTAACCACGACATCTTCAGCTTGAAGCTGCCTACATCTTTCCCAAGCAAGATCATACTGTATTGCTCTTAAGCTCAAGATCAAACTATCATCAGCTTCATTTTCTCCGATAATTACGAACTCCTCTTTCAAGCCAGGAACTATACCAGCTTCTCCAACATGCTTTATCTTGTGAATACATGCCTCTTGGACAGGCAAGAAGGCTGAAGATTTTGCAGTTATATCAACAAGGGCCCCGTTGGCATCTGTACAGAAAACGGTTCCCTTCACCTGAGAAAAAAATGAGCATAGTATGAACCTAGCATGCTCAAGCACACTCATATACATAGAAAAAAAATAATTGCCAAGTGAGAAGGGTAAATCTTGGACAAATAATGCGGTAAATAAGTAAGGATGGTAACACCATTCCAATATTCGACGCTTTGAGGAAGTTACAGCGTTTGTCAGTCTCTGCCAGGAAACGGTGGTCAAACATTTTATTCACTCTTAGACGGCTATTTCGATGAGGAAACTGTCTCTGTCTAGTAGCAGAAGTTGTTCTCACTTAAGGTAATTTTCCAGGAAATGCTCTCCACTAGACAAGCAAGAGGTAGAAAGAGCAGACACAATTGGATTAACCTTATCATTCTCCGTGATACCGCTATCTCCCACCACCAACATTTACAGTGTCCAGTTTCACAATTCCACCAGCGAAGACCATTATGCATCGAGCTGGCAAAACCCAATACAGGACTTCATAAAATCAATCACATAACAATCCCATCACCATGGCCATCGACAACAAATTCATGCCTTTCTCTCGGCCCCTCGTTCATATTGCAAACTCTCACCAATCAACTCCCTTCCACCCTTCACTTTTTTCCCATAAAGTCACACATTTGCCACATCAAATTCAACTTCGCATCACACCCAACAAAGACCCATCTCTCCACACACGCATTAATTCACAAGAAAGTAGAGCCACTGACCTTGGTTCCGAGCTCGGAATTGAAGTCGTACTTATCGAGGGCGGTGTGGAAATCCTCGAGAGTGAAGGCGACGCCCTCCATGGGGGCAGTGCGGCACCGGTCGTAGGCGTCCTCGAAGACCTGCTTCAGGTCGGTCCGCTCCCGGGTCTGGGCATTGGAGATGGCCACCGCGGAGACGACGGTCAGCGAGGAAGGCTTCTTGGGAGAACCGCCGGCGGCGTGGGTTCGCCGGCGAGCAGCGAAGTGCTTGTAGGAGAGGCGGGAGCGACGGAGCGGCGGGCATCTCAGGCCGGTGAACTGCTGCGCCAAAGACGCCATCTTTTCCGGCTTCCCGGCTCGCTGCAGCAACTGGGCGTTGTCTCGTGTGCCTCCTTTGGTTTCGTTTTGCCAGGATTGGGTTAAGAAGAGAGAGGACCTTGTCGGGTTAGATAAGGTAAGGAGGCCAAGGTGACAGACACAGTGGCAAATGGCGATGGCCAACTAGCCAAGTACTCTTGTTTAGTTTTTTTTGCTTTTTTTTTTAGTGGTTGTGCTTGAATGTGTGTCTGAAGTCATTGGTTATTGAAGTGAGTTGTTGAGTAGGTTTCATACTTTCATTGGTGTGTCAGATTTAATTCTTAATGATTTCAAGCGCGCATCGATTTGATATTACTGGTTTTGAACTGAATAGATCCAGAGTTGTTAATTCGGGTTTTTTTTTACCGATAAGTTTGGTTCGGATTGAAAATGTCCTTAAATTGAGTCAAATCAACATGAACACCCCTACTAGGCGAGAGAGAGGGAGAATTTTGTAGAAGTGACCGGAAAAAGACATTACGAATTTGTGATGGTGGCAGAAATTACCCTACATTTTAAGCTTTGTTTATTTTACGGAAAATGAATGATTTGAAAAATATATTTTTTAAAATAATTACTTAAATCTCTTACGAAAATGAATGAATGAAAAATAGGCATAAATTATTGTCAATGATGAAAACATTTTATATTGATTAATTATTTTTAAGTGATATAAATAATCATTTTTATAATAAAAAAAAATTAAATCATTCATTTTTTTCGAAACAAGCGGAGTCAAGATTTTAGAATGGTAAGATAACACCTTATCCTGGTAGTATGCTTTCCACTCACCTTGGTAAGGCCTAAGAGAGGCGTCGCGAAGGGACTGAATACCTGCATTTGCAAAAATAACAAAAAAACGTAATTTACAGTGACAGTACGATATAAATTGAATATAGAAAATTATACTTGATATAACCCATGCATTTTACCGAGGCAAAAATAACGAAAAAACGTAACTTAATCAATCAAAATTATTATATGAATTAATTTCACAGATTACCACATATCCCAAATAATGAATTTAATTCTCCTAGTTTTATTTGAATTTATATTCTAGACCAATTAAAAACCATGGATTATTTTCTCTCTGTTGACACAATCAAGTCTATTTCACGGCGAAGGAAGCTTCTTCTCGCTGCTCGCGCGATGTTATGTCCGGAGCTCGATCGGTGCTCATCGTCTCCAATGTCGTCTGCGACCGTCAGCCCCGACGCCTCAGGCTCAGGTAACCTCTCCTTGACGAGAGCTCAAATGGGTTCGTCTTCATCCTCAATCACCACCATGTGTCTGCGCTATCTGCTTTCTTTTTCGCGCTGAGATTGGTGAAATTTGGAGGAGGGTCGATGGGCGCTTCGAGTTTGAGATTGATGAAGGGGGCACGCTGCGGCTTAGAGCTTCGTGGGTTTGATCTTTTTTCTTCTTTCCTCTCTCGATTCGCTTTCAAAATTCGAGCTTTCCTTGGGGCGGGGACAAAAGGGCAGGTTTTTGCTTCGGAATTTGCGGCAGCTTAAAAGGCTTTCTGTGTCGTTAGGTGGCTTCTTTCGTTTTTTTCCTTCGTATCGTCTGCTGGATTAGCAGGAAAGAGGAGGAGCTATCTTGACGTGCATTGCTCTCATTATCTGATGTGTTTTTGAAGAGCTTGATGTTGCGAAATTACGAAATCTGTGCGTGGTTTGTTATTAAGGATAGAGAAGTCTCTTTTGTCTATGTTTTGATGATTGGATGTGCTCCAACTTTCAGATAAAGTGAGAGATAAGGAGGGGACAGGGATGGAGGCAGTCAAGGAAGGAGGTTTTCTTGCAAGCTCAGGACCTGAGCCCTCGGAAACTGGTGAGCCCATGTGCTATTTCTTTGGTTTCGTTGTGTGTATCTATTTGTTAAGCTCTGTGAAGCGTGAGCTTAAAGCAGCGGAGCTAAGATTTTCTTATGAATCTGCTAGATCCGAAAGCTCGGGTTGATGCTATGTGGGAGCAAATGAACAAAGGGACCTCTAAGCAGATACTCCAATCCGTTTGCAGAAAGCCCAGTTCAACCGTGAATAATGCTAAGCGCAAGACGTCCACCGTGAGAATGCTGCTTGCTCTGTTATGGTTTGAGTGAATCTAATAGCTACCGTATAACCTTTGGCTTTACTTTGTAGAGTTGGATGAATTATCTAGGCTTGGCTCCTAAGAAGGCAGAATCGTTGTCACAAGAGCAACCCCAGGAAAGGTCTAATCCAGTCCCGAATGGAAGTAGTGATGAGGCTAAGAGACTTGCCGCTGCTGCTCTCTCAGCAGTGAAGGAGGCAGCAGCTGCTGCTGCTTCAGTGAGGGGTAAAGTTGAGGTAAGTACATTTCATAGCAAGGGGGAAGAACCTGCATTTACCTTTTCAATCTGTTGTACCTGCTTTTCAGCCTAGTATTCTGTCACGTCGGTTTGTGAAGTAGTCGAACGGTCATTATTTGCTCCCTATGTTAGAATTGGATGTGGTGGAAAAGTGAAATATGAAACATTTTTATCATGTGAGAATTTTCCCCCCTCAGAATAGTCTAGTTCTTATGTGAATGGCTTGTGTCTGATTCTTATCTAGATCACTGAAATTCGGGACTTTGCTGGTCAAGATATAGAAGTAAAGAAGCTTGTGGATTCTGATTCGAAAGAGGCATCTGACAAGGCCAAGGCTGCTGCACCTTCTGCTGTTGATGCTGTTCTTGAACAAATAAAGAAGAAACCGAAGCTGAGCGTGCTTGATAAAACAAAGAAGGACTGGGGAGAGTTTAAAGAAGAGAACCAGGGGATGGAAGACGAGCTTGACGCCTACAAGAAAAGCTCGAATCAGTATCTGGACAGAGTTTCCTTCTTGCAACGAGCAGACTACCGTGAGTTCGAGAGGGAAAGAGATGCGCGCCTCGCCATGCAAGCCAGGAGGAAGCCAGACATGCGGGATGAGCCCTGAACATGGAACATTGTTGAACATACATGCTGGCGCAACTTCTGGAGCAGTGGCCACCCTATTCACTAAAAAGAGTGAAATTCCCTAAAAGGGGACATGAAGACCAGTCGTAAGTGATGCTTTTCCCGGGAGAGGTTTTGAAGAGCAGTCTCTCTTCTCCTAAACAAACTAGTTTATTGTGGGAGAGTTTTTTAAGCCAATTCTCGGTTTCACCAATCCTCAAGAGCCCGTTTTCTGGTTAATGGGGGAATTCTGCTTCGCGGTGATGAATTTAACGGATGAATCTCCAATGTCGCATTGTTTGATGTGTATTGTTCATGATGTTAGTAGAGTAGGACACATAACCAATGCTAATGGTCATGGATTGTTGTTTCCAATTCCAAAGATCTCTGTATTAGCTTTTGCACGAGAAAGATAGCCTCAGTGATGGGTTTAAAATTGCACCTGATATAGTCGAATCATCTTTCCCTCTTAATAAAATTTCTAAAAGCTTGATCGCATGAAGGGCGATCGGATCACTACGATGAAGTGAAAAAGAGCAACTGAGAAGGCTAAAGCTTCCTTCAAATGAATATGCGAAGTGGAATTTAGGCCTCATTGAGATGGGTTTTAAGAGGAGTTTTCCTGACATATGCTCCGCCAGCCAAAAATAAAAAACGACAAAATCGAAGGTAGATGGGATGGCAGAATCAGACGGGAGCTACCCCAGCAGGGACGGAAACCGACCGGCGAACAATGGCCAGACTTCAGTCCAAACCAGGAAATCGAAGTGGAACATATTAATGCTGGATGTTGGGATGCATCACCTACAGTTCGCATGCAATACCGGGCAACGTTAAGACCCAAGTTTTTATATCGTCCGTAACTGGAAGCTTCCACGTGATTTCAATCTTTCAAACAGAAAACCAATCACATTTGTATGGACAAAACTGCTTCCTAACTTACAAACAAAAGAAAACTTCAATTCTGGGGATCGCCCAATCCCTGCATAGATCCTGCTAATGTGTTTATGAACATTGATAGCAAAAACGCTACAAGGTCATTCTGTTATTGCAGACAGAAGATGACAGCAAACTTCTCTTTGGACACTCGGACTCTTCCAAATAACATAGACAAGAAGAAAAAGGAAGTTTTCAGCCAGAGATTTCAAAATCGAAAATGCAGTGAATGTAAATCAAGAAATCTAGATGTGAATGGGCTTGTCATAAGTTGCCATAGCAGCTTCCTTCAATGCCTCGCTCATCGTCGGGTGTGCATGGCACACGCGTGCAATGTCCTCACTGGAAGCATCATATGCCAAGGCTAACACTGCCTCATGAATGAGTTCTCCAGCATTTGGTGCCATGATATGAACTCCCAATATCTTGTCTGTCTCCTTGTCAGCCACAATCTTGACAATCCCTTCTGCATCATCAATCGCCTTGGCCCTGCTATTAGCCAAGAAAGGGAATTTCCCCACACGGTAATTAACACCAAGTGCCTTCACCTGCTCCTCAGTCTTTCCAACAGATGCAACCTCAGGATGTGTGTATACAACACCAGGGACCTTGTCATAGTCCACATGGCCAACTTTACCGGCTATGAACTCTACACAAGCAACCCCATCCTCTTCGGCTTTGTGAGCCAGCATTGGGCCTGGAATTACATCTCCAATTGCATATACACCGGGCACATTTGTAGCGAATTGGTCATTGACTGGTATCCTTCCAGCCCTGTCGGTCTCCACTCCTATCGTTTCTAGCCCAAGACCTGCTGTAAATGGAGTTCTACCAGCAGAAACGAGGACAACATCAGCTTCAAGGGTTGTCTGTGCACCACCGGCTGCAGGCTCGAGGGTCAACTTTACACTGTCTCCAGATGTGTCAACTCCAACAACTTTGGTCTTGAGCATGAACTTCATCTTCTGTTTCTCGAGGGCACGTTGAAATTGCTTGCGGATTTCCCCATCCATAGAAGGCACTATATCTGGTGCAAACTCAACTACCGTCACCTCTGATCCTAGTCGGCCCCACACTGAACCCATCTCTAGGCCTATGTAACCTGCTCCAATCACCACCAGCTTTTTTGGAATTTCTGACAAAGCTAAGGCCCCAGTTGAAGAGACTATTCTCTTTTCATCAATGGTAATCCCCGGTAAAGATTTCACGTCAGAGCCAGTGGCAACTATTATGTTCTTGCCCTTTACGACGGCATTGCCACCATCAATGGTGTCTACTGAGACCTCTGAGGGGGAGATGAACTTTCCATACCCTTTGACATAGGTCACCTTATTTTTCTTGAACAGACCTTCAATACCTTTGGTCAAACCGGACACAGCTTTGTCCTTTTGGGCCATCATGGCAGGTAAATCAACCTCGACAGATGGGAATTTCACACCATGGCTGGCGAAAGAATGCTTTGCTTCATGATACATGTGCGAGGAATGAAGCAGTGCCTGGTAATAGGAAGGGAAACAACAAAGGGAAAATGGAGTTGGAAAAATATTCTGTCATTACTAAAGCATTGTCCACATGCAAAGTAAAGAGAAGTGTAAAACTAACCACCGAGACAAGACTTCAAGGGCCCATAAATGAAGGTTTAATTCATTTCCACTGAAAATATATTAACGTAAAATCTAACCAACAAAAGATGACTGAAAACATGTCTTGAAGATGTGAGCGAAAATGCACTAACATCCGCATTGCAGAAAATCAATGGCAGATAAAGATCGGGAAGAACCAAATACTATATGAGCATACAAACAGCTTGATAGTAATAAAATAAATTCAAGGATCACAAAAATTACCCAAAAAAGGAACTTTTCAAATGAAGAAGCTTGTTAGTCAACCATAAAGAGAAAAGGTGTTCTAAAGCATACAAACTGAAGCACAGCAAAAAACTTCGATTTGCTCGCAAATCAAATAAGAATGCTATAAATTCTCCAAGCAGTGTAGGCGTCCGCAAACAAGACTCATCTTCAACACCTATACAAGTATCTCCACCTGTTTTCTTGTGATGCCACGCTCCCACCTCGACGCTCAAGCCCAAATAAGTAACAGACTGAATCCTCACGTCACTCAAGAATCAAGATTACAGAGATTACTCTCCTAAGTTCTTCATAGGTACGGAGGATAACACTCTCCTTGACAATTGAAAGCCTTTTGCGTTAATAATCACTACACTTGTGGACTTTTGTTAGGTCCACCACAATTCATTTCCCACTCTAATCTACACAAGGAGAGACATATTCCACTTCTACGAAATTTGACAACAAAATAAACAGCTCTTGGAGGGGAAAAGCGAAAACTCCCCCCCAATCTCAAATCATCGCGAATTCCAACACACATCCCCTACGGAATTCGCTCCTCTAATCCAAACAAACAGGGAATCAACACCGAGACAAAACCGCTAGATCCAACCACAACCTCCAAAAATCGGACGCAGGCACACCACCACCACCCCCCACAAAAAAACCGACCGCGAGCACCACAAGAATCCCTAAACCCCCCAAAGGAGACAATCACCTTCGAAGGGATACAGCCGACGTTGAGGCACGTCCCGCCGAGGGCGCCGCGCTTCTCGATGCAGGTGGTCTTGAGCCCCAGCTGCGCCGCCTTGATCGCCGCCACGTAGCCGCCGGGGCCCCCGCCGATGACGACCACGTCGTTGTCGTCGGATCCCGAGGCGAAGCCCCGGGCGAAGGAGTACCGGTGCGCCGCCCCGGCGGAGGAGGTGCAGCCGAGGAGGCGCGACGCCTTCCTCCTCGCGATGCTCGCCATCGCCATTCGCTCGGAGCGCCGGAACCGAAGCTGCCTGGACGATCGGACGGTCGAGCTCGCGCGGTCGGAGCTCCGATGGAAGAAGAGGAACGAGCGAGAGACACAGAGAAATGAGATTTCGCCAGCGTTTGCTTGCGAGGAAAAAGATTAAGAGGGGAGCCGTTGTCGTCGGGTGCGGCGGCGGCGCACGGTAAGGTCTCGTGATCGAGCGGTCCGGAGCCGTTGGATCTGGGCTGGGGGATCGGGAGGACGGTGGCGATGAGGTCGTGGGAGTGGTTGGGGTGGCGTCTGTGTGGTGCGCGCGTGCCGTATTTGTTGACTAAAATGTTTTTTTTTATTTTGTTTAGAGGACGTTTGATCACGTCAAATTTTATTTTCGTTAATGAGCAATTCTCTTATTTTATAAAAAAAACTTATTTATTTGAAAATAATGCTTCGTTATGAACCAATTTTTGTTTAACATCGTGCTCAGCAAAGAACAATTATCATGTCTATCTACTCGTTTTACTATTTTCATTTGTTTCTCCATGATACTTTCACTATCTTCACATGATTAACAAAAATAAGAATATTAACATAATCATATTTAATGCAAATAAATTGATTAATTCCATCAATATCGATTATAATTTGGAAAAAAAAATCATTAACCATTCCAACAAGAATGTTAATGTTTAAACATAAAAGAATAAAATGTCAACACAATACATTATTTATTAGAAAACAGGAGAAAAATCCACAAAAGTGATATACAAATTCGTGAATTTTAGCACAGCGCATATTAGAATCTAGATGAATACTTTCGCAATTCTGTAAATCTATCACTTACAATCCGAACATTTTTTTTTGTTTGAAACAATACAAGCATTGAATGAATAAAAATGTACCTTCCGAATCCTTTTGAGTGATCTCGAAGATAGTACAAAAGCATTATAATTAATTTCGTTGCGAAACAAAAGTAAATACAAGTTCTCAAATAGAAAAAAGTTTGCAGTTTTGACGTTAGTATTTCCTTCCATTTACATAAAATTAGAGAAATTTCCGCTTTCAAAAGGACACATTACGTTGAGTTTTGTTTCCGAAATAATTGATTTTTAATCATAACTAATAAAACAACGTTTTCATGTGAAAAATTACTCTTTTTTTCCTTTTAAGAACATAAAAAACAGCATGAGTAAACGTAAGGAAACGACTCTTGAAACGAAGACGAGGGCGTTGCACCGTGCGGCCCTAAAATTAAAACAACAGGGAAATAATATCCGCGTAGAGTCTTTTTTATAGGTGATATGATAAACGAGGCTAATTATATTAAGAAGCTGCACAGAAATTTTGTATGCTCCTGTGATGTTCAATGTTGGGTCTATTCATTTCTCAAGATATAAACTGGGTTCGACTTGTAAAATGAGTTTATTTAGACTGTAGCTTCTCGAAGCCGATAGGACCTCCTAACATAGCGCAGCAGACTGTCATCCTTTCATTGCAATGAGATGTAATATGAGCTCAAGCTTTTGTACATTAATCCTAGAAGTCTTCTTAACTTGGTAAAAAGACTTGGAAGATGCAGAGATTTCAAAGAATCAGAAGAACACTCCCCTCTCCCTCTCCCTCTCCCCTATCGATCTCGCACTTTATTTTTATTTTTATTTTATTGTTGATGAGTTCTTAAACATCCAATGATTTGAACTGTAATCCTTGAATGCATGGTGTGTCATCCAATTTTAGATGCAGCAATGGGTTTTTCTTCTGGTAAATCAATAGATAAGTCGTGTGTCAACTTCTCATCCGCGAATAGGTGTTACATTCAGGGGTGTTCTTACAGTAAAAAAGGGAGTTTTTCTCTCGTATTTCCCTGGGAAAAAGCACGATATTTGGGTTGTGGAGAGGAGATCGGGAATGGTGTGTCCTCACAAGACCTACCACTTGATCTAGAGTTCGGTGGAGGAGAATAATCATGTAGAAATAGCCTTCCAAAGGGCTCGGTTTGGATGTGGCTATGAAGCTTGAAAACTCTTTATCTCAAGCCCAGGAAAAGGACAACTTCCAACACTCTGGCCACAAGCCCCTTGAGTTGGAATCTCGTTTCATCCAATCTTTTGGAACCAGCAGAAAGAACAAACAGAAGACAGCCACAACAGTCGATCGAATTGTGAATGGCTCTCGCGCACTTTTGAAATGAAACAAATCAAACCCTCAAAGAGCACATTCCCATTTGCACATGAATTTGCAAGGAAAACAGAGAAGGCTTTCAGCAATTCGGACTGTCAATGTTTTACTAAGAACTGCAATCTATAATAAAATGGAGCACAGCATCACTCGTCCATGGAGTTTCTAGATCGATTTAACATATCATCTCACAAATCTTTACAAATGACGGGACAAATATCTCCGAACGGTAAAAGTTCCGAACAATACACTCCAACAAACTACAAAACTGCTGGCTGTTTTTTCTTTTTCTCTTCTAAATCATCTGAAACAGCCACAAACAGATAAAATCATCCTCCATAACGATGTGCTGTGAAAAATAATGGTATTTACAATAAAATGCACTCAATTTCCTTCCAGCAAGCTCTTCAACCTGTTCCTTGCCTCCTCAGAGAGACCGCAGCATCTCAGTCTTCGCCTCTGGGATGGGCATGACTCGGGCCGATCAGGGGAGCTGAGGCATATCACTATCACCGTGAGGTTGTCAGTAGTATTAAGGCGCAATGCTTCCATGACCAGTTCTCTGGCACATTGATGCGGGTCACTGTGCCGTCTAAGCCCTTGCCTGACTAGACTAACCGCGTACTGACTTGTCATCACGTCCCAAATTCCGTCGCAACCGATTATCAAGAACTCATCATCCTCTGTCAAGATAACTTGTTGGACATCAGGATCAGCGATTAGCGGCGAAGCAGACCCCAGAGGAAGCTTCAAGTCCCAATCCCCAAGAGCACGGGTAACAGATAGGCAGCCGTTTAGATATCCATCATTGAAATAACCACCCAGTTTCTCCACACGTCTTCGCTCAGGTAAAAAGGACGGCCTATGATCTTGGGACATCTCAACTGCAACTCCTTTCCTACACAAAACGGCTCGACAATCGCCAACATTGGCTACCAGCAAATGTCTCCCTAGTATCAAAGCGGTCAGTGCCGTTGTTCCACATGAGTTGCTCACACTGCAATCACCTGCCAAGGCCAGGTCTGCTAGAAGAAAAGATTTACGATGATAGCTCTCCAGCTCTTTCAAGAAGATATCATCAATTGCGGATGTCTCTGGTAAAACAGTATCTTCAAAGAATAACTTCATTGCATTGCTCTTGATGTATGCAGCTGCCTCAGGGCCTCCATGGCCATCGAAAACTGCATAAAAGGCACTTGGTGTGCATAATTCAGAACCCAAATGGGCAGACAGATCATCAACCCTGATGTGTTCATCTTCCATGGAAATCCGAGAGCCCATGTCAGCGTAGCTACCAGAACGAATCCTTGGAAAAAATTTAATGGCATCAGACACAGCAGCAGCAGCATTTGCAGTCTCGAGGCAGTTGACAACCTGCAGAACAAAGAATTAGATAAGCAACATATTTAAGGTCATCGTGAACAGCATCAATAATCAAACAAGAGACCTGCAGATAGAGTTAAATTGACTCAAGCTTGCAGACACAGAAAACTATTAGCAGAATCTCCATATTCCATCCACAAGTGTTACTGGCCATCGAAACTTCTTTACTTGTCCTGCTTGGACACATGAGATGGTTTTGTTCTATCAGAATTACGAAAAGTTTAGATGCAACCCATGAAGAGAAAATGCACCCAAAACTCCTCCGAGTAAAGCACATCCAAAGCATGAGCCAAATCCCATCGCAGCAACATCATAAAAGGCCCCAGTTCACTAATAACTCGACGCCCAAAATTCAAAGAGAAGCTGATTATCTAGAACAGGAACATCAAACCTACATGTACGACACCATAAATTTCAAAAGATATAAGCTTCGATGTTGCGCAGCTAACAAAACCCCATATGAAGCATCACAGCGCCAATCATCCTCCCGAATCATGTCAAATCCTCACGGCCGAATAATTCCGAATTTAAAACATATTGGCCTATTCCACTCGAGCCAAACTTTCTACAAAATCAGATCCCAGACCCAAAATTCTCTAAAGTAGAAATCCAGAAAACAACAGCAACAACAATCCCGCGTCAAAATCATCGAAAACGTCCAGTTAACTGACGAGAGCAACTAATCTTATCGCAAACAAAACGACCCCATCCCCCTCGCAAAGCGCGCAGATTCAATTAAATCAGGCTCCATAAAATCCCAAAGCAACTCCCGAACCCGAACGACCAACCCGATCCGGATCGGGCTCGACTCCAACGAAACCACCCATCACACAAAAAGCCGGGAAAACGACCTAAACAAACCGCGCCGCCGCGCGCCATTCAAAAACCCCGGCGGAAATCCAAACGCTAATGAGAATCGCGGTCGAGCCGAGCGGCGTACCGAATCGATGCGGGAGACGCCCGCGGCAGCGGCCGGCGGCTCGGGGACGACGCGTTGTGGGGCGGTGGCGGGGGCGGCGGCGTCCCGGAACATCGCCGGGCAATGAATCGAGGCGGCGGGAGACGCCTGCAAGCTCGGCGGGCAAACGACCTCCGCCTCCACCGTGACCATCTTCTGGCTCACGATCATCCGCTCCTTCCAAAAAAAGGCCAACTCTCGTCACCGGAAAGCTCGATCGGGTGGGAGGGGGGAACGGAGAAAGCTAGGGCTTCGAATCGGAAACGCTCCTCGACTTCGACTTCAAACAACTTCTTCTTCTTCCTCTTCTTCTTCTTGTCGTCGCGGCGATGGTGGTGGTGGTGGGACGCGCTTTAGGGTTTGCTGAATTTTGGGGTTTCGCGAAAGGCTGCTCGATGCGGGAGGTGAGGCGGAGCTTTATAGGGGGCGGGGGGTGACCGGCTTGACCCGGGAGGCGCGTCCCCGGGCGCGGGACACGTGGCGGTGGAGGCTGTGGCGGGCACGGAACTGGCTGGAGAACGTTTAATGGAAGCGAAACTCTTTTTTTCTTTTTTTTAATGTATATATAATTTCATTTATTTTGTTTTCCCTCCTTCCTTTTTTTTTTTTTGTGGCCAGATACTTTTGTTTTTCCTTCTTTTTTTTTTTGTGGCCGAACTTTTTTATTTTATTTTTCCTTTCGGGAGGAGGGAAAGTGCGACTTTTTGGCGGTTCGCGGCGGCGTGGATTTACGGATTTGCCCCCCGCGGGGCGTGGAGGATCAAACCGGCTTTTTTTGGCGGCTCGCCAAAACGCGCGCGGGCGGCGTCGTTTTTTTTGGGGGGGAACGGCGGGCGCCCGGGTTTTCAATCGCCGTTTTACGGCACGCGCGCTCCCGCGTGGATATCCCGCGGAGTCGACCCGGGGTTCCGGCGTCGGGCGGGTCGTGGAGAACCCGCCACGATATATCGGGTCTCCTAGTCAGAGTGCCCAAACGCATTTGCCAAGCAAAGGAAAAGGCGCGCATTATGAGCGGCTCACAACAATAGAAGTTACAATCCAAATAAAGTCTAATGAAGCATATAAAATCAGCAATTTAAGGCGCGCACCATAATCATTCTGCTGTTCCCTATACGAGTTTCTGAGAAAAAAAGTAGCATTTGATAATGGCAGAAGTTTTCTATTTCCGAAATAGAAATTTGTCTGATAGTATTGATGCAGGATTCGCACATCGGCGGGCGGGCGGCGATCAGCAGGTGCAGGCAACGAAGACGAGTGATAAAAAGAGTTTTTATTTCTGTTTTTATTCCAAAAATAGAAAAGTAAAAAATTTCTACTTCTCGTTCATGTTCTAAACTTATTTCTATGCTAAAAATTTGTCTCAGAAATTGAAAAGTAAAATTGCGCTACCAAACGGATTTCCGTTCTAAATCTGTTTTCGGGAATAGAAAAATTAAAAAACAGAGAAACGGAATTGTTATCTTTCACATCATTAGCAAAGGATATCGCTAAGTGAGTCTCGGTTTGTGTAACTTCTCCCGCTGACGGCTCGCTCGCTCTCTCGTTGTAAAACCGGGTGCCCATCACCTCTCCCGCGCCAAGAGGCCGAGAGCTTCAGGACAAGAAACGAGGCGGAGACGGCGAGAGTTCCCATTTTCTCCGAATCATCACTTTTAAACCTAATCGAACGGCCAAAAAAAAAGGGTTCGGCTCGGACCGGACCATCGTATGCCATGCTCGCCCCTACATAATTATACCACAACTTGTGCCTTTTGTGTGTTTTTTTTTAATGGCGCGTAAGAAGAGACACTTTTTGTGTATTAGCACGGACCTTACGAAACCGATAGTTTTAGATCCTAGGTGTAAACGCGATCGAGGAATTTGGTAGACGGTAGATACCCTCGAATATGGATAGAGCTTCTCCAACACTCCTTATCCTCCTCTAGGTCAATGCAATTACCAACCCGAGTTGCCAACCACACAAAAAAAAGAAGAAGAAGAAGAAAGGTCTCCTTCCCTCTCTCCAAATTTTTTTTATGCAGTGTGGGATTAGGAAAAGTTTAGGAAGGCGATGATTATGGCACGAGTTGATTAAACTAGCGGGACTCGGGTTACATGAATTAAAATGGTGCATTTGACTTAGGTAGGGTCCGAGGCGTGTGGGATCACCGTAACGCAAATTACATATGGGAATCTTACGGAAGTGACATAATCTTAATCGCCCGAGGAGTCATTAGCCCGTGATTTCTGATCGCATCTGCAGTATTGATGTCGACCGGAGCCGCTGGTTGGAGGGCGATCGCTCCGTCCGCCGTCGGATTTAATCCGGGTTCGGTTCGCCGATTGTGTAATCAATCGAGGGTTTGATGATGGTTAATTTGCTGATATGGATTAACAGTGGCTTCTCGCAATACATGAGAGATTTGAGAAAATTACGAATTGTGTTTTCCACGTGGTCCACGAGTTGACCCCGGACGCGTTTCACTTTTCGGGGACGGGACAAGATTACCGAACGCCTGACTTGGCCACGGCGACCGACATCACATTTTGGTTTTTCTGTTTCTTCTTTTAGTTGCGGTTATTATTGTCTTTTATTGTGTGCATTAGCATTCAATGGTTGACTAATGTAAAACACCGCGTGCAGACTGCAGAGTTGAATAAGAATACGTAACAAGGGAAAAAAATTACGAAGTTCAGAATTACCTCGAAAAAGGGGAAGATTACCAAAAGAGTTATGGACTTGTCGTAATTATGTCAAGTCAGTTCTGAACTTTTTTTTTAAGGTCAATTGAGTTCTAAACCTTTTGTATTTAAGCAAATTCAGTCCATAGGGGTAGTTTTGGCTGGTCGACATCGGTCACTTACGTGGCGCGGCCGGCACTAACATGGATAATTTTTAATAATATTTTAATATTTTTTCGATTTATTTATTTTTTTGTTTTTTCGATTTTTTTCTTCCTCTAGTTGATTGTAACGATCAGAGGCGAGGACTGATGAGGCTCTGGTGAAGCTCGACTCGGCCGGCCACTGGTGTGGGCGAGTTCAAGCCTCGCCTAGTGACAGTGACGTTAGACTGGTGAAGGCGAGGGCATGTCATCGCCTGCAATGTATGTCGCCCTTTTCTTCTCCCTCTCTCTCCATTTTGATTTGCTATTGTTCAAATCGATCGATCGAGGAATTGGTTATCGGATGTGACTGCTTCGTCTTGATTAGGGTATTTGGAGTTCATTTGTTGATTCTTTCAAACTGTCTACCTTGCCCTCACCCTTGCCATGCCCTCGCCAGTGGCTGACGGGGGTGAGCTTTGCTAGAGGCTAGCTAGGTTTTGGCCGGTCGTCGAGGTCTAGCAACCGGCTAGAGGAAGAAGAAGGGAAGAAAATAAAAAGAAAGAGAAAGGAAAGAAAAAAAAAGGTAAAAGAATTTGAAAAAAATATTAAAGTATTATTAAATTTATCCATGTCAGCGCCGGCCGACCAAAATTGACCTGATAAATTGACTTGGCACAAATACAAAAGATTTAAAACTGAATTGAGGTTTAGGACTTTTGGTAATTTTCTCCGAAAAAAGAGTAAATATAAATTTTTTTTTGAATGGACAGAGCCCAAAAAAAGAATCGGACTGTACAGTGACATCGACGGTTGATGCCAATCACCATAAAAAAGGACGTAAATCTCGTGCACATCTTATGATTAGACTGACGGGTATTCATATAACAAGTCTAAGCAATGAATGCCATCGAAAGAACCCCTCGTCGGTAAATGCAAAATCTCCCTAACGTTTGCATCTCTAAAACTGGCCATTACAGTGGAAACAAGATTGACCGTGTTTTACCTGGAACAAGTGCCAAACCCTATCCTACAAAGTACAAATTGCAGTCTCTCTCCTCATCTTTTGTGAGTGGGAAATGACCTGTGCTCCTTCCGACCGGAGGATAAAGGAAAGGAAAAGAGGGACGTGTTAAAAGAGGAGTGGTGACGGGAGACGGAGGAGGGCCTTTTGCGTTCACCAGTTTTGCTTGAAGAAAACCTCCTGTGAAGCAAAGAAGGAAGACGCTTTTGCAGCTCCGGTCAAGAAAGCAGAACCAATGAGGAAGCTAAAGGAACTTGGTTTTCAGGGTAAAGGTTTTTGGGTGTTGTTTGCCTTTCACGACTTGTGGTGTGGGATGGTCAGCGACTTCGATGGGTGTTTAGTGCGGTTCCTATTTTCGTCTTTTACCTCTCTTACTTTTATTCAACACCGAACAGATGGAATATTTCAGAATGGACATAATAGCGTCACGTCAAATCGTATCCTGAATCGGACCTAAAATCATCACTCGAAACTCTCCGTTCGAGCGACCCGATTGAATATAAACGTTTCAAAAAAGCGTTTATCATGTTGGGTGATGATAGCGACTGCATCACGACGTGCAATTAGAAGAAATGAATAATTCTTGGTGGTGCTTGAGGAGTATGATGATGATGCTGCTGCTTCGGACATCAAACAGTTCCTTAAAACTCTGTTCCTTCCTGAGAGGAAGCGTGGCCTCATGTGTGTTCAGTGCTTGTCCGACGTGTTCCACATTCAGCATGCAAAAAGCAGATCGGACGAAGGGGAATCAGTTTGGATGGTTGACGAATGCATGTTCAACTTGCAACTTTTTCTTTCCTCTATTTTCTCTCTTGCCTTCAGTTTCTTCGACTTATAATGTTGAAAAAAGAGCACTTTGCCCATCTCCGGTTGCATGTCCCATTCCCATTGAAGTTGACCTGTTGGTTTCCACATGTTTCAAAGATTTCTAGGCCACATACGCGTCCAGTTCACATTGTCTAATGTACACTCTTTTAAGAGATGCAAAATGACCTAACCTGAGCATGTATCTCCGATCGAGCCATTTGCCAATGAAATGGTCGCTGAAGATGATTTCCGTGACATTCCATTCCACATCTTCTCGAGTCCAAATGGAACTAAACAACACTTGCACTTGTATGAGTGGGAAATGGGTCTGTACTATTAAACAGAAGAACGAATATGATAGATACATGAAGGACCACTTGGTAGATTTCGCCAACAGATTGAAGATGAAGAAGCTGCTGAATTAAAGGTAAAGGAAGCGTTAGCCAAGCTGTGGGAAACACATGGAAGAATGGACACCTTGATGATACATTTACATAAATCAGACGTGGGTTAGTACCTTTTTCTATGCTTCGCGCTGGGTAGATGACAAGAAGAACTCTGGATGATTCACTACATGAATGAAAGAACCAACTAATGGGATTTCAGACCATCCAACCACAAAGCTTAATGAAATTTCGCAAGTCATTACTCCATTTTGGCAATTGAGGTAAAAACCGTGGCATCGGGACTCGTGTGGAAAATTATCCCTTGCCACTAGAAAAACAGCGATTCTGTTGAGGCTTTCTGGGTTTTTTTCATGCAAGATCGAAGCCACTATTTACATGAGAGATGAACTTCATTCGCAGCAGTCGGGCCGGTGCTCTTTCTGCAGCTTCTCCCAGAGGCACAGCAGCTTCCTTGGGCCTTGATAATGTGCAAGAATGTAATCCGATTCACATCCAGCATTATAGAATCTTTCGTCATTTATGTAGTGCACTTCCTTGCCGCTGTTCTTGAACTGCTCTATCCATATGCCCATCGCAACATCTTCTAGCTTAAACCACTGAAAATTGGAAAAACAAACACATAAATGATACAGTCTCAGCCAAAATGAAGAATAGACTATATTCTCGGCTCATTTAACCGTCCAAGGAGCATTATGACAGAATCAAATAACCTAAGGGTTCCTGTCTTTTATCTCTCTTCATGACAGAATCGAACAGCTTAAATTTACCTTAAGATCTCCTTCTTGGTGGCCCCGAACAATAAACTTTGCAATGTCTCGAGAGATTATATAACCTGGACCATGAGCCCATGGAGGATACTTATCATGTGGCCACTCCTACATCAAGGACCATGAGAATGTATTAACAAGTAAAGCAACTATCATGTTTTCTAGGGAAAATGGATATGGATAAAGGCCATACCTTCTCACTGATATACCATTTGCTGTCCTTTTCTCTATGGGGAGATGAGTCGGAAGATATGAGACCGTACAAGAGACCATTAGATGGTTTTCCCTTGAGATTTGACAGTACTTCATCGATCCTCACGAAAGCGTCATCATCTGTTTTCATGATATACTTGGCAGGAACGATTTTCGTCTGCATATTCCATACATTATAACTCATAAGATATTTTCAACAACAAAACTGGGCGCCACCAGGATTCCAAATCATGAAATATAAAAGCAAGGCCCCACCGGTTCCTGGAGAATCTTTTCCATGTATTTTATCCAACCTTTAATAGGGGAATTTCGATTAATAAATTTTGTAGCTTTACATAAAATTTCTTTTGTTCCAGTAGTCAGACTTTTTAGGAATCATCCTTCATCAATCAGGTCTATGCACAGAAAAGAGCATGTAGAAAATCCCACATCCCCTTGACATGAATTAGCCCTATACCCCACGCATACCCACTTTCACCTAATAACAGATTTCATTTTATTTATTGTCTGAATCCCCTGGCTACCATGTACCAACTCTTAAGAATGGTTTTAGCACAGTCAGAGGTGTTTGTTGAAAGTTTGTCAGGTAGGCTGATTGTCTATCAACAATAAAGAAAATCAAGATAGAACTGTGAATCCACATACTGATGAGATGATTTTCGGCATTACCAGCATACTCGATAAGTATCTGCACCATGAAGATGATTCTCCAAGCGAAAATGTAATGGGCAATCAGAGTTCTTTTTGAGAAAACATATCGTCATTATACATACCCCCATAATGCAGATTGCAACTGTCTTGTAACTGATAAGGCTGTAATAATCCACAAAAGGCATGAACTGGATGTCCTCGTATGCTTGAGCTTCTTTCCACAGCTCAACATTTACTTGCATGTTTTGGTGCTGCAGTTAATGGTACATACCAGGTGATCAGTAAGAATAATGATAGCAATGCTGGTTGTGAATATAGATGCTGATAGTCGGCCAAAAAAGAAATAAAGATGCTGACAAAGTATTTATAATTAAATATATTACTCTGATGTTATGCTGATCATGATACTTGGGAAACGCAAGTGCCATCAGAGATGCTTAAATAAGCTTTGACACATACATATGTAGCCCAGAATGTGTGTGTGTGGTGAAGTATGGGCTAGAAAATCTGTTCTAGGGACTAAGCAGGTAAACAGGCTTAAAGAAAGCACTCTGAAGAGCAGACCTCTTATTGAACCAGATCCACTTTACTTTTTGGCCAAAATACCTGATATCCACTTGACAAGAGTGGCCACAATCACATTGAAATCAAGGAACAGAAGAAATAAAAGAAACACCATTTGGTAATTTCAGGATGGATTTGATATTTGACTATTACTTAGCTTTGTGCTTACCTTTTCATCAATGAACAGATAACCAATAATGTGCAAATATCATCAAGACATTCATGACACAATAAAGGGTTCTATTCAACAGAAACAGCTATTACTCCAGAGAGTTATCCCAAGATTCAGTAGGAGGAACATAGGATGTAAGTTATAATCACTTACAAGACCAATGAAAAATCGAACAGCTACATCCCCAGACCGTATGGCTTCATATTGCATCCAAGACCTCCTTATAGCCATTCGTCTCCCAAAATTATTTCCAGTTGAGAAAACTCCAATCAACATCACAAGTCTTTTCCTGGTAATTAACGGAGCTTTGAGATGCTCGGCATCAACAAACAAATCATGATCCTCAGATACAGGCAAACCTTCAGCTATAGTCGATAACGCATCCAAATCACCAACCACTTCGACTCGATTAACTGACCATGGTTCAAGTTTCTGCATTAGGAGAACTCTCAAATAGCATTGAAGTGACTACAACAGCACTAGGCCGTAAATAGATAACAAGTAACTAACGGCATACTTTACCTCCCTGTAAGCAAATGATGTTTCATGCCTTCCATTAACTGTCATATGGAAACCCTCCAGACCAACCCATATCGTGGCGGTGAATAAACTCCCTTCTGCAAATGGAAAATTGGCACTAGCATGGACACTTCTAGATACATTGGTCAAACTCTCATTGCCTCTTGCATTCAAATTTTCTGCTACAGTGCCCCTAATCAATTGTTCATTGCAAAGAGCAAGTCCATCCAGCATAAGACCTGCAATGACATGTCAGATAAAGGTAACTGCAGTAAATCTAAGAGAAGACAAGGCATATTAATGGGGATAAGAAGAAGACAGAGCCACGTTAGAGACAGGTTTAGAAGTTCAGCTAGCAATTTACAAAGAATCCATCTCTACAAAAGCCCATCCATTCCTACTCCATGTTTTAATTATTCCATAGGATGAGTTCAATGAGATGCGTCATTACTGAGGATATGCAACTAAATGCACGATAGTTTCATGAAGCAATTGGCAGTGGATGCTAAGTTGATAACTACTAAGGGCTATCTTTGGAGTCAACAATTCCATCACCCACTCATGAGTACATAAACCAAGGACTAGGTAATCTCTCTTCATCATCTCCATTCAAGCTCAAATTACTAGAAGTTGCATCACAACTGAAGCCTTCTGGCAAGAGAGAGAGGTGTTAACATAGAACATGAATCAACTTACAATTAAAAAGAAAAGTAATGAAAGAAATTAAAGGTCAACAAAAAACCTTTCAAGCTGTTAACAGATCCATGAGCAGGACATCTCTCCTCTTTACCCCATCCAAATTCATCAGTCCAGGTATTTTGCACGACAAATGGTTCCTCTGTCATATTCTCTCCAGGCAAACTCACATTATAACGCAAAACGATAGGCGCATCAGCCTCTTGAGAAATTTGCGATCGTATTAGGTCAATATGAAAGCTTCCCTGGCCACCATGAGGAATGGCAACCAGTGTAATTGAGGAATCCTCAATTAGCCCACATGGCAACTCAAGGAAAGTTCCATTGCTTGAATTCGTCTTCCTAAATCTACTCACAAACGGTGGGCAATTTCTATCTTCACTGATGTTGATAATACTAGCCTGGGAGGCTTCCTTGTTGTACAGAATAGCAGAGAAATTCTTCCACGCGACGGAGGCCTCACGTATTCCTTTAGCCGTTTCTAGTAGTGCATCCGACCTGGAAAGCAGCCTCCGCATCTGAGCCCACACAAGAAGATACTTATGCTTTTCGACTGAAATATTTCTCAAGCCATATAGGTCATCTAGTCCTTTATAATTGACAAGAGTGGGCTTCTCCGTTGGTTTCTGATCGGACAGAGAAGAACCATCGTCTTTCATTTGAGATTTATCCCTAGGATGCTTATTAAAGAAATCATATGCAGACTGCTTCTGCTGCTTGGTCACCTTGTTCCCTACCAGGCTGTAACGAATCACCAAGATGGTAGCAAGAGCTACAATCAACATGCCCCCCGACCATTTCTTCATTTCTCAACAAAGCACAAGCCAAAAATGAATTTCGGTGCACACTTTACTACTTAACCCTTCTGTTAATCCGTGTTAAGCAAATCAACAGCAGGAAACATTGCGACGCACAAGTTGGGCTGACTCCTTCCATCTCACCTCTCACAGTGTTCTGTCCAAGAGAAATGGTATGGTGATGCCAAGAATGTTAACATATAAAAAAAATTCAAAGCGGGAATAGAAAAAACAGACTAAGTTGGCAGCTGACAAGAAAGCCTAAGGACCCTTAATTGTTCATTCGCGGCTGGTCAGCCGCGCACCCGCATTAACATCGAACAAGATCGTCTCAAGCAGAAGTGACACACTTCAAATGCTGAGGTCTTTCAGTGTGAAAATCTCCGCATATCGGCTTTCAAACCCACTGGTTTCACATCAATTACTAACACGATATCAGCTAATCTCTCTCCAAGGGAAACCCACAAACCATTCCCGCTCAAGAACAGAAGAGAGAGTAATCCAGACAATTAGCTGAACCAAAAAATACCTACCCATCATCGGTCTCTGCCATGACTATCGACCAAGAACGAAGCCATGATCGAGCTCGAAAGCCCATCGCCACCTCGAAAGCAGCGAACTCCTGCCACAAAAAGAAAGCATTTTGACTAACATTGTCAGCTTCGCTAAGCGCAAACCCGGAACCACCCACTAGCTCTCAGCTCAAAACAACGACACAATTCAAGACTGAGCTAATCCAGCGAAGTCACGACGCGTCGAAAGCGTTACCGCAGATCGAGCTCTGAGGCAGAGAGAGTGTTCGAGCCTCGCCGGCGGCGAATGTCCCTGCTCCTTCCTCACGCCTGTCCCGACGGCGGACAAGAGCAAAAACGACGGCGTCCCCGGCCGAAGAAGATGGCGTAAGTGTTAGATCTCTGTCGGAGCGAGCATGAAGTAGAAGGAACTAGTAACTACAGTGAGGGTGTGAGTATAAGCTGCGGCAAGTTCTACGGTAAGTTTGGTGGAACATAGAGTCCGGTCAACGTACAAATAGGTTCGAACAGACATCATTTGAGTGCCTCGGAAAACATGACCCCGACAACAAATTCCGGCGATTCGTCGAACGTTTTTCTAACCAAATTTTTATATCTGAGGTGGCATGTTTAGAAAATTTGAAGTCAAACGTGGACAAATTCCTTGATCAAATCGTCGTTGAAAACAGCTCCCGCAATAAATTCCGTCCGTTCGTCTACGTGTATTGTTTTGTTTATTTTTCTTGCTCTCCAACTTTTGCTTTGCTTATGTAGAGCAGGGTGCATGCCTATTGGCTATTTGTCTTCATCTTTAACTGTTCATTTTCAACTTTTTTGGTCACCTTCATCCCCAACCAAATTTTTTACATTGTTTTTCTTTTTTCTTCTCCAGTCATTTTGTTAACCACTGTCTAGTCTAAGGCGACCAACAAAACACCAAAACAAAATTAAAAAAGGAAAAAAAGGTTTTATATAATTCTCTCTCTCTTTGAAGCTGCGATGCATGCTTCGTGAATCTGTAATAAAAAAATAAGAGAGCTTTGGCAAGGCTGGCGAATTATCTCTGTGGTGGCCATGTGGTCCTCATTTCGCGAGGTTTGGAGACTTTCAACAACGAAATTTGGCTTCGAAGAAGCCCGGATACAACAACCTTGAAATTCGTTTTCCTAGAAAGAACGGGTGAAAAATCGAAGAGAAAAAGAAGAAATCAAGAACAAAACTTTGTTTTTCACTCTTCATATGTTGATTGCTCAAAAAATTAACATGGTAAATTGCCCCAATTTGAGGAATTAAGGTTAGGTTCATAACCGATTTTGCTCCAACTCGTTAATTTGGGCCGAAGAGAAGACCAAATGGCATCGTTTAGGTTAATAATGCCGACCGACTTTATCTTGTTGACAAGCCACGTTGGATGGTATATATTGAAAAATTGCCATGTCAGATTTGTTGGCTAGCACTAAAGCGATCGTTTTTCTGCAAAAGTAACACTCAAGTGATCCCTAAAAAGAATTTAGTACTAAAGTGAGTATTATGCGAAAATTATGTTACCTCTAGTCTTTTTCCCATGGAGAAGTGAGGCATTCACAAGCAATTATAGGTATTTAGTTGAGAATTTAGATTTGTTAGAAAAGATCAGTCATGTGGATCTCACGGAACCGTATGATATGTTTTCGTAAATTTATTAAACTAATTGAATAATTTATCGTACGATCCTCCAAAATAATATCAAAAATTACTTATTTACTGATCACAGTGGAATTTTATCGCAATTTAAAGTTATTTTTAATCTTGAAAAGATACTACACAAGCGACAAAGCTAAGAGGACTGACTCATTACTAATTGTTTTTACAATGTCTAAAGTAATTGGCATAGAATAATTGAATGTTCCTTGACAGGGTAATTACCAAAAAATTTGGGAAATATATTGGCAAATCGTTAAAAAGTTTAGGACAAAATCGACAAAGTTGAAAGATTGAAAATTGAATTTGTATTTGAACAATAAATTAAGGATCTTTTCGGTAAAACCTCTGTTCCTTAACTAGGAAAAATTGTCCAAAAAGTCCTAAACCTATTGCATTTTTGCCAATTCAGTCCAAAACCTTTTCACTTATTACCAATTGAGTCCATCCAGCTAATTTAGGCCAGCCGACGCTGACGTGACAATTTTTATATATATATATATTTTTTGAATTTTTTAATAAGTTTTTTCTTCTTCTTTTTTTCTGACTTCTTCCCTCTAGCCGATTTGGCGACCGGCCAAAGGCGAGGGCCGGCGAGGCTCGCCCTCGTCGGTGGCCAGCGGGGTCGAGCTTTACCAAAGGCCGACGAGGTTGACCTCGCCGACCCTTGCCTTTGGCCGATCGCCGAACCGGCCAAAGGGAAGAAGTCAAAAAAAAAGAAAAAAAGATTAAAAAATTTGAAAAAAAATATTAAAAAATTGCCACATTAGCTCCGGCCGACCAAAATTGGCTGGATGGACTCAATTGGCAAGAAGTGAAAAGGTTTAGGACTGAATTGGCAAACTTAAAAAGGTTTATGACTGAATTGGCAAAAGTGCAATAAGTTTAGGACTTTTTGGACAATTTTCCCTCCTTAACTATATCAATTTGTACAATGTTATTCCAAACCTTTTTTGTTGGTGCAATGTCCTCCCTAGGTTATATATGCATTTGTTCAAATTAGCCCTCTCGTCAAACAACTAAAATTGAAATGCTTACATGGCCATCCACGTCAACACCACGTCATTGCGCTTCTCTAGCAAATTTACTGAGGTGGAAAAAATAATTAGAAAACTATAAACCCTAGCACACAGAGAGAGAGGGGAGGAGCATAGCGGAGGTGGCGACAGCGCTACCTAGTCACACAAGCCATGGCCCAGGGCCTGTTGCTGGCGATCACTTTCGAACACTACTAATTGAAGCAGCAACAGCAGAAAGAGAGATTTTGCTCCAATGCATCGAGTGAGGCTATACAACCCTAAGGGTAGGGACCCATGCTTGCACTTTAGACCAAATCCACACAGAGATACAGACATGGTGTGAACCAATAGTCGTGATCGTCCCACCCTTGCCAGTGATCGCCAAGACCGCGAAGCTCGTCAATGAGTGCAGAGGATGGCGGGTGCTGCCTATGAGTGATGAACGAGGCCCTGTGAACTATCTCTCTCTCTCTCTCTCTCGTTGTTTGTATGCGTCTATGACGAATTGGAGGAGGCGCCCCCGTTACATGAACTCAACTAGGGCTTGGCCACCGTCCACGGTGGCTAGGTGGTGCAATGCCAGTAAAAATGATAAGCGATCGAAGAATCCTTCTAATTTAAAATGTTACTAGCTTCTGTATATTGAAAAATTCAAAAATTAAAATACGCCGGGAAAAAAGAAAATAATAATTGACAAGGAACACGGGTCGTCACAAAATAAGGGACCTTGAACTTTTGTAATTAAACTTTTTAAGAGTCTCATTGACTCTACTAATAAGTGAGGTCAACATATCTCCGTCCATCCAATGTCACAATGGGTTAATTAAAAAAAAAAGCACCAATTTTAGGTCGAGGGACAATTCTGGCCCGATCTTTTTTTTGTCCCATAAAAAGCATCAACTTTAGGTCGATGGACAATTCTGGCCCGAACTTTTTTTGTCTCGTAAAAAAGCACAAACTTTCATTTAAATCCCAAATTTGGCCCCCCATTGACTTTCTGTCTGAAGTTACCCTTGTTTGAGAAAAAAAGTTATGGTGGTGAGCCTAGCGAATCTCTTCCATGGCGTCTGTCGACGGGCGGTGGTCTACAGCTTTAGATTACAACAAAACGACGAAATTTGGCTAGAAAGATTCAATCTGGAGATATTTTTAACTTGCCGGTGAAGTGAAGGAAACGATCAGTTTCACCGTTATTCTTCAAGCTATGATTCAGAGAATAAGACAATGAATAATGCTTTAAATCTAGTCAGCAAATCACGTTGATTTATTGCTAAGGTGGAATAGTCAAGTTGGAAAATCAATTGTTTTAAGTCATTAAGAGCCAGATTTGGGATTTAAGTGAAAATTGATGCTTTTTTACTAGACAAAAAAAAGCTCAGACCAGAATTGTCCCTCGACCTAAAGTTGATGCTTTTTTACAGGACAAAAAAAAGTTCGGGCCAAAATTGTCCCTGGACATAAAGTTTGTGCTTTTTTTTGGAATTAACCCATGTCACAATATCTCGTCACTTAATTTTTTATAGGAAAATTTACCAACCACGATAAAAGTTACTAGATAACTTCCGATAAGGTTAAAATTACGATGAACCTTAAAAAATTACTAGACACCTGGCAGAATTACTTAAATTAATATTGGCCAGCACAAAACTCATATTTCACAATGAAGAAAGTTAATAAGAAATGTGAAAAAGCTCACTAACTCATACATTACATTTAAAAGTTATCGACCACAGTACGCAATTCTCAATATGACTAATAAGATTAATATAGAAAAGCCACCAATTATGTGATTAGCAACTGATTAGTTTTACTAGTTATAATCACAAGTAATTAGTCATTATTTTTGCATGTCGAAGTTTCATCTAGAGAGATTTGTTTTGCAGAAAACTTTATAGTGAGGCTAATTTACCTGAAAAAGAATCATCACTATAACGAGAAGCACTACATGTTTATAGGTGGGTACAGCAATTGATCTTTTACTCTTCTTCCTCTTCCTCCTCTATCGAAACAAACTAGCCATGTGATTTTCGTGCCCGACGAAAGGGCTTGAAGCAATTGTGCATTTACATGTAAGACTGTACATATATGTACTAGAAAACGGGCTATACAGGTTCTCATGCCATTGCTCGGTTGGATTACCCTTTCATCTTGAACAGATTGAAGACGTCTATCTTCGTTTCCATGTTGGAGATGACCTTTCTGCATTCTTATGCCACTTGCCGCATCTGAAGAACATTATGCAATTGAGTCAGCCAACATTTACACAATTTTATCTTCTAAAATTTTGGCGTACGACACCTGCCGCTTCCAAATAGTGAAACGAAAGTTGATTACTGGTGGGGGGAGAGACCCCCTCGCCCCCAAAATGGAGAGAGATCATTCACACAAAGAGCAAACACTATTACCACTGATTTGTTAGCATCCTTCCCACAAAATGCAGTGACTATGAATAAAAGCACTACAAGATGTGAAGTCATGATTATCCGGGCCTAATCAAGCTGAAGCCAGTGGAGCTCATTTGACCAAGAGATCAGTGAGAACAAAGAATCAGCTTCAGGCTGACAGAGCATGCAAAGTGTTTATGCAAGCAGGAAAATCACTTATAAGCTTCTCTCTCTCTCTCTCTGATGCTAGTACTTGTTCACATTTGGTTGTTGTCAAAAAGATTTTGTCGCAGAGAACCTGGATCAACATTCCACAGGTCGAAAATTCAGGTCAATAAAAAAAAAATCTCCTCCAAAACTTTACTACAAGACTCCACTAAGATGGGTAAATACACTGGTGGTCATTGAACTTTAGTGTAATTTGCAATGAAGTCACCACATTTTGATTTCAACCACCCCAAGTTACTATACTTTCATTTCTTGCAATTGATGCACTTTGACTGGAATTTGGCCAAATTCTCTAAGAAATGCTGCTGCGGTAGCGGCAGATGCTTTGCAATGAAGTGGCATCCCAAACATTGGTCACCAGTCTACCACGTCAATGATACAGCAGAAAAATGGCCGAATTGCAATCATAAGTGCATCAATTGTAAAATATATAAAAGTTCAGCATATTGGGTGAATGAAATTAAAGTTCAGCGACCTCACTGCAAAACTCCCTAAAGTTTAGTGCCTACAGGTAGATCTGATCCCTTCTAAAACTTCATATATTTAATGAGATAAGTTTTGAGCCAAGAAAAGAAAAAAAAAAAAAAGGAAGGCATACCATTTGGTGCACTGTGGAAACAAAATCTTATTGAATAATCTTCAATTTACTGGCTTGATGTTAGCAGAAGCTATATCGCCATCTCCTCTGGGCGCTGAGTTCTACTTTTAAAGAATACTGCTGCCAAAAGTAGAATTCAGAGGTACTGGTAAGGGAACCTGTTGGGGAGACCACATGCTATTTGATTCCTTTGGATTGATCTCACCGTCATTGCCATCACTGATGGGAGAATATGGTTTTTTGACTTTGTTTTTCAGCATTTCCTGCAAATTGTTGCAAACAACGCCAATTCATTCAAGCCTTAGTATCTTCAACAACAACAGAAATAACAAATACATAATCCTTATCTTATTAAATGGGGTCGGCCATTCAGGCTAACACATCAAGATGATTTTTTTATTCACATATTGAAAATCAAGAAGGGTGTTGCAGCATTATTGGCAACAGGAAATTTCAAATGTTAAATAACCGAGGAATTTCCAAATGCCATAAATGCATGTAAAGCATCATAAATTTTAGACAAACATATACGATTACATGAACAAGTGCAAACCTTTGATTTACTTGGTCCATAAGTACTCATTGCTCTCTCAACCGAAGAGTATATTTCATAAGCTTGATGGGTATCACGATTGCATTTTATAACACGGACTTGCTCTTTAAATTCTGGTGGTCTAGTTTTCTGATAAAGAACCAGCTGAGAAAATGGAGCTTTGGGTTGGTCTTTCTTTCCATGAATTAATTCCATTGTCACCAGGTCATCCAAGAGAACATCCCACAAGACAGTACATGGATCTCTAGCAGGGTTGTATTTTCTCTGAGCAATGATGTTTGATGGTTGCTGATATAGAAACAAAGGCAATGTCATTTCACTATAGACCTTTCAGGGTTGTACATAGGCACGGGAAAGCACCATCTGCCATCACAATAAGAATCTTATAAGCTACTTACTTGCAACAATATTACTCGTCGATGAGTGACCATAAGAATTTTTCCCTTTGGAAGCATAAAGTGATCTTCATATGCATCTGATAATGCAAACTTCCCACGTACTTTGAAAAGATCAACCTGGCCAAAGAACGAACCACATTCTGCCAGCTGCAAGATAACCTTCACAATGGGGGAAAATTATTTAGAGATCTGACCATAAAAAAATGTATAAAAGCACACGGCCCTCTTCAAAATGAACTAACCACGAAGATGAATAGATTATACAACCATAGTTTAATAATTGCTCTTTCTTCTCTAGTGCGTACAATTTAACCAGATAAGTACGCCCTTACTGAAAATGATTGCAAGCTTGCAAGCCTTTGAAAAATGGAATTACTAGTAAGTTCAATTCTTGGACTCCAAAAAGATGTCTTATGCCGCAAATCTGCAACTTATTAGCTCTATTATTCAAACTTTGTCAATTATTGGGGAAATATTTTCATCTTTCTTAAGGTCACCAAGAGTATGAAGCAGAAATTCTGGCATTCCTGTGGAGAAGCGATAGTTCTCATGCTAAAAGGGCTAACGTAAGTTTATATACATCCGTTTGCCTAAGAAGGAAGGAGGTTTTGGCCTTAAAAGGATAAAACGGCGGGAATAAAGCTTGTGTTATGAGTTGTATTCAGCTAATCTTTACTCAGTCTGGTTCCATGTGGTTTGCTTGGTTGAGAATATACAAGCTAAAGGACAGGCCTTTTTGGACTTCAACTGTCTCGGCCAACACTTTGCTTGTTTGGAGGAGATTGCTGAAGCTTAGGGATGCTGCTCGACCTTATATCAAGTACATCACTGGAGATGGGGAATCATTTTGCTTTATGGCATAGTGATAGGCATCCTCCAGGCCCTCTGCCAAACCATTTTGCTAGCAGGATTGCGTATGATTCTGCTCTACATTTTCAGTCTAAAGATGGCCCCTGCTAGGTCTGAAGCTTTGGTACAAATTCAAGCTCTCCTATGCGGTTCTGTTGTGCCAAAGTCTCCTGGACATTGTTTATATCCGGTGAATTTACAGTAGGGAGTGGTTGAAACTCTCTAAGGCCGAAGGGTTTGAAGGTGCTGTGACGTAAACTGATAAGGTTCAGTCCTTGTATACCCTGGAATAGTTTTATTTCCTGGTTGGCCATGCATAATAGATTAGCTACCAAGCGCAGACAACTGAAATGGAACTTGCAAGCTTCTCCGCCTGCTGCTTGTGCGAGTCTACCACGGAAGATAGATACTATTTTCTGTTTGGCGGTCCTATCTCTCCAAAGTATGGACAGCTGTGCTACAACTCCATATCATTATCCCCGGTGAGTAGAAATGTGAAGCTACTTGGGCTACTTGTACTTTCAAGGGCAATGCTTTTTCCTCAACTATTCTTCAAGCTTTCTTGGAATGCATTATTTTACAGTATTTGGGTTCCAAGAAATTCTTGTTTTACATAACTCTTCTATTGCTGTTAATAACGATCTCTTTTTTCTTTTTTCTTTTTGAAAGGTAAAATGTACCATTGAAAGGCACCAAGGGGATGCCAACCAATGTACACAATTATCCATGGTAGGAGCCTAGAAGGTCAATGATAGCATTTACATCAAAAACCGTACTACATGTGATCCAGAACTTCAAAGTAAAAAGCCAAGAACCCATAATTCTAACAAAATGAACCAACATTATGAAAGATGCTCCTAATGGAAGCCCAATCAAGCTCTTAGCTCTTTTTCCACCTACTCTGCACTAGCCCACTAAAAAATCAAAACTGACACACCTGATTCCAAAGCTTCATAGACTGATTTTTTTGAGAATTAGAAAGGCCATTAGTGGAAGGCTTATTAATTGTCTTGATGTTAGCAGGAGACTCTCTTTGGATAGAGATAGAGCTCAACGTAAAAAATTGGGATCTTGATGAATGGTAAAATAGATGCCATGGGACTACTTGGGCATGTAGCAAAGTTTTACTCCCCTACTTTTGTTCTCTGATTAAATTTCAACGCTGGGACACCCAGAATTTTTAAACAAGGAATACCTGTCCTTCAGCTTTATACTCATCGTAAGGTCGAAGCAAATTATCGCCGCTGATCACACGAGGTAACCTCCGGCGAAGAAGTTGCTCTTCAGAAGTAACAGCAGAAATTATCTTCATTCTCATGGCATTTGCACCTTCAGTTGTTTTTGACAAAAGATCCAGAACCCCACTCACAGGTTGGGCTGCTACACCGATTAGTCCTTTCCCCACTCCTTGAACAAACCCCTCAACACCAGAGCTTTTTGCTCCTTCGAGAGGCTTTGTCAGTATGCCAGTGACTCCTCTAAATAGTCCTTTTGCCAGTGCTCCACCTCCCTCTCTGATAACATCACTTATGTCATCTACACCCTTGTTTTCCTGCAAAGATCATATTGAAGAGAGAATTGAGGAGACAGCTCTTAAGAAGTATCAACAAAAGTCGAAATGCTAAACCAGTAAATAGTGACATGATGGAGATACACGAAAATAACAAAACCCGAATAGCTCCGCAAGACCATATTCGGAATGGCTTCCAACCAGAGATGTAATAGATAGGAAGGTTGGAGAGTGTGCTTTTGATAAGGGTCAGTCTTCCACCTTTCAAAAGAAAAAGTCTATCTTCCAACTTGGTAACCGCTTCTCAAAGTTTTCAATAATAGGCTACCAAATATGCTTAACATTGAAAATAACGTCCCAAGGGAGGCCTAAGTAGATGATTGCGACTGATAAAAAAAACCAAAAAAGAGAAGTAGATGATTGGGATAGATCCTAACTGACAACCCAAAACAGTAGAAAGCAAAGCACCATTCAGTCCTTCACCCAGAAGGATAAGCTCATTCTACTCAAGTTATCTTAAGCCAGGACACCGCTTCAAAACATAAGAGAATATTCCTTAGACAAAGTAAATACTAAATGTCATCTTCACAAAGATGATAATCTGCGGCGATGATAGTATTTATGTATCTGGAAGGTGTATTTCCATGGTGGTCTATTTGAATGACAATGTTATCTCAAATGATGATGTAGATGGCGTTAATCAGTTGAAACATGGTTGTCAAATTTGTGTTTGCAATAGTGGTCTTGGTCTACCAAAAGCGCTATGCTATTGTACCAAAAGCAAAGGCAATTGAGCTCGTGTCGGCCTGAAAACCCTTATTTCAACATATCTTGTGCCACCTTTCCAAATTTTCTTTCATTTTTTTCCTCCAACCCATTTTTTGTTGGTTCCCTTTTTATTGTCTACTTCCCTCTTGTTTTAGCGTTGTAGGCCAACTTTAATTAATTTAAATTTATATTCAGGAATTAGAAAAAGAAAAGGAGGTGTTCCCGGTAGAACCATCCTACAACTGACCAGTACTTAAACTGCCAGTTCAGTTTTCCAGTTCTGAATCAGGACTTCCAGTACTTGATCATCCCTACTTTATCGTGTGGCATGCTACAAAGATGCATACTACCAGTAACCTACCCATTGACAATTCTCATGAGCTACTGCCACAATACCCTTAGGTCTACATCATCCTCAAATGAAAAAAAAAGAAAAAAAAAGAACAGATCCAGCTAGAAAACACCCCGAAAGAAATACTTAGGTTCAACAATGGGCAAGAATCTTTTACACAAATGACAGTAAACTGTTCCATATATTGGAAGAGGTTCTCAAATATCCAACTTTCCGTTGCATCATTCTATCCACATGCTGGCAGAACAGCGGTAGTAGCCAGTGTGTCACATGTATAACTTGGGTGATGTGGTGTTTTAGAGGCCATGGCCGACCATGCTGACTGCAAACTTCTCTGAACCACCACCTCGCCAGACTTAGAGGTGGAGCACCAATGCGTAAACCGAATGGTCTCCACGCTCGTCTCCTATATCAGTACAACAAATTGGCCTGAAGCCACACAATCCTAGACCGAGGCCACATTCCCACCCATTTGAGACTTGAGTTTCACATATTTCGATATTTCCTGACAGACTTTAACTACACTTATGAATTCATACCTTCTTGGCTAGTGAAAATGATACCAAAGTGTACAGAGTAAGTGAATAGCAAATACCTGTCTTTGGCGACTCTGTATGAACTTTTTGTCCATTGACAAGGCAGCTACGCCTTTGCTCATATGTCCAAGGGCGCTGCTTGCATTACCCAATATATCCATACCAGAGAGAAGTTGCAGGGGTTGACTGAGAAGATCCTTCCTCATGTTTAAGATAGCATTGCTAATCATAGAACTCTGCCTCATGGACACATTTTCATGAAATCTTTGATTTATTTTCACCTGAGACATAATTCAGTTTGTTAGAATTGGACGTAACTCCACATCTATTATGCAGCAGAGAGTGCGCAAGGAAAAAAACTAACATTCTTTTCCTTAGGTGGATAAACCCTAGTACCATGAGTGACCACAAATCTCATGAACTAGACAAGCACGACACTTTACATGGGTAAGTAGCCTGAACATAAGGATTGATGTGGGAAATCAAACTTTTACCATGCAAAATTATGGGACTCAAAATTTATCTTCAATAGTCTTAAGCACGACTGTTTCTCCAATAGCTCACCCAAAGTAATCCTCTTCGACGCTCAAACAAGATTATATCCAAATACTGAGACAGCCAAGGAGTTGGCTCTAACAGATGACATAAAAAAAGAATTTAAGTGCACTGCTGGAAAATCCAAGATCTCACGCAGCCAGCATAGTAGTCAATCAGATGGAAAACAATATAAAAGCGACATGAAGAAGAATGGTGCACAATAAAATAGCAAATATGATAAGTTGTCCCTAATATGCACTGTCTCAATGCGAGACGAGTTTCCTCCCATTGGTCCTTCCTTTCAGAGAGGTGAGATGGTTATTTATGATTTGTAAGAATATCGGGCTATAAAATATTATTTAATTTAATAAAACTTGGATTAGTTAATATTTTGATTGATTCGGACATAACTAACGAAAATTAGTACAAAGAGAACACAAATATGAAAAAACTGACAGGCATATTCTCGGTGTTCCCTAGTGCAGTCATCAAGGATGACCAAAACCCAAGTACACCCTTTGGCCGTTGACTCGGTGACATGGCCATTGATACTTTGAATCGAACCTCGGACAAATTGAGAACCCTGCCATTTCAGATAACTCACTCAGCAAATTTCAAGCAACTTTTAACAGAGGAAAGATATTATTAAAATATCATATAAGCTTGTTGGATACCCAATTTGAATGATAGGATCGACTGAAACAGCAGTTGTTTGAGTCTCATATAGCCTACTAAGGTTGACCTGCTGGATCATCTCATGAAGGCGCCAAATTATTGGTTCGTGAATGTTTATAAGAAAAGCAGAATTTTCAGGCCCCTAATTATGAGAAAAGGGAAAGCAGTCAAATGATGTGTCACTAGTAAAGCTCAAAGGAACGCACAAGCATCTAGCAACCAAACATGAAATAGTTGCACTCACCTGGACTCCAATGAAAGGATATGTAAAAAAATCAAGAGACCCATTAGATTGCATGGTTATGGACAGTTTCAAGACATAGTCAGTTTCCTCCACGACTCTCTGTGGTCTAAAGAGAACTGGCATTGGAGTTAGAGGAAGTTGATTATCCACTTGCAATCCATGCATTCGTAGTTTGCACCTGCAACAGAAAAATTAGTTGCTCAACAGAAGAAACAGCAAACATGGCAATTCTCTCAACAACAGAGATACAACTTGGCAATGGAAGTGTTATAACTGCCTGCTTCAACAAAGAGAGGGCTATATATGTCAGCTACCCAATCCAGCTTCAGGCGCTACCAACACAACCCGGAACAGCAACTAGTTAACTTAGGGCGTGTTAGGAGTGACTCCTTCATACTTTTTGCTTTTACAAATCGTGTGACACAGGCATTTTGACTTTTTTTTTTTAACATAAACACCTGAAAACTATCATGATCTAAAACGCATAGACCTACACAGAATATTTAGTTTGAATAATATTCAAAATTTTGGCAGGAAGTATAAAAGCTAACTTTTGTTTTTTATAAATTCAAACAAACAGACCCTTAACAGTTGCAATGAAGGTTCTTTTTCCCCCCAAAAAGAATATTCAACCCTATATCTTCTACAGTCCTGTCATGGGTAACAAGTCGGTTACTGACCCCTATCTTTTAATTTTCCCCTCATAAAAATTGCACATATTTAATGAGTACCAAGGTCAAAAAGGAAAGTGAAGACCAGCAGTGTAGACATCCACATGAACGAGAGCAGAAAAACCTACCTACTGATTCCAGAGCCCAAGCCGGTTGAATAGGCAAGCAAAAGATTCTGGATGGACAGATATAATATCTCTTCAGGAGTATGGTCAACAATGGATAGCCCAAAGTCAGCAATCTCAACTATAACATGAAATTCATCCTCAGAAATTGACAGTGCTTGTTGGCCTTTCTCATCTTTAGAAACATGCGGCATTGGCGATGAAATGCCTATACTCAAAATTGTGGGAGAATCGTTGTCCGGCATCCAGTCAGTGATCCTCACAATATTGACTTTTTCCTCTTTTAAAACAGTAACTCTTATAGCTCTGACAGGCCCATCAACCACATGGATGGGCTGGTAATCACAAATCTCATCAATATTGTACTTCTCAGATGCCATTGCATTAGCCCCATCTACCAAGACTTCCAACAAGCGTCTTCTACCAAGATCTTCCCATAGAAAAGAAGCAGAAGAGTTTGGAAGAAGAAACTGCCAAGAATTGCTGCCACCGTCAACTTGGTGGAAGCGAATAGGCAAAAACATAGAGCGGTTCTCAATCCTGGAATTAGAGATTAAAGCATGTTAACAATAACGAAAAGAGCAAAATAGCTCTACTGAGGTGATGAGAAAGTAGAGGTTTGTACTCTGATAATGCACAATGGAAGCTTATGGCCCAGAAAAGCAGGAAAAAGGAAAATAACAAGAACAGGTAAAACATTTCCTCCTAAGCTGCATATTAACGTAATAGACCCTGACATTTCTACTTTAAGTTTCTAGATATGATACATAAAAAGACTGTCAAAGAATATTTCAAAGAAATTCAAAGAGCAGGAAAAAAAAAGGAAGAAATTAATAATAGTCTCACAACAGACAAATTGCAAATGCATGTCTACTTTCCCAGATGTTCCATGCCTTACAAGCAAACCAATGAGGAGGACGAGGGCTAATCCTGGTAAGAAAATTAAGAAGAGAAGATGACCTGTAAGGACTGGACAATGAATTTGGACGAAACAGAACTTCATATCGGGAGTTCTTTGTTCCACTTCTTACTTCAACTCTTAGTTGCATTAGATCATTTCCATTTTCTTTTAACAAGAAAATACGAATCACACCTTCACTTGAAACACTGAATGGTGAACTCCATTTGTACCCGTCCACCCGCAACTGTAGCAAAATCAATATCCTCTAATGAGAAAAGTATGGAACAATGACCATATAAGAGAAGATGCCCTATCATATGATATAGACCTTGATTAATTCAACTTTTTTAGAAGATTGCCACTTAAAAGTTTTTGGAGGATCAGTCGCATGAAGCCACTCCACTGATTGTGATTGTGAATCACACTGCTGCATGCAGATACTGTAACCAACCCTGTTGATGAACAAAGTGTGTGGCTGAAATTGAACAACCTGCAGAAAAGTTGATACAGACTTCCTCAGTGTTTGTTAGAAAGCACAACTTGGAAGGTGTTAAGAGCCTTTATCAACTTTAAGAATTCTTAATACGTTTATTAGTGAGACTTCCTTCTTCGATTCCATAAGATGGATCATCTGCTGGTAGCCAGCTATCTTAAATGATCTATCACCACAGCTAACTAAATTCATTTAGGGTTAGATGCAAAAAAAAAAAAAAAAAAAAGAAATTCATGCATCTGCAAGAATATTATGTTTCCTACGCTGAAGTCCCTTTCTCCAATAAGCTGGGCAGATAGCTAGAAGACAAGGCTTCTTTTGACTATAGTTTTGCTGAATCTATACATTACCAACCAGACACTTAACCTCAGAAAATACATTGAGAAACATTAAAAAACAAGCTCGGCGAACTAAATTGCTTCCAGCCAACAGAAAATCCAACGAGGAAGATTTATTGGCAATAAAGTTTGTGACGAGGCTCAAACTAAGTAAACATCAGTAGAATTCAACCTTAGTTCTGTCTGAGGTCATATTCAGCTGAGCAGAAATCTTGTAATAAGCACCATCCGAGCAATATGCCTTCACCTCAACTCTTTCCTGCAACAGTATATTTATTAACTTAGAGGTAACCAAAAATTCCTTTGCCCTACACTCCGGGTGGGAGAAGGAATAAAGCTATTGCACAGACAGGTTTCAGAGAAGCCAAGGGAACTTATAGAAAAACATGGATCACAGATACAATGTGCACAAGATGATCATCTAGATTTTAACCTTGTTTTCCAACTCAAGAAGAGAAATTCCAGGACAGTAAGTTTCAGAAGGACGAACAGCAACGGCAATACCAAGCCTGGATGGGAGATATGAATCTTTTTGAGATGGAAATGGTAATCCACCACGAGTCCCACAATCTTGTGGAGAAAGCATACTAGGCATAGGACTGCTATCCTCAATGACTTCTAACACTCGAACATTCTTCTTTAGGCTGGAATATCTCCCCTCAAATGAATGTGAGGGACTTCGTAGGACTGTTCTTGCAGATTTAACTGCTCTAGATAGCAAAAGGGAATCTGCCTCGGCATTCTCCATAAATTCCATTTCCACAATCCGATAGGCCAAAGGAAGATAGGTGTCGTTAGTGATCCAATATGGAACGAAAAATCTTAAAGTCTTTTGGGCCGCAATATTTCCTCCCATGTCGTGTTCAATGCTCACACGTATCCTCCTGCAAATAAGACAAGATAGTTACCACGTACAATTACACTTGAACGAGACATGGCTGAAAAACAAGGCAAAAATAGGGCAAATGTAGGCATGACATGTAGCTAAATGTGTTCAGATTGAGCTTAATTATGCTTGTGATATAGACAAAATTGACTTGTCATCCAAGTATCAACCCTCTTAACCCATTTACACAATAAAACTTAAATAGGTAAATTTGTCTTTTTGTGGGTTCATACGATGTCTAGACATTTAAATAATATTAATTATTTTTATATAATCATATGCAAAAAACGACCGTTAAATGTGTTATACATCTAACGTCATACAGCCTGTTTGATATTTTTCTTGCTTACTCAAATAGATATGGGAAATTGTCTTATTTTGAGAATAACACAATTATGGCATATAAACATGAACTGCGAGTCCTTGCTACGTGAAAGGAAAAGTAAACTCAAAGATCAAAATAATCTTTATCAACTTAAAGAACAGAAGTTACGTCCAGCTTGGCACTCCACAGGTTACTGCTTGCATTAGTAGACTAGAAAGGACTAATAGCACCCACACACACAGTGGCTAGCTTGAAGTTGTCAGCCAAAGTTCATTCAAGGATGAAGATGTGCAAAGGAGCTCCTTCTTTAAATATCAGTATCAATACTTATTGAGTGCTTAATGATATCATCCCATAACGCAGTGCAAAATGTCGGTTTGAAGAGAATGACAGAAAGAATTTACATGGTAGATTCAATCGGGTACTTGTAATTTTATAAGTGCAGGTGATTTACCCAAATAATGAGCATCAAATAATCTAAATAAACAAATTGTCAACTTTCTTTTTTCTTGGCCAACAATTAACAACTTTCTTTAAAAGAGACTGTCATTGTGACTAAACACGCATAACGAGATCAGGCGATCCCATTTATGAGAATGGAAAACCTTTTATTCTGCTGGTGGACCATCCAGAACGATGAAATGCGGTTATTAGATGATACATCCAAAATAGGGACAGCATCCTGCAACATGATAATAATTCTTAATTCTCAGATCATCATGAGGAAGGAGAAAACATTAGACAAGTTCAAAAGTGCACTTCACCTTCTCTGAAACCCAACCGCCTTGAGCAAACAGAGAAAGATATAACGGTTTCTGGATATCTGCATAGTATATGTGTGCATTTTTGCGCGAAGAGACAACACCACGATGTCGCTCAACAAGGTTCCCTTCTTTTGTTTTCTCCCAAACAGTGAATTCTGCTGAACATGGAAGCCGGTTTTCCAACTTCAAAGGCGAGTTGACACAGATTCTCCAATCATATACAGGTGCATTAAGCTCAGTGTGAAGAATATTGGCATCAGTGCTAACACTAAGCCAAAATTGTTTATTTCCAGTGCTAGGACAACAAAACAGTATATCCTTCTTCTCCAGTCGATCCAACTTAAGGATGAAATTCTGAGATTTATCTCCCTGCTTGGTTGTACTCTGTTTAGAGAGAGTTTCTTGATCATAGATTGGCTGTTCCTTCCCATTAGTGTAGCCTGAACCAATGGCAACAGCATGGCCCCAAGAATAGGGGCTTTGAGGCTGGTCAAAACATGGGCGAACTAGTAAACATTGGTTGGAATCTTTCACTGTACTTCTCCAAGGTATGACAGAAGAAGATCCTGGCTTTACGGCAGTGACATCACTATTCAGATGATCTAGGGCTTGTGGTACAAACTGCTGCCTGGTACGAGTCCAACGCCTCCGCCGCACAATATCAGAAGGAGCTTTCATCTTTGAAGTAGGAGGCCATTTTAAATAAGAAAAGTCAGGTCCATATGCCCAACCTTCACTGTCAACAAACTGGGATTTATCAATTGTCCAAGTCGATATCCACTTGCATCCTGGTGGAAGGGGTGGCTCAAAGAAACCCTTCAATGCAAAATAATCGGATGTTAAAGATCTGCTCCTTAATCATTCAGGAATATAAATTAACATGAGGAAAGAGCTCATCACACTGATTTCTGGCTAACCTTGGATGTATATGAAAAGTCTCTGGTGCTCCAGCGTCCTGGATCAGTATTTTGTGAGCTGCCCCAACCAGATATTGGATGATATCGTTGGTTTTCAAAAACCTCTTCAACCACAGTGTTGCTGGTACTGGAGTAGACACTGCTACCTTGAATTGAAGACAAAGAGCACGCAACAATCTCCAGTTTGACATCAGAATCATTAACGACTGTGACAAGGCTCCTGAGAACTGCATGCTTCTTCCCATTTTTCATGACAACTTCTAAGGCAACAAAATCATCCTCAAGTGATTTTGGGGCCACTGACAGTGGAAGTAATGAACGTATACATTCCCATCCACCTTCTGGGCTTGCGCCTACCCAGAAGCCTACATCGTTATCAAATCGACCCTCATTTTCTGTATCCTCTGTAGCTTTGCCCCCAGTTTTTCCCTCAAAATAAGAAGTGGAAACTAATAGGACTCCACGCTCTTGGATGTTTTCAATGTCATCCTGAACCTATTGAAATAAACACATTACAAAATTTGAAAAAGATAGGTAATCACTAAAACCAGCATATAGAAACTGGGCTGAAAGAACAAACCCGTCCTTTTAGTGGATAGGTCACAACATTGCTGACGTCAAATGGTGGATGCAGCAACCTTGCTGAAGCGATCTTCTTCAAGACATTCACACCATGTCCAACAGAAAATGAGAATGCGCCAACAACTTCACCTGTTAGCACATCAACGGTTCCAATGTGAAACAAAGGAACATATTACTCAAACTAAAACGGGTGCAGAGTCTTAGTCTTAATACATTTCTGTAACAGCTATTTTAGAAGGCATGTTGAGAAGAAACAACTGTAACACAGGTTCTTAGAAGACCCAACCAAAAAGCTTAAGCTCTTAGGGGATGCAGACTACATGTATATACAGCACAAATAAACCACACTGATAAGCAATGTGGGATATTTAAACCTCTCTCATGTGTGGGCTAAGATCAGCATGTGGAACTGATGAATGAGGAATAAAAACAAACAATAACCTCAGTCCAAATGAAATTAAATGGGGCTTTAAGGATGATGTTTAGCTTTGATACCATGTAAAAATGTCCGATCCAAAAGCTTAAAGGAAACTACATGTATATATATAGCCTGGACAAACCACATAATAAGTGACGTGAGATACATAACATAGGTATTAGACTAGGGAATTTTATAAGGTCCACTGCCGGTATAACAAATAATTTCCACACTCTCCATTAGATGGTTGACATATGAAAGAATTCGGTAACAAAACTAACTCAAAACACACATGTCGACCATCGAACTGTGAACATATGATTATTTTTTATATTAACGGTGGACTTAACAATAATTATAAGACTACAGAAAAAAAAGTCTCAAATTCAATGATTAGATTGAAGTATGGTTTCTGGAATATGGACAAACAATGAAAAGTTTGTTAATACAGGGTTATAGTGGGTCCGAAATTCACGATAGTCCCCATCCAAAAGCTTAAATGATAGTCCCTGTCCACCTAATAGCTTAAGCTTTAGATTGGACTTTGTAACATGGTATTGGGGCATTCAAGTATTGTTGGCTTCTCTTGACTTCTCCCTCCTCCCATTTACTTTAGTTTCCCTCCTTCTCTAAGGAAATCCTAGGAACCTTCTCCGGACATCCATACAGATATCTGTACCGTATTGACTTCCAAGTAACTCCATGCTCGGTTTGACTCTTTTTGGGTTTTGCATTGTCAGATAATGTTTGTTTTACTATTTGAGATGGTTTGATGGTTCAAAGTGGTGTTCTTTTGGGTCTTTTTAACAATTACATTGGTTGGAAAGTGGTTGTATAAATTCAGAATAAGGGCAAGTAGTTTTTTTTTAATAATATACGGCTGAATGAAGTCGAGTGCTTGGTGATGATGATGCTTTAGATAATCTTCATGATTGACTGATGAGGTTGTGCCATAATCATGGCTGTGGTGATTTTACTATTGCAGAAGCTAGTTCAATCATTTCAGCGTATTGCATCATCCTCTGGTATTCAGATTACAACTGCAAAATTGAATGGCCATCACTACTTTTTATCGCTTAGGCGACGGTGTACCTCTAGCTGCCAGAAGTAGTTGATCTATACTTTGACTAATCTCCCGACAATTAATAGAAAGTTTCTCGAATGAAAAAAATAATCAAGTCGTGACTAGTCTCTAGCTATCAGTAGCAAGTCAAAATTATTTCTATGCCCCTTGATCTTTCGTTTCATGTGTAGTTCTTGTTTGTCATATTTCCCATTTATCAATTCCACATGCCATTCTTCATCTGGTTTGCATGCACAAGGAGGTATCAAAGTACATCTTGCATATTGCACATATGGAGTTGCAATGGATTTCATACACATGGTAATCTCTTTCCACTTAAGAGCTTAAGCTCATGAGTTGAACTTTCTAACAAGTTATACAAGAAAGTTCCAAGAAACGCAAAAAAAGAGAAGACCGACTTTTGAGTGATGACATCTTTAGTGAAACTAAAATGACCGGAAAATGCTAAGGAAGAAAAAGTGATGAATAGGACCCAAATTGCAGCTATTTTTCAAAAATAAATTATGCATTCGAATTTTGCTTTGGATTTTAGAAGCTATGCAAAAGCAGAAATTAAAAGCAATATCACAGAAAATAAAAGAGCCTTAGTTTCATTACAGACAACCTATAGATGACTCTACACCTTTTCCAGCCAATACACAGGAAAAAAGTACCTTTTCCAGCTTTTGCAGCAAGATTGGTCACTTCCACTTCAAGCTTAGCCAAACCCTGAAATTCATCGATGTAAAGTTGCTATTTAGGCAACTCCATATGTAGATCAAAATCACGCATAAACAAACAAAGAGCAAATGTATGAGCTCTGCAGCATGGTGGCTGGCTCTCATCTCGACTATCTACTATAATATGCTGAACAGAATTGTCTTTTGAAATTGGATCACCTCAGAAGATGAACCCTCGACTTGATAGTTCAGGGTTAATTAAAAATTATTTTTAAAAAATTAAGCATGTGTTCGTGTTCAAATACACAAGGAACTTACCATGCTGGGCTTAATTGGTATATCATTCCAGGATGCTGCCTAAAGTTCTACAGTAGTTAAACCCACTCGAAACTAGCTATCTATTTCACAATTTGAAAAATATCAATATACGGATCGAGACTGAGTCGATACTGAGAACTGCCCAGTGACATCATACATCCCCAATACTTTTCGGATAAAATATTCCATAATGGTGAAGACCAATCAATAAGCAGGCTGAGTTGAGTCTAGAAATTTGATCATATCAAAAGCAAATGGGGAGTCCATGTAACATTTTAACTGACGCAATAATAAATTGACATATCACTTCTCAAATATAAACTATTCAACCTCCTACCTATTCGTCCTAATATCCTTCGTAAGTGAAGTCAGAACGACGATAAGTCGGATGAATTTAAAACCATCTATGAAAAATAAGAGAGGGTTTAAAACTGCATTACTCTATCTATATATTCAACAGCAAACTGATTTCTTAGCATTTAAGAAACCACTAGGGACTTTTGAAAATGTACTCTGTTTTTTGCAGACGTTGCTGCAATCTTATCACTACTAACAAATGACAAAAATAAAGTAAAAAAGAAAACAAAAAACAAACATGCCCTTCACTAAACTATGGATGCATGGTAAGACACTAATTGTCAAATCCACATGCTGCACCACCCATACTTGCAAAAACAGGAAAAAAAATCACAAGAAGACTAATTCTAGTATTCAAGGTGCTCAATTTAAAATGGCAATAAAAGCCAAAAAAAGAGAAGATATAAAAGAGATTGCAAAGACAAATTTCTCTGGCACCTGATCATCACAATGGTTCTCTAAATTCCATGCAAATAATGCTTTAAAGATGAGCTAAATTAGTCCAGCTAACTTGTCATAATATTAGATTTCCATTAAGATAGCTTATTTCATACACTTAATTTGGTGATTGGATTGAGAAATCATATTGTTTCCACAACATTATCATGCTACTCAGTTGCAAGCATCTTAGCATCTGTAATTCTATCCATTTCCTCAAATCAATGGGAAAAAATAACTACATGCTCCACCTTACTAAGACGATTGTATTTACTTCCATAACACAATGGCTTTCTGAACAAAAACGAGCTTTCACTTGGGCAACTACCAAATCATACAGTTACGCTTCATTACTAATAATTTCAGAAAGATATCTTCCAATGACATGTTCATATTACACACTATGCAACAATAGTAGGACATATAGCACAGGAGGTTCACCTTCCTGGGCACTTCAAATATAAAAACTTCATTCCACTTTGCAACACCTTTGTCACTGGAAATTAGAGGCTTTACACATCTTGTCCTTGCACTCTGAGGAAATAACTTTTGTTGATCCGTTGCTTGGTGATCGATGACGAGACGCAACGCACAAAAGAAATTGTTGCTGTTACCATCGTCAAGAATTGGAAGACCCTGGAAAAATGCAGTGTGATCTTTCAAAGTCCAAAACAGCAAAACGGGATAAATTTCCCTAATATCCAAATGAAAGTACAAGTGATATGTAGAACCTTAGCTTCAAGAATCTGTATGGCGACATAGTTGCGAGCTTCCCTGAATTCATCTGCAACCATCAACCTATCTGAAAATCTGGGAGGAGGAATCCAAACAGAAGCAGATTCTTCATTGCGAAGCAGATCGACCATTCTCATATTTTCTTCCTTTTTTTTCAAAAATATGTCACACCCAAGCTTATTTTCCACTACAATAGTCTGGGAATCATCTTCATCCAATGCAGAAAAAGTCAACTCTTCTCCACTCTTACGATGTCTACCAGCTTCCTGTTGATATTAAGCAGTAAAGAATTAACGAATTTTTTGCCTTAATTTATATTGACAACAGAACTTCATATAATAAGAAAAGGATTTTGTCAAAAAGTGCCCGTAGGGCACTAATTAAGCAACTATATAAGAAATTTTACAATTTCCACCGCATTGACTTTTTCGTGATGTGTGGGAAATAGATCTTTTTTTCGTTAAGTATGTTTAACTAGTGCCCCGGGGGCACCTGTCAACCTGTCCCTAATAAACAGAGGTATTTGAAATGCAATGACCTCATTTAGCTTGGCTGACTTCTGCTCCATTTCTAACATTCTTCTCCAGGAAACAATTGTTTCCACTAATCTCTCAAGATTAGCAGCAGTGACATTTATATTTAGCATACTGGTAGCAGCAACACGAACTCTCTTGCCAATCCTTGACGGCTTGTGGTCATTAGTCGAGTACGTTTCAAACCTTCAAAGGTAAAGTATTACATGCAAGAATACAATAAATGATGGACTTATAAAAAATGACTGAAGAGGGCAAGTTGCTAAAGCATTACTTGAATATGCCATCGAAGGGCTCCACAAGTGGCTCCCATGCTTCAACTTGGGTATTGAAGGTTGAAGCAGCAATAGAAGAAATAAGTACTGCATTCATTGCCTCTAGTCGTCCATGAGTGGCAAGCTTGATATTGGTGATTGACATGTCAAACAAGGGAGTCATCTGGAAATATCCAATTTTATCATGACATGAAGAGCACGCTGCAAAGGATAACATTAATGGTTCTATTATTGACATATCCATTTTAGATGTACATACCATTCCACACAAGCTGTCCAAGACCGTCAGGGAGAAGCGTCTCAGCCTCATATCTGCAGTGATATTTTCACGTGTCTTTGGCTTAACAGAATCACATATTGTGTAAGCCAATCTGCTTGAAGGTTTCTTCAAATCAGAGCGTGCAAGGAAGGTGCAAGCCTGAAAAGACAGCAAGTAGAAACTTTTAGTTAAAATTCAATGAGGTAAAGGTAGAATTTCAACAAGATTGAACTAGCTAAAATCTATTCTCAAAAATTAGATTTATCAAGTATCCTGTTGCTTCAACCTGATTTTCAACTTTCCAGATACTCCAGCACTGAGATGCCTTGGAACTTGCCGATCTTGAAATGGGCACTTCAAGAATATTGGCTTGGTTGACAAGATCCATCCTAGGGCAGCAAAATGATTCCAGGCTTGGTGGCTCATCTATTCGGGAGACTACACATCCCAGAGAAACATAACCAGGAGGTGCAATTGGGTACCAAAAGAAGATATCATCCAAGCCTTTTACAGTAATTTGGGCAACCTTAGTAAACTGCACAGGCTTTGCAGCAATTTCAGGACTATCAGCCCTAAATATAATGCCTAAAGCTGGTGGTTCTAATCTGGAAAAGAAAAACAAAAAACGAAGGAATTCCATGTTGATCAATAAGACTTTCAATTTAAAGCAACAACACGATTATTATGATGATTCCGGAATTAATTTGCATGGTAAAGCATCATAAAAAATGAAAATATCAACTCAATTTCTTAAATCAACTGAAATTTGCAAGATAAATCTTGCCAGCACCATTTCATTATTTGCATATTTAGCAAACAGCAATGAAATAAATTTTAGTAGACAAAGACGAAAACAACAAAACTAATAAAATTTAAATAAGTTGATAAAACAGGGTTCCTTCAAATTATGTTTGGAATAACTTTCACTGTCTACTCTTTGCCTTTTCTTTTTCTTGTACTGTTTCAAGTTTGACTTTATTTAATGTCAAATACCTGGATACTTTCAATGCATATAAATACTGGTATATGGAGTCATTTATTTCGTCATAATATGCTTTAAAATTAAAACTATTCCTTTTTCATTTCAAAAATCTTGGAAGTAGAGCAAAACGTACTTTAGAAAAACCAGGACAAATAGACCCAAACAATCTTAAAAAAAGCAGAGAGTGACTTTTGAGGTCTTGACAAATCCCACTACTAAAGCACTGAACCAAATCATCAACTGATTAAATCATATATGTGAAAATGTCATATGACAGTAGCCTAACCCTTCCGTTATGCAGTCACCCAATGCAGCATAACTTGGACGTGGTGTAGGTCGCCATATTGAAACTGGTCGACGGACATCATTCCCCTTGTCCCACCAAATTCTCTCGAAATGAGGAGTGGACATATAGCAATTAGTTGATTTTGAAATCGATCTAAGAACATCCCATCCAGATGAGCTTGCAGTCTGGCCACTCACTTCTTGACTTTCATTATCAAAGTCTACCGCCGGATCTAAGGCAGAATCTGTAGACGAAACATGATGCGGAATTGAGCTCCATAGAATATGACTCAGGTCAAGGCCACAGTATTTCGGAGGGGATTCAGTTGATGCATGCGCATAAAATGATCCGATGATGTTATCCAAACGCCACAGGCTAAAACCAGAAAGAAATGAAGGATTTGATGCAGTGGTATACAAGCACTCTGAATACATTGTGGAAGTCACAAGGTCTGAACGCAGGCAGTAAACAATATGATTTGGGGGCGGTTTGTTTCCTGGATGTACCACACAACCCAAGGCAGTATACCCCGGTGGCGCAACAGGCATCCATATAGAACAGTCATTATCAGCATGTCCATGCTCTCCATTTACTTCAAATCCTTGAATGTGGGAGAACATTCCAATAAGGTTAAAGCTGACAGGCTTTCTTACGCGCCCATAAGTATTGCTGACAGCCATTACTGCTTGTGACGGAGGAATTGGCCTGAAGACACATGATTCGGTAATTATGATAAACAGCATAAAACATGAAATTAGGCATCATTATTCAAATTTGTTGACATCCATTAGCAGCAATGTGAACAAAAACAGGAGAAGAAAAGGAAATGGTAGTTGAAACATGTTAAAGCAGAGATCTAAGTAAGAGTGGCATGTGACACTTCAATCAGATCTTAAGTGGCTGAATAACCACAAGTTCTAGTTGAGTGAAAATTAAACAATATATTGACAGAATAAGCTTTTATCTGGGTAAATAATGAGAAGTGACATCAGAATTGCATAAGTAGGACGTATAAGTTGAGCTATACTATTTCAGCTTGCAGGCAGGATCCCATATGCTTCGAGCATATGTAAGAATATCGAGCATGTAACTGTTCAAGAATTGGCCAACCGTTCTACAATTAAATGATGAAGGATTGGCCAACTGCTCTACATGAGTTCAAGAATTGCTTTTTACTGTGCTATGCATTTCTATTATCCCTATCTCCTCATATCAAAAGCTAACTTTTTCGGAGTGGTCAATTACAAAGTTTCTGCAGTAAACACAATGTCCTTCAACACCCAAAGCCACCCGGGTACTCTCCCTCTCTCCAATTGAATCCAGCAAAACAACAATTTTCCTTTTCCTTCCTTTTGGGTTCCTATGATACATAGCTTTAGTATCAAGTTGCATGCTGAAGAACCACATGCTAACACATACTTTTGCTTAAATACAAACTTTCAAAAAAATGTATGAGTACAGCTAGTGGAAGCATATCCAATGCTGTGATACAGAAGCAAAAAGCCAAAAATATTTTATAAAAGAACCAAAACAAAGAAAAGCGAACATAGAGACTCCACTAAACCTCAGCATCAGACTCTATAAAATGTTATCTCAATGCCAGATCAGCCATGGACCCGTCCATTTACCATGTTGTATAGAGGGCGAAGGCTCCCAAAGCAAAAATAGGTGACAGCAAAAATGACAGCATGAAATTCATAGTGTCTAGATAGAAGTTTCATAATTCTTATCAAATCAAGACTTTAGATCATATCATAGGTCCTATATTATGCAGATTTTTCAACATCAATGTAACAGCTAGATCAGTGGCTGTATCCCACAAAATCTGTCCTTCTGTTAAGTTCTGAAATTTCAATTGTATTCACACAAGATGAAAATAATAACAGACGGTACTATGATCAAGTATTATACTACAACAAGAAATTCAGTTCCACCAAGTCCATTTCCTTAAACTTAAACGAAGAAAAAGTTTAGGCAAAGAAAAGCAGCCAATGGCATTAACACATCACGAGGGAAGACGCTTATTTTCAAGGTGAAAAGAAGATTTAAGGAAGATCTTAACAAGCAGAACATAAAAAGAAACATATCGATGAAGGCACGAGGACTGTTGTAACTCAATGCATCACTATAGTGAAAAGAGAAATAGACAGAATAATTAAGCCAGATGAATCTGCAAATATGAAAAGGCAATTATAGTCAAAGATAAAGCAACAGTTTGTCGTTTCCAAAGTCACATTGCTCATAGAGTAGACCTACCTTAGAATATACAACAGCGATGCTAGAAAGAGTTTCAGATTGTTATAAGATGGGCCATCAAGGGGTTACTTTTTATGCAAAACATAGAATCATAGAGATAATAAACTTACACATGTTCAAGTGGCAGTTTACATTTTTGTGAGTAACTGAGCTAACATTCTTCAAAGCGGCAATTGTGCAGTTACCAAACAATTACTAGAATTAGAAAGAAGGTCACATGATTCCTTAGGCATAGGAAACTTTTCCATCAGAAGAAGAAGACAAGTAACCCAACATGATCGAAAAGTAATGGTCGAAAGGTCACCAACATCCATGTCCATAACTTTTACCTTGACGTTACACAATCTCCTAAGACAACATAATTGGATGGAGCTTGAGGCCTCCAGAAAGCAAGGTTATTAGATGGTCCATTATCTGCAGACATATACAGCATGGCAAGGATTAGGAAAAAAAAAAAAGATATTGACTGCAAGATAGAAATATTTCCTATCGACATAAAACACAACTAAGTCCCCATTAAAAAATCTAAAGCTTGTAGTGGCGGATATATTTGTATGACAAACAGTGGCTTATTAAAAGATACCTTTAGGGGAGACCCATAGCCGATCAAAATTGGTACAAGGAGCAAGAGGGATTGTGTTTCCTAATTGCAGAGCCACAGCTACCTGACTTTGAAGATTAAGAATTAGAGAAATTGCACTCAGTGAAAGATGGAGACATATATCAGTCGATAGCAGAGATATATTTGTTTTCTCTTTAACAGATGTATATCCTCCTGAAATATCTGTCGGATCAAGAATAACAAGACCAGAACCGGCCTCAACCATGAGATCCTTCACCAATGCACGAATCCAGGTATCATTGTCTTTTGCTGCATACCTGTGGGGCATGTGCAAGAATTTTGTCAGATGAATTCTGTACCTTTGTCTTTGCTAGAAAGTTCTGTACTTCAAAAGGTACATATTAAGAGCCATTGAGATTCAGAAAATAAATAATTGCAACACATGGAGTCATAACGATTTAAACACTTAAAAAAGCATGAAGTCTAAGTGTATCCTCAACTAAACTCCCAAGTGCTCCCCCTATAATTCTAAATTTTCTCCCGTCAACACTTGACAGAACCTCATTTTGTAAACTCAGGAAACAAACAGGTAAATATGTTGCAGAGAGAGAGAGAGAGAGAGAGAGAGTAATACGAGGGATTAGCAAAGAAAAAATAGGAATATCCATGTATAGATAGTTGTGATAAGGAGAGAAAAGTCAGGGATCTGAACTTGTTCAAAGAGATAACTGACTCATATGGCAAATGTAAAGAGAGTAATCATTGAATGGAGAATGAAAGAAATACTCACATGAAGCTAAGATCCAACTTCGCTCGTAGCAACTTTTCACCAGAAGAATCGTCTAGGAAGGACTTTGTACTATCATAGAAAGTAAACTCGGGAGAGATGACCTATAACAGAAAATAATCCTTGCCATCAGGAGAAAAGAACTTGGACTGTTCTAACAGAAAGACTAACCTAAATTAAAACTTCATAAATATCATATTTTGCACAAACATATGGAGTTGATTAACTTTCTAGTTTTTACCGGATTTGATAGCCTGTTCTTTTCAATCAATAGTGCTGTCAAAGTGAAAGTGTTCAGAGTAATTGGCCGATGAGGGCATATTTGTCCATTTCCTTTATTATGTTATGTATGGCGGCAATAAAGGTGAAATTGTAATTTTGGCATCTTGGCTTTATTATAAATAAATAACTTGGGGTCACATTGACCTAACCAAGCATTCAGTTCAGTTTATTGTCTCTCAACATGGTTTTAGAGCAAGGGCTAAACTGAAACCCCAACCCCAACCCCAATCTCTTCTCTGCACAACCCTTCTTTTCTCTCTATCTCTTCCTGCCTGCACCCTCTCACACCGCAGTTCCTTCTCACCTTCTCCTTTGCTCTCTTTCACAGTGTAGGGCAACACTAATGAGGTGATTCTTTGAATCTAATGTCTGCCCTAAACCTCACCTCTATGAGATAAACTAAAGCTTCTTGGCGGTCTACAAGAGGTTATTCAATGTACAATGTGGTCCCTAAACTTCCAATTTGTTCAATGTGGTCCCTGAACTATTAGTAAATGTTTAATCTAGTTCCTAGTTTAGTTCTTAGACTATATGAAATTGTTCAATGTTATCCTTCGGTTAATTCAAGTAAATGAAATATGCTGATGTGGCTCTCAATCCGTTAAGTTTGAACGGTGTATAACCCCAAAAAAAAGTTAAACATGGATTATCCAAGTAAGATACTCATCCCAAATTAGGAAATAATAATGGACATGTTAATGCTCTAATTTTTTTTCCTCATCTAAAGTAGATGGATAAAAATATACTCATCATTTTTAAAGATCCAACTCAACAGAAAAACATTAAAGTCATCAAATAACGTCTAATTTGTTGTTTGAGCAAACGGAAGTACTACATTGAACATTTACCGATATTTTAGGGACCACGTTGAACAAATTAAAAGTCCAAGGACGTTAATGCATATTGGGCCAGAGTTTAGTAACCATTTGTATCATTTGCCCTTCTTAAGATTTACACCCACAACGTATAGATAAGTTGAAAGATCCCCTCCACAACGAAAGAAAAAAAATCCAAAGAAAAAAGAAAGATTAATGGTATTTGTTGTCGATAATAACAGCAACATCAATTGTACTAATGATAAATAAGCAACGGGACAAAGGAAAGGGAACCTATAACCGGACCATTAAATACAAAATGACACACGTCAACTTTCATTTCCAATCTAACCAAAACAAACTTTCATTTCCAAGAATATAAAATAAGCATTTATACCTGGCCTTCAAAAGTGAGACTCTCTGTATAACTTGATTCGTTTTGAGAGAGCAAATGAGCATTTGACATGTCCAGGGTCTCAAGTTTGTAGTCCAAACTCTTGGTATCATAATTAAGAGCAGATTTTTCCAGCAATGAAATGTCAACACCATCTTCGAAGGACACGGAATAACTGCTATCATTACCCAAGAATGTATACTTCCGCAAAAGAGAGCCATTCTGATGGATGAATTCATAAAATTGAAAATATCACAATGAGAGTGGCACTTTGACAAATGAAGGATAGCATTGAGAGTACGAATATCTAAATATCTATGACATGTAGCTTAAATGCTTTAAAGAACTTACCGTGTCCTTATCAATTCTAAAGTTCATTCAAAAAAGCACATGACGTAGTAGACAGAAAGTGCGATGAGTAGTTACAGATAACTTCCAGTTTTTTATCACTTCAAATTAAGTGAAACAGCGAAAAGCAAAGTAAAAACAAAATCAAAGAATGGTGATAGAATTGGGTTTTTCCACGGCCAACACATATTCGAGTTTTCCATTCTGACCTTTGGTAAGTGAGATATGAACCAACAATATAGGCCACGGTCCCATACAAACAATCAAAGCAGGACACCAACCTTTAATATAGAGATAAAATCAAAGGCATACCAGCCCTTGAAGGAGATTACATCCTCTAAAATAATGGGTTTTAACTTCCATGCCTAGACTAACAACAGAGAGGCAACTCTTCTAGGGTGGTCCTAGTACAATGAGTCATGTTCATATGTGATTTCCACGAAAATTCCATAGATAAATTTTGGAAGCAAATACATTATAAAAAAATCCAATGGTATTGGATCGCATCTAACAAAAAACAGGAGTTTCTAATTTGTAGCAACATATCAATACCCAAGTCAAGTAGGCAAAAAGAGTGAATAAATCCTAATTGGAAGAATCTAATATAACTCGTCAGATACATAAGATAGTCACCCCTTTTTGCGCGTCAAAGAAAAAATATCTAGTAGTTATCCAGATGCTGGTGAAGACAACTCCATTATAAAATTAAACCAAACTAATATGTGAGGTGGGAAAGAAAGCTTAAGAAAGGAGAACGTGTCTGCATGCACTTGTGTAAGCACAAAAGATACTGTTATGAGCTCTTACATACATTATGGACCTTGAGTAAACCATCCATAGTGCATGCTAAGCAAAGAAAGAGTAGATAATCCCACACTGGTTTGACTAAGAATAAAAGCTACTAAACTGCTTCTATCCCTTCAAAAGTTGGTCCTTTTGGAGTGTGAGATTTAGTGGGACCACCGCTAACTGTTCTAAAAGCTTAAGCTATTAGATGAAGGCGTAATTTAATATTTAATTATTCTAACACCCCCCTCCACGCTTAGTCTGGTCTTTTTGTGTAATACTAAATGTGGACATATTTAATTAGGGAGGTAAATAGGGCTTGGAAAGATTTGAACTCAGAACCTCCAGTTCGAAGACCATGAAAGTGTGAACTTATGCGCACGTTGGATCCCGTATTTCACATCCATGTTGACATATATCCATGCAAAAATTAGCACAGCAAGAAAAAACCAGTGATTTCTATTGGTTCGGCTATAACTGTTCACGAGCTACTAAAAGCCACCCATCCCTTCATGAGCTATAGGCCCTTTCGGACGTAATGCTGGACAAAATAAAAGTTGGCTCCGAAACTTCTGTTTTCATCCATGCCAGCTTACATGTGGCTAAACATTGTGCAAGTTAAAAGCCAGAAAACTGTATGGTAACGAGTTCATACCTCAATTTTGACATTGACAAACCGCAACTTCTTACCACGTCCAATGATTATAATCGGGTCAGTTCTCACCACGTGAAGTTTCCTTGAATCTGCTTTTTCACTCAAATGAATGATCCTTCCACAACCATCGTATACAAACTCATCAACCTCTAAGGCATCTGCTACTAGTTGCCTATCAGGAGACAGGTGCACTACATCTTCATACTGTTTGTATATAGGTTCAGAGAGTATAATATTATTGCTCTTACTTATAGGATCATTCCTAGGATCCATGGTTTCCTCCCTCCCAGTTATAGCTCCTAAAGCTGGCACGAAAAACTCACCCAAAGTAAGAAGGAAATCTGGGACAACAAGGACCCTGGGTTGCTGAATCCGAACAACAACAGATTGGGAAGATGTCCTTGATCTATAGTCCATCAAGAACATCGTAGGACTTGGAATTGCAAACTCCAAACCAGCTTCAGCACTTGTCTTTCCAACGATAACCTTATTTAATGAATAGGAAATATCTCCAGCAGAAGTTGGTCTAGAAGAATCACTTGAAGATCCGAGCATCAACCGCATTTCAGACTTTGTTTCAGGGCGACTGTCAAGAATGGAGAATTTGGGAATGGTAACATAGAGGTCTGTTTCTGATAATGAAGTCATCCGATATGACACCCATAGACCTTCAAGCTGGAAACAGGGAAAACATCAATCTCCTATATAAGAATCACAATAACAGCATAGAAAAGTGCACACCAGAAACAGGGAAAAAAATTGGTATAAAATGCAAGTCAATGAGACTGGCCACATCACACTGATTATGACGACTTGTGTAAAATATCAGTTTAAGTGAAAGAAGCTTGTTGAAATGAAAACACTCGCATAATAGCTGCACTTACAGAAATATTTGCTAAAGGCGACCCTTCATCAATGCCATTGCACAACTCCAACAATGCACAGTCCACTTCAACTGCAATTACAGTGACTGTACGTGACAGCAGAATTTGACTATTCGTGTTGACTTTATCGGCCAGCAATCGCATTGTATCTCTAGAACCAGATGAACCGACACGAAAACTTGGAGGGATCCTTGGTGCTTCACATAAATTCATGAAGACAGAATCCACAATAACATTATATTCCTTATCAGACATCACAGCATGCAACAAGCCCACCTGCTCAAGAAATTGCCAAGGAATATCCACTAAAAGAATTTCAATATGAAACGCTAACTGGGATTGAAAAGGAAGCGAGATGAACAGAAAATGAAGTTCACGTCACATTACAAAATATTTTTGTCGACTAAACCTGAAAAGGTACAATAATAGCTCTACAAAATTGAATCAGTAACAATATAGGTACTGGCCTAAAACTGTATATAAAGAGAAGATCGACATTCAATAATCGAAGCTTCTGCTTTCTGACCATATCGATGTAAGCGGGACAGATAGGCCCATAAAAGAACTTTAAGAGTTATATGGAAAACCAAGGTATGATATTTTTAATTCTTGAGCAGAAAATTAACATCCTCTTAGGTAATTGTGACATCATTGCATTGAACCTAAATTACTTATAATCCTCTATTTTAGGACTCCAAAAAACTTCAACCAGGAAACTATGAAAAACTGTCATAGGCATACTTTATGTAATAGTGACAATACCTTCACTTCCAAAGAAAATGTTGGAATTTTTCTGAAAACATCCCTCAAGCTACGACGCACGTAAACATCAATTCCATGACCTTCCCTAATCATTGGCTTACCAACAGAACCATTGATCCCAACAGTCATGTTTACTCCCAAAATCTGAAATTTGCATTCAAGTTGGGAATGCTTTAGAATTAATAGGTTTTATGGTAAGCAAAATAACTAGAAGAGGAAAGGGAGCAGACGATCTACCTTAGCCTGAAGAAGGTCAACATGGACAGCTGAAGGATCCTTCTCAGGGCATCCATGCCAGCTAATATCATTTGTCACCTGCAGCTGGCCCAGGTCAAGTTGGATGAAGCTGCAAAAGAATTGGAAATATGAAGCCTTATCTATTGGAACATATTATATACACATTAACTGATGAAAACAAAAAGTGGCAATTTTGCACGTCAGGAGGATTCTTGGTAGTTTAAGGAGGAAAAGAAAAGAAAAATAGGATACAATGAAACAAAAAACAATCAGACAACAGCACACCATGCCATATCTCTTGAAACAATTATTGGAATTGAATAGACAGTTGCATCGGCCCAAACAACTTCTTTGAAAAGACCCATTTGGCTATCACCTTCAGGACCCTTGGCTTTCAGATCGTTTTCTGCTAGAAATTCTAGTCAAAATTACATCCTATAGAACCTCAACAACAAAAACTACAACAAGTGTCATCCTACCACCCCTAAACTTTTCAATGTATTATACGAAAACATTTTCTTGGCATATTTGTTTGATTTAACAATGCAGAATTGCAACTCCTACCCACAAAAGACTATTTTTGCCTTTTTAACCCAATAAACCTTTAAAAACTAAATACGACAATGTCATAGCATGACAACTTATATAAATTGGGGAACAAATTGCAACGTCCTCAATTCCATTTTATTTACTATCTTCATGTCCAAATTGAAGGAAAACATAGGAAGAACTGGGACGTTGTCAATCTTCTGAATCTATAATACTTCCAAACATGAATTGCTCTAGCATGTACGGAAGATTCAAGATCCGTCGACTTTCATAATTTAAATAAAATCTTTAAGCAAGGTGAAAATTGAAAAGTATAAGGAAGCAGACAAAAGACTCTACAGAAAAGAGTTGGTGAAGAGATCCAACGAAATAACAAGTAGCCTTTCTAATGCTTTAATCAACTTAAATCTGCTTATAACATACTTTAAACACTTAAACTTAATAGCTTGTATCAGTCCAAGTTTTCATTATTATACAAAAATGTTTCAACCAGCACTTGCCAATTGTCGGGTCAAATGAAATTCCTCAACAAAAGAAAACACATATATTTACTTACTCTTTGCTTAGTGAATTTTTTGGCACAACTATTATAGGAGTGTCAAGTGAGAGATCCAGCTTTAGTGCAGATGAACCATCAATCTCATATTTCTGAATCAACCATTCAAAACCTCCAACTTTATCGACAAGCTTGATGGCCTCTTCAGTATGTGGATTCGCAAGCTCCATAAAATATGCTGTTACCTGCAAAAGCACTCCTTGCTGCTTATGACGAGCATTACAAAGTCAAGGGGGACAAGAAGTCCCCAAAAGCAAGCAATAATGAAACTTAAGGGATGCTGGCGAGAAAAAAAAAATTGAAACCTATAGCTCAGTCGTCTTACAAGCTCTATAAGTCAAGTTAATTAACAATCAAATCAAATAATTAGCACCATCTTCATACATACCTCTTGAACAAACCTGTACAGAAAAACAATCCGAACAGCAGAAAGTCTGCCTCGCAGACTATAATCATATCCTTCAAAGTCATCATCTTCAGCACTATAAGAATTAAATCTAAGCTGCAAAAGATAAATAAGACTCCAATTACAACTAACGAATAAAAGCAAGAAGGAATAAATCAGAAACCAGACACAGCATCATCAGCAAACCACCGGTAACATCATACCTTGATTAAGGACTCGGTGCCAGGGTTACGTATATCACAAAGCCACTTCCAAATGTGATCTGCTCCAAGTGACATATCACATAGTCTAAAATTTCCTAAAGTGCCTTCAATGGAAAGAGAACTTGGATAAACCTGGAAAGAGTTATAAGAAGGTCAAAAGTCTACAAGTACAAGAAAAGAACTCAAAGCATAAGTATATGCTCAAACAAAGACAGGCCAAAATTGATCTTGAAAAGAACTACATTACCTTGATATCTAATAGGAAGCTTTCTTGTACAAGCATTGCAAGCTGAGTACCATCCTCATTATTGAGTAACAAGCAGACACTGTCGACTTTCATGTAAAGATTAAATACAACACGACCTTTACCATAGCCCAATAGCCCTTTAACACGCCCGTTGTCTTCAAACTTGTCCTCGTTAAATAAAGGTTCATCCTTTGAAGTCTCTACCATGTTCATGTCACTGTGTCCAGTGCTTACAGAGCTCAGATCCAAACCAAAACCAATCAAAGCAACCAGGGTGGGTCGATTGCAAAAGAATTCCAATTTGGACATGCTCACAGCCATCTGAAAATGCTCAATGACATTAGAGGTGAAAAAAGCTCATCACTTGTGAAAAATGATTTTTACAAAAAATGAAGAATCCTCTCCATTCTGTGTCCATCTCTCTCCAGCTCTCATCCTTTTGTTACATACCTGAGTATCTATGCCATCATAATCTGGTGAAGCAGAACTTCTAGTTGAAAAGGTTACAGAGACAAAATCTGAACTTTCCATGCCCTGTGCCTCATAAAAGATATCATCAGAAAATCCCATTCCTTTCCCCAAGTCATTTTCATTCATCAAGGCATCAGCGGAACCAAGTCCTGTAATGTCTATGATGTCCGCTGTCCTTGCAGGCTGATTCATAGCCATACTATGCGGATGGATACTTGACTCTGACAAGGATATGAAATCTGGCAAAGCATCCTTGAAGATGTCATCTTCCTCGGATTGCACAGACGACATGTTATGGCCATGGTAATCACTAACACCAGCTGACACAGATGTATTCTCATTCTCCACCACAGAATAGGCCAAATATTGTGGACTAGTTGAAGTACGACTTTGAAGCTCGTCTTTAATTTTAAGAGAGTGAAGCTTAGATTTCACTGTCAGGTCACCTTCACAAATAATCACATGTACCTAAAAGACAATGGCACATATGTCATAACACTACAATTAGAAGCCCGGTCTTTTCTACTGTACCAGTGAAAATGAATTCATTACAAGGGTACCAAGGCTGTACAATCTTCATGAGAATATCACTTCGAAAAACTGACTAAAAACTCTACTGTTTGTGTCTACATGAGACTCATAGGGATACTCCCTCTTGAGTACTGTTAGAGTATCTCACATCGCTTGTCTACAGAGTTTCAATGGGCCTCATATTCACGTAGTTAAGCTTTGGGGTTGGAGTCTTGGACATGCTAACATGGGTTCAGAGCTAGGTTCCACCCAAATATTTTTTCACTTGTAAGGCACCCATTGTCAATTCCACATGTCGTTCTCAATCTGGTTTGCACATGAGTTGTGTTAAGGATCCTAAATCACTTGTCTCTTGGGTTTCAATAGGCCTTATGTTCATGTAGTCTCCCTACAACTTTCAACTTAAATCTTTTTTTGGACTAAGTTCAGCCCCAGGTATTTTGCATGAGAGGCTCCCCATTTGCCAATTCCACGTGCAATTCTCAGTCCGATTTGCACACAACAGGAGGTGTTAAAATATCCCACATCATTTGTCTATGGAGTTTACACAAACCTTATATTCATATAACCTTCCTCTACCTATCAGCTTAAACTTTTAGGTTGGACATTCTAATAGGCATCATTTCCTTCATAAGATCCACATGAAATGCACCCATTCCCGTCATAAGATCCACGATGATGTTCCTTTTGGCAAAAAATTATAAATAAAAAATCAAGGTCCTTTATATGTCTACTCTATGCGTGGATCTCAAGGTTAGCACAGCTCCCTCATAAGATCCGTAAGGTAATAGACCTTTATTACACCAAGTACAATTTTTTTCTTCTTTACCCTTTTGAGTTTCGACCAGGTACACCACCAAAAATCGTTTATTTTTAATTCAAGTTTTGACAGATTCGGAACAGGTGATGGAGAAAGGCTTTCTTGACATTGATGAAGCATAAAATATTTTAACGTTCAATCCAAAGCAGGATGTTGAATAATTTCAGTGACAATAGTGACTGAAAGAACAAAATAAAGAAAAGCTACACAAACCTTCCCACCACCAGCAAGAACTTCAATAATAGATGTCTCTTCAAGAATGATATCACCTGCTCCTCCAGTCTGAAAAATTAGGAAAATCTTAGCATTACATTATCTTAAGCTGATGAGAACAAAAGTCAGTCCCAAGTCAAATCTGTTTTGCATCAAAGAAGGGGAACAATGATGAGAAAACAAAATAATACAGATCTTACCTTGCCATAAATAAATAGCTTGGTTTCCAACAATGAGCCATTAATGACTATGTCAGCAGTTTTGGAATTTGACAAACGGGCCATATCTGATTCAGCACCCTTGTCACTTGTTCCCCCAAGAACATCAACCAATGGAGGAGCCTATACACACATTACCAGAAAAGAGAAGAAATTCAGCAAAATGCACCTAATAGTCGAGCAAAATGAAATATACGTGAATCGCTGTACAAAATATTCTGTATCATACAGAAGCTTGGTATGTAGCTTGTATAAGTCCCTTCAACCAAGCTGCTTTGTGCTCCTCGTCTTGAAGCTCCAAAATCCAAGTGCTAGACGATTCTAGTGCCTGAAAGATTTATTGCCACAGTTTATACAAAACACATGACATTTGACACGAGAGAGAGAGAGACCGCAATGGTAACATGCATTAGGAGTTCATGAATTGCAATATTTTATGTAATGGAAAAAAAAAACTAAAACCAAGAATGCGTAAACTGAATTGGCCTTGCAAACCTGTAGCGCTAGGAGTCATATTATTCTCTCCTTGCAGTTTTGTTAACATTCAATTAGATCATTCTACAAACCTCGAGAATTACAAAGAGATTGGGTTATAACTGGATTTTCTTGGTGCTAAAAAATTTGACTAGTTAGAATTGTAATTGAGTAAAAGCACAATGGTCTTTTTTTTCTTTCAAACACCAAGCCTGCACAATCATTTTTCGTTTAACTGCTGGCTAGAAGCTACTAGAAGAACACTACATTGCGTTTGGATGAGATCATTCGACCATCTAATAAGCAACATTTGAGTTTTATAATTTTTTTAGAAAAGTCACGAAAGAAATTGTGGCGACCTTAAATGCTTAATGTTTTAACAATTTTTTGTTTTTAGTACAGAAAAAGCAAAAACTTAAACCTAAAGGTCAAAAGCCAAATGACAGACCAAACATCCACTTGGATTGACGATTTTGAAAGTTTAAAATCATTGACACGGTTGGGAACTTGAAGGTCTTGGGTTTTCATTTGGAGTTACAGTTATCTTATTTTAACGGCTCGAATTAACGTGTGGACACCTAGAAAATTGATAATAAGCTGGTTGATCAAGAACAAAGGGCTGAAGACTGCACAAAATGCTGAAGAGCGAAGTTGGGCATCAAGTCAACTTGAAAAGGATGCCCACCAGGTGTCATGTCAGGGAGAAAGCTGATCCAGGCATTGGACCTGGCTTAGGTTGGATGCCTGGACCAAACCGCCTCAAGACAAAACCATTCTGTTTGGATGAGTCTTCCAGAGGCCTATGAGTAGGGTTTCCATTAGCTTTTCTATAAATTTGAGTTCTCCTTTTAGGCACAATGTTAAGATACAAAAGGAAGTCAAGGGTTTGCAACTTCGCAATGTAAATTGAGTCAGTTTCTGCGAGAGAAACTGTAAGGGCTAATCATTGAATGAGAGTAACTACTGTAATGAGAAACACTTGTAGAGATGCTGAGTGATTGGTCGAAACATCAATTACGAATATATTTTCTGTTGGTCTCCCTGGAAAAGTAGGTCGAATTGGCTAAACCACGTAGAATGTCGTGTGATTATTCGTTTCTTATGACATCTACTGCATAATGAGACGTATCTTGAAACAAATTGGTGTCAAAGCACAGTTTCATGATGGCTTCAACAGAAAAATAAGAATAAGAGAGATTCAATAGAAGAAACAGTTTAAATGTGAAGTGCATCAAAATATGCAAACTTTGTTAGACGCAAGTTGTGTAAGTTGCTCTGGATAAAAAGGCTTAGATGCTACGACTTTGAGGGCAGAAAAGAGTAAATTGTCAGTGAGGCTGCAGGTGGGCATTGGCTCATGCAGCATGAAATTGAGGTTAAGAAGAACAAAGGAAAACGGTGTGGCAGATGCTGATTCTGGTGATGTTGGGAAGTTGTCAGTCACCATTGATTCATCAACTGATAGATGGTAATTCAAGTCTCCATCTTCACTTCACACAACACCAACAAGAACTGGTTTGGAATTTGTTACTGTATAAATAGCTGAGGATGGAACTACAGAGAGGTAACGAGAGACAGTGCTATTGGCAAGGTCAAGCCACGAAGCCAGTGAAGCCAAATGATGTTTTAGCCACTAAAGACAAAATCAATTGCCTGACACGTTTGAGCGCACTAATATTGCTTTTGCAATATCTATGAGACACGAGGTTGAGTCAGAGAGCCATTGTAAAGCGGCTATGACCGTGGGACACGTCAATGCAATGACAAGGTATATCTCATTGGCCAAGTTTAGTCAAGCCTTCGACATGAAGAGCGCCTATGATGGTTGAGCCCACAAAGGGGCTCGGAAGGGTAGTTAGCAGGGTTATTACAGAGCGGTTGTGACATCAATGCAAACATTGAGCCAAGAGGAGATTTGTCAAAATATTGCCTTCAGTTTGAGCCCGAATTAATAAAGACTTGACTTGAATAATTGTGTGGCAGCTGGGAAAATTAATGAGCATTTTGTATCAAGAGCAAACTTTGGTCAATGCAAAAGCAGAAGTCTGGCAACTCCACAGGAGGTAAGACAGTAAACTCAGGTATCAGGTCAACTTGAACCAAACACCAGAGATGTGTCATTTTCTGGAGAAAACTGAAGTGGTCCCACAGCTAGTCCTGGATCGATTGCCAAATTGGATCACTTACGACCACATATTCAGTCTATTTGGACTGGGGGTCCCTAGGCCTATGTATAGCTTCGACAAGTTTCTTCTACATATTTAAGTGGTCATTTGTCTTTTGGACAAAGTGCCATGTGATGTTTAGGTTTTGTAAATACTCCATAAATTGTGTGAGTTTCAGACAGAGCACTAACAACTATGCGAGGTTGATGAGTAAATTGCATGTAGGCAACAGTTGAGATAAATTGCGTGATTGTGTAATCTTTGATGTAATGTTCATTAACAACTAAATCTTTATGCTCCTTTCTCCACGGACATAGGCCAAATTAGCAAAACGACGTAAACCTTTTGTGTGATTATTTTTTTTATGTGGCTTTCATCATTGCAATCAATGTTTCCCGATATAATTTTCAGTAGTAATCATATCAATGTGGCCTACTAGTAACTTCAGTCAAGGACCCATTTGCTGACTACTAATTTCCAATAGCATGTTTGCCAGCATTGCCATGAAAAAGAGAGACCAATATCTCGATACACAAGTTTTATCTCTACAAGCAAAAGAATAACCCATTACATTGAGAACGTTTCACCAAACGACAAGCATAACACACATATAAAAGTTATCGATTAGCTAAAAGGAGAACAACAAACTGTAACACCATCGTTGTATCTAAAGGCAAATTGACAAAACAAAGTATTTCAATACAGATTTCACTAAAGTAGTAAGATATAAAGAGCTAGATTCAGGGTGGACAATTGAAACCGTTAAAGAACCATCAGGACTAACCTTTTGAGTGTCCATACCCCTAAAACTCACAGCAATACAAAATGAAGCACCACCAATGTTTGTTGGGGGGACTTCATGAATTTGTCTACCAGCCATACTGCATCATCTCAACAGTACCAGTTCAATCAAAAGATTAGAGGTCACGATAAATGTTACGTTTCAGTTGACAAAACTGCTACAGACAAGTTCTTGACAAAGAAGGCCCCATTTTAGATAGAAACGAAGAAAAGGTCTAGACTGGGATGGCAGAGGGGTCAAAGGACAAAAGAACACAATTCAAATATTAAATGATGCAACATCAGAAAAGAAGACCAGACCTTAAGCATCGCTGATAGCTCTGAGACTTTTCAGACTCTAAAAGGTAGAGGTAGAATCCAGAGAGTACAAGAAAACAGGGCTGCCATGTGGCCATGGAGTTGCCAATTCCCTACAATCAATAGGAATTAAGATTAAGAACGTAACAACTATAACTCAAACACATGACCAGCTCCTTTGAAGATATCCAGACATACCCTCCAAACTAACATTCTAGCATCACTTGCGAGATCTATAGGAGTCCAGGGCGCAAGTTCAGCTTCAAAACTATCAATTCTTGGCTGTCCCATGATTCCCTTAGGGCCATATAAAATATTTAACAATTCCATGAGTCTGCAATAGCGTGCTGGTGAAAAGTGGATGCCAAGATTTGGTACTTGGACGGAGACACGTGTTGATGGATAACTTCGGTGAGGCACCTTAATCTGCTCATAGACAGGTGCACATGAATTTAGCACAACTTTAGTTGTCAAAGAAACACCAAAGCGTGACTTCTAAAAGTTCAGTAAGGTCAGAAACCCAACGAAGAAAAAGAGAATATATTTACCTGATCAACTATTACTGCCATACCACACCTATCAATGAGAGAACAGAAATTATCACGGTCATCTTGTATGGGGGACGCAACTGGTTGATTGCTGGCAGTTGGTACAACCAGAGGGCAATTCTGGCTGTCGAAATAACAATCCGTGAAAAAGGCTGCAATATCTCTTCCAGAGATATAAAACCGTGAATATAAATTCTTCCTCTGTTCCTCCTGCTGGTTATGCTGCATAAACCAGGAAATATGATTTAATCAACTCTACATTAACAAGATAACTCTAATGACTGAAGAGAACATGGAAAATATAGGATAACTGTCACATCAAGGAAAAGCTTGTTTCCCACAAAATGAGTCCGTTTATCTAAAAGCACATCAACGTATGCAGCTGTAGAATGTCTAGTAGATGCTCGGTCACTGAAAGTGCACAGAGAAGCTAAAGGGAGCATACCGTTGTCCGCAGCGTGAAATTACCAAAATCCAAAAGCAAATGGCTATCACACTTGGAAGATTCAGATCTCCTTATAGGAACTCTAACTTTAGGAGCATCCAGATCAATGTCAAGAGCGAATCTGCAGTCAAAAGTACATTAATTAGATGTAAAAAGTGTTTTAGCTTTCCCTTTTAGCAAAAAAAAAAAAGTGTTTTAGCTTTCCCTATCACAATGAAGGAACACATTAATTTGGTGAAATAGACATTTAGCCAAGATAAGTAAGGACTACGAGTACCCAACTTATTTATGGCTCAATTTACTTCAAGCAAAAGATGATCATTCCATTTCTAGCAGATTCTAGAATAAGTACTATTTTAGACTAATATAAACAAGACAAGGAGGAACAGTTGAGGCAGTGGCATTAATGCAAGACATTCAAGATCTTGTTCCTGTCTAACCGAATTGATGTTCCTCTCCCTTGAGGTTTTTTTGGGAGCCATTTGTGGGAAAGAAGCTCAAGCTAAAAAGATATTTGATTGATCACAGGAGTCAGTTAAAAGCTAAAGGGGTAGCTATTGAATATATATTGTTGTAAATAATTAAAACAGTATTATTCATGTAGGGTATAATGGTCACATCATTCTCTTCTCAATTCTCTCTTTTCTCAACAACTCTCTCTATGCATTGACATGTATCAAAGCACCTAACTATTGCTTTCATCCAGTAACTCCTTTCTCACGTCATTATCTCTTTAATTTTTTTCCTTTCCTCTAAGGAAAATCCTAAAGTAGTATACCCTTAACAACATGAGGATCAATGTCCCTATCCTTCTAGGGTGACGGAGGGATCGTACCACTGAGCCTTGTTCTTTTCATGCTTCCCAGAGGTCTGGAAAAGCTGCGATCAATAGGATTTCCCTAATCCTCCCTTCCCGAAAGGAAGAACGAGATATTCTTTTCGTTTCCACAAGTATTCCATTGAAAACCAAAAAGAACAATTTTTTCAAGGGAGAAATTAGAAAAATTTTGTCCCACCATTGAATGTTATTTGATCGTTCCATTTCAAAGAATCTTCATGAAACATAACAACAACCATTTAGAGGATTTAATTGCTTCCTAAAAATTGGATTCATACTTTATTTACTAAAGAGAGAACTCTTTATCTCTGTTAATCTAATGTGCCAATTAACTAAAGCAAGACTGAACTCCATCAATGGACCAGGGAATTTCATGAAGCTTAATGACCTGATCAATTACCTAAAAGAATATAATTGAGAAGTCAAAATTTAAAACTTAAGCTATTAAGTAGAAGAAAATCAAATGTATATAAATTGTTAGAAAGTCCAACCCAAAAGCTTAAGCTATTAGGTGGAGGGAGACCACATGAATATAAAGAATATTTAGGACCCGTTGTCAATCGATGTAGGATAATTCTTCAACACCCCCACTCACGTGCAAGCCGGATTACGAGCAGCACGTGAAATTTTGACATCGCACATTCACATGGAATTTTTACCACACACATTCGCGAAAGGGATAGCATTGGCTCTAATACCATGTGAGAAAGTCCAACCCGAAAGCTTAAGCTATTAGGTGGAGGGAGACCACATGAATATAAAGAGCATTTAAGACCCATTGTCAATCGATGTGGGATAATTCTTCAACATAAATTGACAAACCCCATAGACGAGCGATGTACAATACTTTAACACGCTTTTCATGGTATAAATCGGATTGAGAACGGCACATGGAATTGACGAACAGGGAGCCACACAAGGCAGTGGATCAAACAGTATGGTAATTCAGTCCCTTCCAGAACACTGGTCGGCAGCGCTTCTTAAGGCTGCTTACATTCGTCAAGACATCTCATAGAAAGAGAACTTCCTCTTATGTGCACTATCCGTGGCATTAATATGTAAAATGCTAAACAAGATGCTTCTTGAGTCGACTTAGAGAGGTCTATTGAATGAGCTTTAAAGTAAACGTTGTATTGATAAAAATTGTTCCAATACATAAGTAAGGCTTTAAATAGCAAAGTGGCAGTAAGTCTCAGTTACAAATCTTTGCTTATTTTTTTGAGTGGAAAGTCATGAATCTTTGCTGATTACCTAATTATCACTCAGAGAGTCAGTATGGAATGTACTATAACTAAGACTGTAACCTATTTATGCTTTTCTAGCTCTGTGTTGCTGGTTCATTTATAAAAGCTTCTTATCCAAATTTTTTAGCATCTGTTTTCCTTGTAACTAGCTTGTACACAGGTTGCCCGTCCAATTACCCATTCACGGTATTTACATTTTTACTCAGTGAAAAGATGAAGCTTTCATTAAAGGGGTACCAAGGGGCAGGGCACAAACCCTCATAGAAAATAGACCTGCAAGCCCATTAATGGTCACTGACTAGCTTATTTCAAAAGAGGAACCCTGCACAAAGAAATTCATCAGGAAGAAAGAGTTCTTTGAGTGCTTTCCTCTGGTTAAGAGTAAAACCAAATTTTTTTAGACACTACAGAGGAAAGATTCCATAAACCACCATTCTCTAAGGTATATCAAGGAAACACCTAAATTATCAGACATTCATAGTAGTAAAGGGGGAAAAGTAGAATCAGAAGGGATTCGATAACTTGCGAAAAAATCATCAAGAAGCTAGTCTTCAACACTGTTGACAAATTTTTTAATTCTAAAACCCTCATTTCTTATTACCACCTTATTATGACACTTGTTCCAAGACAAGAAGGGAAAAAGAAGATAGATCCTCAGTACACGTGGATATATCGGGTAAAAGTGAGATAAAGATCATGCACAAGCATTGATAGTTCATTGGGATCAAATTCTCCATCCTTCCAAGAATGCAACAAGTATCAGATAACTAACAGCCATGCAACTGACAGCATGCTTAAATGCAACATCAGTTACACAGCAATCCTTCTGCTGATGATTATAAAAGCATGTCTTCTCACTGGCAAGACAACTTTTGCATAAAAACTAGCAAGATGCATAAAATTGAAAGAAATGGCTGGAATTCCAATAATAATGGCAGAATTGCTACAAAGGGTCATGGTTGTTAATGGCATGCTTTCCAGCAGATAAAATATACCATATTTTCTGTCAGAGAATGTGTAAGTAGTTTTGTCGTTGATAAACCCCATCGCTAGAATAAGCTATTAGAAATTCAAAGCAGTGGCAGAAGCCTTAAAGTAGAAGAAATAAGAATCCCCACAATGATAATCTTCATGGAGCAGAGTCTTAAAGATATGTGCATGCTAAATTACATGCTAAGGACTTGATATTTCAACATCTGTTTTGTCTTGCTAATCAGACTTGTCAGAGCAGAGTATTTTGGGAAAGAATGAACTTCAGAGAAACATCAATACTAAGCTCATGCAGCACTTGGACAAGGGCTTTAGACCGACACATCAAGTTACCCTTGCAGACTTATTTGGATGGTCACAGCCTCCCTTAGAGTAGGATTGTTTACTTGGCAAGCTGCTCAGGGAATAATAGAACTATTGACCACCTCCAAAAAGAAGAGAGGCGGTCTTGGTGAGATGCTTCCGGTGTCGGGTCAAGCAAACTGTGCTTATCTCTTGCCATGCAAGAAGGCTTCAGAATTCCCTCTCGTCGATTATTTGACCAAGTTAGGCAGTTTCTAGCTTGAGGTGGAATAATTAAGAGCTTTGAAAAGTGTAGGTAGTATTACATGGAGAGCATCTTTTCACTTGTAATCCCTCTCTTGATAGCTTGGATTCCATCATGAGAGGAGTAGGGGACCTTTGAGATAGACAATACAGAACTATATCCTTGCTCTTCTGAAGTCTAGTTATCTACTTCAAAATTTTAGTAGGCTGGACGAGGATTTTTACTCATGAAATTTATCATAAAGGCAAAAGAAGATTTTATATTAGAAAGGTACCTAGTGGGTACCATGTGGTACCACCAGTACAAAAGATACAGAGATAGTCTACAAATTCTGACAAATTATCCATATTGAAACATTGTTTTTCTGTAACCCAAAAACTCCCGAACTGTAATCAAATATTGTCAGAGGGATAGCAGCAAGAATTGATCTCTTCTCTTTGTTGCTTAAAAAACAAAATTCCTTTCCAAAAGCACAGTTCATCCCTAACTGCGGCAGCATTTCTAGCTTCAGTCTCGAAATTTATCGATCATTTCTTAGTATTTAGCTTTAAATTGGAAACAGCTTGTCAAATAAAGTAGTCTCTAATTATTCATAACAAGAAACAGCTTCAGGTTTCTGTCAATGATATGGTGCCGTCTTTTAGCATATTTTAAGCTTTCTATGATGATGAGAATTGCAGGAGATTGGCTGGAATTTCATTATTAAAAGGAAGAGAAAGGGCCAGAGAAGCATTCATTTTGGTATTTATCTGAAGTTTCTGCATTAATTCTAATTGAGTTTGTGCCAAGCTTTAAGACTAAAGTCGTAGGGCAACAACAGTATGAAAATTCCTAAGGCAAGAGCCAAGACTTGTGAAATGATATTGGAAAAATTAAGGGACCTGCTTTGCTCTTCTAAGACCATCTGAAATTGTTCTTGTGCTCTCCGAGTCACCTTCTCAATCTTCATCTGGTGTTGAAAGAGTTTAATGTTAGTATTACCAAACCAAGAGAGCCAAAATTTAGATATTCAACATGATTACCTGCAAAGCAGCCGCTGTTTCCAGTGCAACAGTGGGACTGACTGCATTACTTCTCTTCACAAACTCTAAAAATCGATTGTAACTTTCCAGCAAAACCTGACAAGACATCAGTATGTCAGAAGCTTAGTGAGAGGGTAACAAAGAGCAGGAGAGAAAATCAGACAAAAATGCAGAAAGAGGAACTTTAGCAGCACCTAATTGGAAACCTTTAAACACTAGAAAAATGATGGAAAAAACTGTAGTAATTTCTGGTTAATCAGGTAAAAGTTCTCAAAAAAATCTCTACTCGTTCACGAATGACCCAGAGGACAAGCATGAGAACCATGAAGCCCATCCACATTATAACTCCAACCCAACCAGTGTCATCCTACTTTGAAATTGTCTCTGTTTCCTTCTCTTAACATTAAGGCCATGTGGTAGCCCGTACAAAGTGTCATCCTAATTTTTGTTTCATCAGATAAAAGTTCTCAAAAAAAATCTCTACTCATTCACGACTGATCCAGAGGACAAGCATGAGAACCATGAAGCCTGTCTACATCATAACTCCAACACAATCAGTGTCATCCTACTTTGAAATTGTCTCTGTTTCCTTCTCTTAACATTAAGGCCATGTGGTTGCACATACAAAGTGTCCAATAGAGTTATTCTATCCCATCCAACTCCAGCATTTGGTCCATTCTCCAAGGCCGTATACAGATCAATCCACATGTAGAGCCTGAATAATCTAAGCCCTCAAAGAGGCCAAACAGCCTAAATTGCATGGAGTATATTTCCTCTTTGCGCTCATCCACCATCAGCCATCGCCACATTGCTGCTGGCTATCAACATTCTGTCATTGTCCTTCTCTGCCCCCCTCCCAACTAAGCCGTCTATATACTCCCTATGGGTTATTTGCAATAGCCCCTGAATTACATACAAAGTCTTTGTATCGACTAGAGTCCTTGCACTACTCATATTGGTAAAAAAAAAAAAAAGCCCTCCGTTGTAATTTCTGAGTGATGTGGGCAACCCTGTATGAGAAACTTGCAGAATTAGCCTATATAGATTCGCAAAAATTACTAGCCTCTTGATCATATAAATTATTATAACTAGCGAAAATTGATAATCAAGCTGCATTTCAAGTAATTACCGTCACATGGCATGGAGAAATTGTAGCTGAGAGTCGCCAGTCTACATCCTCCCCAACTGGTGAGCTCACAAAGGTCGCAGCCAATGCATTAACTTTCTGCTCGCTAATAACACTCTGCAAATAACTTCAAATTATGCATAATAATGTCCCTAAATTGAGCTCATGGCATAAAATTAATTCAAAATGTTTGGCACAGAGATCAAACCAAATACAGGTTCCGCTTATGATTAAGAATAGAATTTGCAAGCATGGTTCACAGAGAAGTCGTTAAATAAAAAGACAAATGCGTAATGGAAAAATCACCTTCTAGTTTTATTTCAATCATACTTTGTACACTCTACTCTAAAATTGCACCTAGTGATTTGACAGTTGATTGCACAAGGCAGTCTGTTACCAAATTGTCAATAAATTCATTTAGGTGTCTACACACATAACTATCAACCTGAAGACTGTCAGAATAATTTGATCCAACTAACACAGTGAGGTTCATAATGATAGCAGCACAAATTGTACAGTTAAAGCTATATGGCGCAAAAATTTGACCTAAACGAAAATTAATGTTGCCTTTTGAAAGTGGCCAACAGCACAAAAGTGGGATTCCATATTTTAGCAAAAATAAAAGCAAAAATATTGCATAGTCATCATTAATAGTAAAAAAAAAAGCATCTATCAATAGCACTTTTCTAAGGGTACATTGAGGATTTTAGGGCTAAAGGGCATCAAAATATAATGATAGACAAACATGTACCTGTGCCAGCGAACCCTCAGGCGCAGAGAGACCATAGAACTTCAACGACACATCGCAGTGCGTGCTACGATGTCTTAACTTAGTCAAAACATGAAGTTGCTCAAATCTACCACAGATTATCTCAGTCTCGTTTCTGTTGATGACTTTTGCCGCAGCCTGGCGAACAGACACAGAAGCTAGAAACCGAATCATATTCTGCATGTCCTTTGTAGAGTGTAAATTCAACTCCTCTTCTTGCTGGAAACTAAGTAAATTGTTTATTGTCTGCCATTCTTCCTTAGTCAGTCTTCCCTCAGCTACCTGCAATCCCTCAGGAGCATCTTTCTCCAAGTCGTCTTCAGAGCTCGAACGCCTACCATAGAAAGAACAATGAGTAACTGGGATGCACAGTCAAAGTAGTTGCATTGATAACACAAACATATTAGGCAACCACAAGTAGGGCAACCACTTTACTCCGTGGCATGGCATAAAATTCGTGTTAAGAATTTTTTATTGTGGAATATGAGCCCTTCACTTACATAGATTCTTCACCAAGAGTAGAAAGATACCCATACGGTTAAATTAGAACAATGAAGAGAAGAGAAGAGAAAAGAAGAAAAAAATTGACAAGATACTCTTCAAGGCATTAGCTTTTTCTCCACTAGGGCACGAATAAAGATATTGATTCGTATAATCCAATATCAGACAAACTTTTAGTAGAAGATTTACTCCATTTTCAACCGCGTTACAATTTACAATTATTATCAGCACAAATGTGTCACTGCTACATTACACATAAATGAGATGGTGATTAACAGAAAGCTCTAATAGAAACTTTAGTCACACATGTCACCATACAAAACTATACAAAGATTTATGGGGCATTGCCCTGGAAAACTTGCACCTACAAGGAAAGAGTACTTAATAAGGGTCAAAGCTTAAAACCAGTGTCATTTAAATTGCAAAAGTTGTAAGTCGCTACTGCTCCCAAGAAGGAAAATAAGTACTGAGTAATCATACCATCTAAGTGAAAACCAACTTTTTTTTTGGAGCCTTCGTTGTTCAGCTGCTTCCTTCGATCTGACAGATTCAACCTTCGCATGTGCCAGCAACCTAATGATATGTATACCAGAGATATGACCATAGTGATCAAAACACAAATCAAGTCCAACAAAACTCACACAGTAATGTCAGGCCTTATTGTTGGAAGAAACATTAAATTATCAGGACTTGGTTTAGTTAGGGACTAGGATTATTTTCCCTAAATTAACACTTTTTCATAGACTCTAAGTAGAGCGGTCAAAATTGGTCATAGACCCACTTCGTAACCCATATATAATGGGCTGCGTCGTTATATGGGTCACAATAAATGTGTTTAGTAGGCAAAGCCCAAAATAAATATGGGTGTTGATGGGTTCATAGTTTGCCCAGGCCCAACCCACATGAACTCAGACTCTCTCTCTCTCTCTCTCTCTCTCTCTCTCTCTCTCTCTCTCTCTCTCTCTCTCGCCCTCACTCTTGCTCATTAACATAGGCAATTTTTTCTTATCTCATTTTCATATTTTTGTTCAAGGAAAAAAAAAAAAAGAGTCAAAATGCACTAAGAACGGATTTCTTATTTCATTTTCGTCTGGAAAATGTAGATGAACAAAGGAATGTACAGCAAATAACAAGAGATGACAATATGGTAAATCTACTTTACTATTAATGGTTGAATCAACAAGTTTTGATATAGCCAAGAACCATTTTTAGTTTAATTTTTTTTAATTTGGCCGTATTTATGCACTTTCACAAAGCTCAATGAGAGAGATCATGGAGACCCGACCCAAGTTTGATGTTCTGGATCCACCAATTTTTTATCCAAGTTTTGAATCATACGATTTTGCAATTTTAATTATCTAATCTTTTTCCTTTTCTTTTCTTTCCTTTTTCTTTTTTCCCTGATTTTTGCAATTTTTTTTGTTTTTTACTTTATTTACTAACAATTCTTTTATTGAGCTAAATTTATTTTTTAATTTGCTATGAAATTTTATCCAAGTACATATACACATGAAGAGTTTAAAGTGGGTTAAATGGGTGGGAACAGGTTATGGATGTATTTTGGTAATATGAGTCCAATTAGGTATGGGTTACTAGATTTCTATTGCATTTTAATGGGTCAATTTGGGTCGGACGACCTGACCCACCCATTTGACACCCCTAGCTCTAAGGCATGGGTCAACCAGTTAAAGAGCAAGATAAATGGTGTTTGCTTCCATAAACAATCAAATGGGCCACAATTTAGGCTTTTACAAATGGAGGATCTCCTTTCATCATAATGTCCTTCAAACTTGAGTGATTTTGATCTCATCACATTTCCTAATAAGAACTTAACTTCTTCTTCTTCTTTTCTTAATGTCTGTTATGAAGCATATTGGTCTTTTTTTTACTGGTATAAACGAAAAATTTCATTCAGAAAGGCTCCAAGGAAGTGTTCTCCCCATACAAAGTGTTATCAACAAGAGGAGAATCCAAAATCTTGTACGTTATTTATATCACCATGACGATTAGAAACATTAAGACACTCTAAACAGCTATATTCTACCAACCAGTATCACACTGACAATTTTCAGGGCAAAAAAGCAGCTTCTGTTGCTAGTGAAACTCATTATATCTAGAAACAAAGTGACAACAGTTCCATACCTCCACAAAAGAATCACTTTGGAATCGAGATCCTTCTCAATTTCTCTCATTTCTGTACGATTGACTTCTGATGCCTGTTGCAATAAAGCTGCATACAACTGAACATAGCGCCTACGTAGCTGGCAAAGGTGCCGAATGCGGTCCCATGAGAATCGATAGCTATAGCAACAGAATGCTAAGTCAGCTTGCAGTTCCTTAAACTAAGCATAGCACTACTAATAGAAATAAATCAGAACACCTCAGATAAGCAGCAAGATATCCACGATGCAAAGTAGAGATACTTTATCTTTTGAAAAAAACAAGCCTAATCCAGGAAATGTATGCGAGTAGTAAAACCATAGTCTAGGCATCTTTACCACATCTTCTTCTGCTGCAGGCTTGCCTGAGCAGCATAGCGCCACCAGAAATTAGGACCCTCTGAAACTGTTACCATCGGCCTTAGATGTGAAACTTCCACATGAATCTTGTACCTTGAAACAACCTCCATAAGTTTGATCCAGTCATGATATTGTCCCTATCAAAGGAATACAGGATTATTTAAATTCTGATTGTCTATGACAAAAGATGATAAAAGTAAATGAATATGAAAGAGAAACTGCTCTCATTACTATAGCAAAGTCGGAAAACTTCAGTGACAATATCAACATGAGCACAACCTAGGTCCTAAATCTTCCTAGATTGCGAAGGGTCGTCGCAAGCCCAAAAAAGGCTGGAGTTCCTCTTGCAATCAGCATCTCCATTTATGCTTCTTGGGCAGAGTAAAAGAAGCAAGGGAGATTAGTAATTTACTCAAGTAAACTATTTAGAAGCTCGCTAGAAGGCACTTAAACCAGATTTAAATACTTGGTTAATTCTCATCCAGTAAATTAAAAAGCAGCACAAAGCGAAACAAAAAGGAGGATAAATACCTCTGTAATTGTCAAGGTGACATCATTCAACGCAAGCGAAGCCTTCTCAAATGGGACCTCAGGATCATTCCTCTCTTGCTTTCCAAGACGATGATATTTAAGGACTCCATTGATAGGTGAGACCAAAAAACTTCGACCCATAGCCCATTGAGACACCATATCATGGCCAGGAACCGGTTCATTAATACCATCCTCGAATATCTAATTAAAAGGTGTGTCAGTGGATGTCATTCTTTATCCGCATCTGCAACTGCAAAGAGATAGCCAATATCTTCGAAAGAATTGGGACAAACCTCAATCCATTCTTTAGGAGTTAGGTCTTCCCATCTTTTATCAATCTTCCACGGAAGAGTATTGCAATCATGATACATGGCAAGCCTCTCAAGTTGTAACGACTATACAAAAGGCACAATATGTTAACCTCAATTATTTGGTGGTCATATTATTAAACATAATTCAAATAAATATATAAACATATAAATAAATAACCTTAAGGCCGCTTCCAAGGGGATAGAGCTTGAAGATAGGAAGGAAAGATTTATGGTAGAAACAAATCAAAAAATTCTCTAACATCATATGAATATCAGTCTTTGTGAATTTCACATAAGCCAGAACTCTACATCAGAAAGATGACAAATACGAATGAGACATAACCAAAGTACTTGCATGAGTACCATAAAGAGGTGTCAATATCCTCAAAGGCATAGCGAAAAGTGATGAAAGCACCCCAATCTACATGCTTTAGAACACCAACACATCATTATTGAAGTAGATCGTTTTGAATGCGTACACGTTTTTGTGGTTAATCCTTTATAATTACTCCACCAGTGAATGTAAAACACTATCCATAATCAAGCAGTCAAAAACTCTTCCTCAGCGAAGCAGGACTATCTGCTCGTAACAGATTTACAACCAGTGAAAAAGGGTCACTATAGCCCCATGTGTCCACATATTGAAGAACACCTCAGACCCAAAGCTAGAAGTATAGATAAATATTTGAAGCTCATTAGTTGACAACATGACAGCAAATAATAATAATAATAATAATGACAGCGGCACCAAAGGTACAATAAGTGAGCCCATTACAGACAAGCTAGTGACAGAATGGATGGGAAGCTGCGTAGTATGACTGAAAGCACCTACTTAAATATGCCTATCTAATGGAGAAAGGCGGAAATAGGCACAGACAATCTGTGGGGTTGGGATGGGAAAGAATTCCAATATCATCAGGTGAAGGGGTAGAGGCATCTTGGCCAATGGACAAGAAGATTCTGTCAATGGTATGTCATGGCTTTTCAGAGTGCTGAATCCTCTTTTACATTGTAAGAACAGGTCCACTCGATTTCTTGATTTAAGTCCCTGATCTCTCACTCTAATGGTGTACTTTTCTAGAATATTTGGCACTGGAAAAAACTATTTATGAGATTAGCAATTGTATTCCTAAAGGAACAATGGTCCTAAAAACCTAACCATTCAGAGGAAAGATCGAACAAGTATCACAAATTGGAAGCCTTATCTTCATATATTCGGGCTCCAAAATAACCCACTTATTTGTTCGGCGATTACATGTGAGATAACGGCAATTCAGCTGCTTTTGGAGAGTCATACAATTAATCTTGAATAATGATACCATGGAAACATAGATGAAACACAACATATCACGTTGGTTAGAGAAGTAGGAAGAGTTGACCTTCCGTAGTTTATCCAAAGCTCCACTGGTATCAAAAGTTTCGTTCCCCTGCTCATCCATTGTAACAGCAGCAAGCTTCGCCAAAGTAACACCCATAGAAAATGGGTTTCCAGGATTACTGCAAAACGCCAGCTTCTTAAGTAAAGCCACAGAAATTAAAATTGGACAAAAGAAGTGACAAATGCTATTATTAGTCTGGCCATCAAAAAGTTTAACTGATGAATATCCAATCAAAATCCTTTTTGAGATGGTTGGTGCCTTAGGTTTCGACTGATTAGCTCTGCTTTTAACCCTGACTGAAGATATTCTTAAGTGATAAAAAGCGGAACATAAAAGCAAAGGAGGAAAAGGCCTCCCCAACAGGCTTAATGAAAAGTTCTAAGAATAGTTAAAGGTCAAATTACCAACCTAACAGAGTCTTCATATCTAATATGTACATTGCTAATTGATATCCTAAGATTTCCGATAATTGTAGCAATAAGAGAACCCAACCACGAATTCCCAGCTGGTGTCTGCCAAAAGAAGAAAGTGTCAGCTCGTCAATCATTACAGGGTAGTGAGACATAAGAAAATAAGCAATTCAACAGGAAAAAATCCCATCAGCCTCATACTATTACTAAAGAGTTAGTGCAGCTCCAATTATGAGCATCTCACACTAGTGATAGATAATTTAACAAACATGCATATAAACAGATAAGCAAGCTAATTAAGCAACAGAAACATTTGCCCTTCTGCTTCAGTATCATGTGGTAATTTGAATATCAGATAGCACTATTCGCCATCCCCCCAAGCATCAAAATAGAAAAAAGAGGAGTAAAGGAAAAAGTAGGCTAAGAAGACTGGAGGAGAGCTAGCTGCAGTGTCTTCCACGAGTCGAGAGCAAATAAAAACGATCTAAACAAAGGACAAACCTACTTTCACAGAAAAAAAAAATGGGCCATTTCCCTAACCATGCCGAAGCTATGAAAAGTCAGCTACATTGAATCTGAAACTATACCTTATCAATCTAATGCATTAGCATATCGGTAAGCACATGTTCACACCAGGCAAACTAAAGTTCTAGATCCCATTGTCTCCAAAAAGCCAACAAATCATGAAAAAGTCCAAAAGGAGAAAAAGATTGTATAAGGAGAAGCCTTTTCTCTCTCATCAAAGGGCAGGCAAAATTCGCAAGCATCTTCATACTTCCAAATTTACTGATTCCAATAACTAAGTACTCTGGTGTCCAACACCATGACAACAGGAAGAATGGTTAAAAATTATTCCAGTGCTTTAACCAACAAAAGTACTATAAAGTTGCAACCCTGTCTTAACATTACTGTCTCTTTACCTGCAATTCAAACTGCTTATTAACATTTGGTTGAAAGGAATCAGGCCTAAACAGATTCAATCCATGACCTGTTCAAGGCTCTACTGTTGAATGATCAATTCATCCCTCTTCCGACAATGAATATTATCATTAAAAAACAAAATTTTTCAGTTCAATTTTACCTATAATCATCTATCTGGAGAACATAATTGACATATCGTTGTTAATTACTTTCATACCATAGTTTAAATTGTCTAATTAAGAAAAAGGACATGAATCTTCATCATCTTCCATGTTACATAACTAAACCAAACAAAGAAATTGACTGGTCCTTTCATTTAATTAACTTAGTGCCAATACTTTTAGCTCATCTCAACCTTCCAAACAAACAACAAACTCCCCACAGTCCCGTCTACAAATAGTTTATTTCTAGATTTACACTGAGTTATCTCGTTTTATAACATTACGTTCTATTTTCTTGTGCACTCTTCCACGTGAGCCTTTTTTGCTAAGTGAAAATTAATTTTTATGCTAATCTCTGTCCAACATATTATACACACCAAACATAAAACAGAAATACAGCAGTTAGAAGAAACTGTATTATCAAACAATAAGTGATGGTAAAGGAAAAGACGGTAAATAGTCTAAAAAAAGCATCAACAAACCTTTCTTTAAACACTTGAGATAGATAATACATCAACTTCCAGTTAGTCTTACATATGTTAGGATTCTGTTAGGCTATGAGCACACTCATGCAAGGAAGTGTGAAAAATAAGTAAATAATTACAGAATTACAGCTCAAGCCACTAGTTTAAACCACCATACTCCTGATTCCAGTTTTGTTTTTCTAGTTACCGCACTCTTGCTCTGAAGTGGCCTATTTGATGGGGTAATGTCCACATCCCATCTTTAACATGTTAAAATGACAGAAAATAGAAAAGATTGCAGATTCAGTTGATAACATGGCTCCACTTACAAAGAAAAAGAATGCTAGATGATGTAAAAGGAATACTAAGTCAGCAGATGAGAAACCAGATAGGCTCACACACAAAGAGACTACAATTTTGTGTGGACTTTTCTTTTGTGCGGCTAAGCTGATTTTGGGATGGACGTATCAGTGCAGCCAAGCCACACAAGAACAGTCAATGAGCTAGAGAAAGATTTATAATTCAAATTCCAAATCATCAAGGCTTCCTGAATCTTTTCTAAGAATGACTAAAAGCACAGCAACTATCTATTCAGGGTGTACAGGCACATGTCAAAAGAAACTCAGCAAAATAGATATGAAAATCATCTCTAGGTTCTCCTATGAATATCCAATGTAAAAAACGCAGGCATCCTGTGCATTTACATACCTAAACAGCAATGGAACAATCACTCCCAAGTATTGTAGTAAACAAACATGTGAATTGTACAACAAATAAGAAAAGAATAGCTGGAATAACGAAATCACAAGTTAACAAATAGCCATTCAGTGAAAGAAAAGACAATAGCAAACTACTCGGTGATACCTTTCTCAACGGCTATATCTAGAAATTAGATCATGGTCAGCTCCAAAGAAAATGCACATGAGCATATTTCAAACGAGATGATAGTGATAGATGTCCATTTGATGGTCATAAGTATTCTCAGAGTACATAAAGTAATTCCTTCATTTAAGGATAACTCAAGACATCATGGTACTTGATACATGCCAAAATGGAAGTATGACAGGCATGTTAACCTTGTCAGAGAGGTTAATTACAAGAGACAATAGATCATGGAGCTGCAATAAATTAACAAAGATGCTATCAAATAGACTGGAGGTACTCTCCAAACATACATTTCCAAGTTTCGACTTTGATATTGCTTCAATGGTTGCTGATTCTAATTCCTGCATTAAGTCACAAAATGAAGTTAGTGGGACAATGGAAACATCGAATCCATAACACCTCTCTAAAATTATGCACAATCAAGCATATCACATGTTGGCACCAACTTGTACCATGTACTCTTCAAAGAGAAGATTTATTGACGCTGCTGTCAACTTACACACGAGTAACAAGATAATCGGTCAAGCTAAAATGTATCCAGTCCAACAAGCTCTTTTGTTGCAGTCTAAGCACAGATTGGTCAAGATTAGTTGACGTCAAAGCCAATCAAATTGAGAACGTTACAAAAGTCAAGAGTCAAGGAGTAGTTGGCTTATAAGGGGATATGTGGCAATGCATAAAGAGAATAAGAGTGTGCTGTTTTAATCATGGAGCAAACGTAGATATTATTTGGGAGCCGCCTTAATGTTGTGAGGGCAAGGTTGTACAGTTTCAACAGGGATGAATCAAATATACAAAGGCCTAACTTAGTCCAATACCATGTTAAAAAGTAAGTAAACAAATACTCATAAATCTAGAGGAGATAGCAAATACTTCAGTGCATAGTTATCTAACTATATTGAAAAATCACAATACAACTCTTGTACAAAACAAATATCTGGTACGACTAATTAGCCATTGGATACCAACACGTCCCCCGATCCTAGAAGCTCCAACCTCAATCAACCACTTTTTTTCTACTGGTGTTACAAATAAATATCATGGGTGAATCTATAATGAGATGAAAATACCAAAAGTTCAGACAAAAGGAACTGATTCATCTAAAAAAAGTTGACCGTCAAACACAGAATGCTCCAATGCAGAAGGAAATCACAAACTCAAAAGTAAAAGGCAACCAAGTCATAATGGTCAAAAGCAAATAATGCCAAATGGATGTGGAAGCAGCGATTATGCATGCATTCAACATACACACCTCAATCTGTTGAAGTTTGGCCTCAAAAAGTTTATCCTTGTCTTCCTCCTACAGCAGACAATAAATATTCTTTTATAAGTTCACCGGAAAATGGATATGAGGGGAACATAAACCATTGTGATTATTATTAAGGGTATTGTTAACAGTATACTTTATCTGCAATAATATAATTTTCAAGACACTGATTGTGCATGACACGAGGACAATCGGTAGATTGGAAATTGTTGAGCTTTCTTAATTAGTTGATTAACAAGTTCTCCAGGGACCATCAACAAAACCCTATTATTAATAATCATCCATATGTCCCTTTGCATTTAAGGATTATAAGAGCATACCTTGACAGTATGCCGATCAGATGCAGGGTGGGCAAGAATGAATACACGGTCTATCAGAACAATAACTGGCTCTTTCCCAAGACTCTTCCAGGGAACCTATGCTCAATACAAGAAAAAGAAAATATAAAATACCTGGTGCAAACACAGATAACTGAAACAATGGACTAGCCAGAGCAATCAAAAGCATTTCTAGTATATGCAACTCTTCCTACATGAGAAGCACTCCTTACATAGCCTTGCATATTCCGACCAGAGTCTCTAGAAAATATCAAAACCATCTGTAGGACATGCTTCAGATCAACAATCAAACTAACTCAAGTCTGAAGTGTACTTTTTCCAGTAGTCCTTATATTAGCATTTCAAAACATGCAACACGTCTCCACATATGGGACACACAGAAACATGTCTCAGGATGTGCAAGAGTTAAAAAAATTTCTACAAGTTTTTCAGCTTGCAGTAGTTCACAAGTTTTCCCAGTTATTATGTTCTCAATCAACAAAAAAGCCCCTAACCGTTTTTATAAGCCAATGCTCGTTCGACACTATCGTCACACGACAGTTCAAATATTTTGTTTGACAAAACTTTTTCCAGTACAGTATGATGAATAAGGTAATAAATTTTTGTAAGTGTATTTGACATCAAACCAATCTGCGAGTTTAACCAATATCTCAATGAAGGAGCTCTATGTAGGAGAAAAGAGGCTTCTCCTACTTCCCAAAATTCCAAAAGCTGCCTCAAATTATGGCAAGCTCAAATCTAGAGTGTGAGCATGAGAAAAATCCGTCATAATAACAACAAAGGCAAGAAAAGGCCTACCAGCAATTTTTTTTTTTTTTCATTTATAAGCAGTGAAGGATGGAAGGGGGCAAGCAGGGGCCAACCACCCCCCCCCCCCCCCCAAAAAAAACCCTCAAATTTTTTTTACATAAATTGCATAGATTTGCAGAAAAAAGATAATCATAAGTGAATCCCCAGCCCCCCCCCCCCCCCCACCAAATAAAAAAAAAAGAGTTAGTAATCTCTACTATATGAAAAAATAATCTCATACTTAGTTTCAAACTCGAATTGTTTTTCAAAGAATTCCGTCAATCAAAATTCATGTCAATCAACTCAAGATGAATTGCAATTATATGTTGTATTAAATAGGAAAACAAGTAATTTAGTGAGATAAGAATAAAATCTCTCAAATCTAATAAAAGATGCTCTTTCATCTGAAAAATAAAAAAATAGAAGTCCTTAAATGTTTTGTATATAATTTATTTGAGGGAAAATTTCAAATCAGTACCCAAAGTGGGGTCATTTTCTCAAAAAGGGGTCCAAAGTGGACATAGTGCCAAATAAGGGCCTGAAGTGCCCAATCAGTCTCAAATAGGGGCCCGAAGTGCCCAATTAGTCTCAAGTAAGGGCCTGAGTTCGCCGGCCGGTCAAATGCTCGCCGGTCGGCAAGCACGTCACTGTTCCGGCGATCGGCACAAGAGCAATTTCGTCTTTTACGTTTTAAATTTTTTTTTTGTTTCTTTTTTCCTTTTCCTATTTTTTTCTTTTCCTTTTCCTTTTCCTTTTCCTTTTATTCTTCCTTTTTTTTTCCTCTTTTCCCTCCGCCGGCCATAGCCGGGGCCGGCGGAGGCTGCCGGCCTCGGGCGGAGGCTGCCCTCGCCTGGGCTGGGCGGGCGAGGGCGACCTCCGCCTAGGCCGGCAACCTCCGCCGGCCCCGGCTATGGCCGGCGGAGGGAAAAGAGGAAAAAAAAAGGAAGAATAAAAGGAAAAGGAAAAGAAAAAAACAGAAAAAGGAAAAAAGAAATAAAAAAATTTAAAAAGGTAAAAGACGAAATTGCTCTTGTGCCGAACGCCGGAACAGTGACCTGCTTGCAGGCCGGCGAGCATTTGACCGGCCGGCGAACTCAGGCCCTTACTTGAGACTAATTGGGCACTTCGGGCCCCTATTTGAAACTGATTGGGCACTTCAGGCCCTTATTTGACACTATGTCCACTTTGGACCCCTTTTTGAGAAAATTACCCCACTTTGGGTACTGATTTGAAATTTCCCCTTTATTTTATTGAATAGACAAAGTGTCTGTGCTCTTTTTTCTAGTGTTGAGGGGAATAAAATAGTTATAGCTAGAACAACTATTCTTTTACATCAAATCTGCATAGAATTGGTTTAGAAGTTAGGACAAAATATAAATATTTTATTTGAAAGATGCAAATTAAATCTAAGGAGCACAAATTGCACTTGTCATGTCCTTATAGACATTATATCCTCTTATCTCTCTCTCTCTCTCTCTCTCTCTCTCCCTATATATATATATATATATATATATATATATATATATATTGACAATTCTATCTATTATCTTTTTCTTTTAATAATTCTTCTTGTAAGAAATTTGATATTTTATTAACATTATTATAGATAAGCTACAATATGTATAGCAACCTCTATTGTTTATTTTAGTCGAAAAGCTCTTGTTAAAAAAAAAAACTTATAATAGTTTACATAATTAAAATAAACAGTCATCAAGAAAAAATTATATTTCTCTTCTTCAAGTACAGAATTTACAAATTTTCATACTTAAACTTCTTTTTTTAAAACTTATTAATAACTAATATATATTCTACCATGTCTAAGTTTATTCAAAGTTCTCATGTAAAAAGAAATTTTTGACTCCATAATTTGTCAATGACTCCCCCTCCCCCCATTTAAATCCTGGCTTGGTCACTATTCCCAAGAACGATAATGGCATTTGCATACCCTTTAGATTCTTCCATATGTTGAGTTTCATTAAATTTTGCAGAATATGTCCCGTTACGAACAAAAACTTGTTCCCCACTTTGCCCTCCTTTCAACTGAAGAGGCAAGAAGAAATTATCTTGATAATATTTCAACTCGCACAAATATAACAACAAAGCCCCGAGGTGGGAACATATGGGCTAGAAAAAAAATGTTAATAATCACCGTAGGCCCTTATTCCCCAAGTGCTCAGCTTCATCCCATAAAAAGAAATCGCTGCATAATTCATCATAGTTCCTAAAATGCCTGATAGAAGAATAACTAGACATTCAGCATACTATTGGCCATCACCTCCCTCCAAGTTAAAATACGACGAAGAGAATGAACACCTCACAAGTTCCAAGAGTCCACATAATCAAGAATGATACAGGCTGCTAATTTCGTGACTTGCATCCATAGCAAACCCATCATCAGTCTCCTGATACTAGGGATAAAGCTCCATGAGGAACCAGCTATCTTCGTTGATGAAGACAACGAGCCTCAATCATAGCAAGCAGCCTTGACCATGTTTCAGAAAAGATGACATGATACAACACTGAAACTGGTTGACCGACGTCGACGATTATGGCAAAGACACAACATCTAAGGCCTCAAAAGCAAGTGCAAAAGCTCAATATCGTTTAGTTCTTGATATAACTCAAAAAACGCAGGCATGTCACAGTACAATGCAACCAAGAGAGCACAGAAGCTGACAATAATAATTACCTTAAGCGTTATAGTGCCGATAAAACCAGCTTTCACCGTCACAGGAAGTTTGAGTGAATTTAGTGCTTCCGCCTTCAATTTCAAATCTTTGAGCACAACATCTCCTGTAAATTAAAAAAATCTTTAAGTGCTTTTGAGAAAGCTTCCAAAAGTTTGAAATATCCAATCTTTATAAAAGTTTCAAGGTACAAACCTTTCCAGACACTAATTCTTAAAGCCTCAGCTGAGAGCCCATGAACATAGTCCCCCAGATATCTTCGAAGCAAATGTAAAACCTGTAACAACATATTTCCATTATGACATCCATAATGATAACACTCTGTAATGACAAGACGGTGCCACGATTCCATTACCACTTAATAACACGGGAGCCTCCACTGCAAAAAGTGGGAGACTTAAAATGGAGAGAAAAGAAAGTATTTAGCAATAGACAAGATATACAATCTAGCTGGTAGGGAACAAGTATGTGCATTCTTAGAACTGAGGCAAGACAACAGCTATAATTTTGCAAAAATTTGATTAATACTCTCTCTGTATCAGCAACCGTACTAAATCTTTGCTTATAATTGTACTGCAGCTAAAGCAATTGACCCGAACAGGTACTCCAATATGGGTATCAAGAGAAATAGACAGGCGTTATAACAGAAAGACAAACTCCAAGCTCAGTCGTGGACAAGAACAATGCAACATTTCACATCCACCACTGGCGGTTTCTCATACAAGCCACTAAATTTCCCCGGTCGCTAGCTTTTAAACAGGCTCATCAGTTCCCGCAACCACATCATGCTTCCGATCTCGCCAAAGTTAATCATTTCCACTAATGAACAGTACAAAAGCAGCTCAAAATCCAGCCGAACACACGAGCTCAACAGCGATCACTTCGCAGCCGCTTCGAAACTCAAATGATCAAGTAAACAAAGACGTCCGGCGCATCCATCCGCTCCATCGAGCACAGTGCCACGATCGAGAACTCGTCAATCATCACTAAACCCCAAGGGAGGAGGAGGAGGGAGGGCCAGAGAACTGGCAAGTACAGAACGAAGCGGGAGAATCTTACGTGAGCTTCGAACATGGCGAAAGATCAAAGCTCGCCACCGCGAAGTGACGGAACCCCGGCGAGAGACTACACTCCGATCGCGCTGCCCATCGGGCGGACCGACGCGGCGGCGACGGCGGCGGCGACGGCGATCGCCGATTTGCAGGAGCGCAGGGCGAGGTCGGTTTCGCGGGGATCGGATTGCGAGCCGAAACCCTCCTCTTCTTCGCGTGTCGCGAATTATGCAGAGAGAGAGAGAGAGAGAGAGAGAGAGAGGCGGGACGGTTTTGGGAGAAAATAGTGTCTGTCGAGTGGCGTCGCTTTTGGGGTGGAGCTTACGTTTATACGCGTCGCCTTCGTTTTTGCATTGTTTTTGCAGTTGCGTGATATTTGCTTTTAAAATTTCAACCCAAAAAAAAAAAATTAATACCACGAAAAACTCAAAATTAATATATATGTGACAAATTTATTCCAAATTAATTTTTTATCAAGAAAAATCCCAAACTAATATCCATGTGACAAATTTATCCCAAACTAATTTTTTGACCACTAAAAACCACACACTTGCACATTTATGATAAATTTACCATCCGTTAGTTTCCGTTAAATTGAATTAACACCACAAGAAATCACAAATTAATACATCTGTGACAACCTAAGGGTAAAATCTAAAATTGGTACACTCGTTAACTGTCACGTATTATCCAACTCGGTAATTTAACGGTAAAATATAACGGAAACTAACAGAGGATAAATTTGTCACGGGTGAATTAGTTTGGAGTTTTTGGTGGTCAAAAAATTAGTTTGGGGTAAATTTGTCACAGCTATACCAGTTTGGGATTTTTTATGGTATTAACCCAAAAGAAATTGTATCCCTAAAATTAGTAAATTTTGAACTTTAATTTTAAGATTTCGTCTGTTTCGCGAAAAATCAATAATTAATCTAAATATCCTCGTAGACGATGAAAATATTTTTCTTTTATTTATTTTTGTAATCGATACAAACGATCATTTTTAAATCGCTCATTTTTCCCAAACAAACGGACCCTGAGTTTTTTTTTCTCTTTTCTTTGAGTTTACCTAAAAAAGAAATGGTAGCACTAATTCGGCATTTCTGGTTTATACGAAGACAAAGGAGGAATCTGCCCTTTCTTTAGCAAAAACAAAAACGCGTTTTGCAATTTCAGGCCAGACAATTTTTGGCTTCTCTTATTTAATTATTTTTCTATTTATCTTCCCTTTTTTTTGTCTTTTCTTTTTGTTTGAATATAGATCGGGCGTCTTTGATGGCGAGCATTTATTATACCTTAAATTAATGACAGTATTCTATAAACTTTTGGCCAAAAGACGATGCCGGATTTATTTATTTTTTTATTCGATTGAAATCCCTATACAATGTAGATTTTTTCTCCCACATGTTGGTCCTCCGGTTAAGAGATGGACAGAAATCCCAACGTTGACTCAAGAATTCAGTCCGTTTGTTAATTTCTTGTTTGATTTTTCCATGTGGCATGGAGAAAACTTAGAAATTTGAAACAAAAGAAAAGGCAACATAAGTATTCGAGCGATGTCGAATTGAATTAAAAAAAATTAATTTAGAAGAAAGAGTTAAAAAAAAAGAAGGTAAAGTGATTGATGGTATATGTTAATCGTCGCTGGTCTTAACGGTCGCCACCCTTCTGAAAAATTAGGCGAGTGTGACAAACCTCACCACAACCGACAAGGGTTACCAACCTTCACCACTCGCGACGGCACGAGTCATGATCCTTGCCTAAATCTAGTGTGAGGGGCTCTACACATAGGTTGCTCCTTTCTCGCTCTCTCCTCCATCTCCTTCGATGCCCCGAAGATACAAAAGCAACGGTAAAGCAATCGCTAAGCTCGACGAAGATTGGTAATTTTGGAGGTCGGGTCTACTGTCCTAAGCCTTACTTGATACACGTGGACTGAGCAATATATATGCATTTGTGAGAATTAGTTGGATAAAATCTCGGACACCCTATATTATAGAAAAATAAGGAAATGAAACTTAGGCTCTATTCGTTTTACGAAAAATGTGACGATTCTGGAAAATATTTTTCAGGAAGCCATTTTCCAGGAAATGACAATATTTTTGGGTGTTCGGTTGGATCGTGAAAATGAACAAAAAAATATGTTTCCGCCGTTTGGTATATGATTTGATTTTTTAGGGAAAATTACCAAAAAGAATCTATTTTTTAAAATTTTTAAATTATTTTTCTTTTTCTTTTCCTTTTCTTTCTTTTTCTTTTTGCTTCTTCCACGGCCGGACGTTGGCCACGGCGATGGTTAGCGACCGGCCTTAGGCGAGCTCAAGCCTTGTCGGAACTAGTGAGTTGGGCAAGGTCGAGACCCTCGCCTGAGGTCACCCGAGCCTCGAGCTCGCCGGCTTCAAGCGAGGTCAACCTTGCCTGATTAGGCGAGGTTCGGCCTCGCTGGAATCTGGCGACTTGTAGCCGGTCACCGTGACCAACTGAGGAAGAAGCAAAAGGAAAAAAAATTAAAAGAAAAGGAAAAAAATTAAAAATATCTGCACATTCAAGTCAAAAGTAAAATTACAGAAAATGACAATCTGGGCCCAAGGAGAGAAGGCCCCTTGGATTAGGTGCTGAGGCCCACGTTTCGTCAGATTTCATGGGTCTCGAGCTGAACCATTTGGGCCAAAGGCCCACAGTCGGTTTGGGGTCGGTCGGCCGGATGAGAGCCGACCCTTGGCTCTTGAAACTGCGACGTTTTAACATTTTAGAAATTATGTAGGGAACTTTCCAATTTCATTTACCCCACTGGAAAGATTCAGAGTGATAATTTTCTATTTTTCATTTTTCAAATTCTGTAAAGACGTACTCGTCACATTGTTTCGATTTACACGATTTGTCTCTTTTTACGCGTTCTTGTTTTGACTTATAATCATGATCAAAAATCAATCAAGCCTAATTGAATAATAGAATGATTGAACGAATCTAGCGTTTTTACTCAAGACTCTCCCGATTCCTCTTCCCCTTGGAGGAAGATACTCTAGCTTGGAGATAGTACAAGGCCCCTTACATTAGGCATATCATTAAGGACCGCACTTACATACACAAATTCAGCATAGTGGTAAAGAGAGGACATGTCGTTGCTATTGATTGCCAATATTTCCCAATATAAGCAAGAATGAATCAACGATTTGAAAAATTATTTTTGGTTCAATCCATTAATTCTCAAGAAAAGACATGCATGCTTCCGTGTTCTTGCAACGCTGACTAATTATGTGTTTTATATCACCCATAAAATGAATCTATTCAATAATATGCGAAAAGACTTTAGGTTTGTGCTTTAAGGCAATAGGCTTCTGCCCCGGCTTAACTTAGCGAGGTTATGAAAATTTTTAAGAGGAATAAAGGTGTTTCGCCGAATTGATGAATTAGCTTTTAGATTATGGATGGATTGATATGACCGACGAAGGTTGTAAATTGTCCTTGGTTGATTTTGAAGTACGAACATGGAGAACAATCGTTACCGGCAATGTAAATTGCATGAAAGATAGATTATCAGTATTAATAGATTGGGAGGGACTATGAACATACCATTTTATCACTGGATTTGCTTATGGTGGTTGATTGAACGATCTTGGCTTTGATAGGGCATCATTCACAGCATTAATGACGATTAGCCATACCATATCTAACATGTGACTCACAATATAGTTGGCTTTTCTCATGGTTGACATCATGTTATAATTTGATGCAACCTCCCATCTACTCATTAGTAAGATGCCTTGGAAGATGAATATCTCATGTCAATTATCTTCTGCTGTTCTCCCATTGGCCAAAGTCTTAGAATGCACGGTAGCCTCACTACCAGTTTGTGGTTATAGGTTGTTGTTGCCAGAAGCATTGCCTGACTCTTGTTGATTTCTATTTCTTACCGTCAGAGGTTCTCGAATTAACAAAATGCCCCACCAGGCATGTCAAAAAGATGCTTCACCGAATTGATGAAATACTATTTTGATTATGGATGGATCAATCTAAGTTGTGAAGGATCCTTTGTTGATTTTGGATAGAAAAGTAAATGATAAAAAATTTGAAAGTGTCAACATTAGGAACAATTGTTATCAGCTATGTAAGTTGCAAAAAGGTTAAGATAAATGACAAATTTACAGAAGAACATTGAGTTCTATAATTGATCGAGGGGGCCTTCAAAGGGCACACTTGGGGAATTTATAACCCACAAATCATCTGTTATACAAATGGTTATTGCATTTAAATCCACGAATAACTTATTAATGCTATATTCGATAACAAGAAATCATGCTATATCGACTATCTTGATGGCTATATCGAACTACTACTTTAACGATTATATCGACTCCACTACCTTGACGGTTATTTCACGCTCTTTCCCATTGGCTGAATTAGTCTTCCTCATTTAAGACTTTTGCTTTGATACTTGATTACTTCTTGTTGAAACCTTTGTTGACTACATTGAGTCTCCTTATCGACCAACTCCATTATATCGACTAATTCCTCTCGGCACAGCCATTTTCCACTCATTCCGCACCTCTAACAAGTTTCTATCAATTGTGTAATCCGGCGGTTGGGTGTGAGAGGGCTTTTGACTTAAGCTTATGATGTTCATTGTTCGTATTTGATTCATCACCGCCTCTTTCTGTAGAGTGGGTACAAATCGACACTTGGACCAAATCACTTAAATCCTCGAGCATTGTTTACATTATTTCCCTCTTATTTCTCGAGTAATCTCGCGATTGTGTCAATTGCACGGTCCTCTTTACACCACAAAAACGAAGACATAGTCACTTGAGAGCTATCTTTGTCCATGTCTAGATACACACAACAAGATATAAGGATAGTTGGGTGTTTGGATTGATAAAGGATAGTTCCTTCCACATGTGGTGTCTGTAATCAAATCTATCCCCGTGTGCTAAGAGTCTGAACCTCAACCCGTAAAAAAGGCGCGCAAAATCATGTTGAGTATGTGATGGATTTTCTTTGTGAAGATGGGCCGCCCATGATGGGCTAACCCAGCCCATGAAAGAAAGTAACTGCACGAGCATAATGGAGAATGATATACCACGTGTACAATCTCCCATACGGCGAACAAGTCGCAAAAGTATTTCCCGACGACGTTTTGACATTGAAGGGGAAACTTTCATGATCGCTCCACAAAATGAAGACGAGCCAAGGAATGTAAATGAGGCTCTAAATTGCCCTAACAAAGAAAAATGAATGATTGCAATGAAAGAAGAAATGGAGTCAATGAAGTCAAACCATGTTTGGGAACTGG